GCCCACGAACATGACTTTTCCCAGGCCTTTCACTTTTGCAAGGATATATGGTTCCCTCCACGGATGTAAAAAGCTCTCTGTAGAGAATCCACACCCACCAGGTTTCTCACTTCCCTCTACACAAACAATGATTTATGCTGAGCGGGGACAACCAACTGACGCCACTATCGGGCATCGAAAGTAAATGAGAAGCTACTTTCTGCTTTATCATCATCAGGTGATATACAGCAGCACAATGTTGACACATATGGATTTACACGACACAGCTGTACACTTGTTGAAGACACAGGCATCCTCTGATTTACGTCTGTACCTGCGATCCTGGAATGCATGAAAGATACTGTACAATAACTGTTATGACTTACTGCCCCTGACAACAGGTATGAGATGGCCGTCTGTCATGCCGGCGCATAAATACGGGAAACGGGAGGAGCAGTGGCTGTTATGTGTATGTAAGGAGTGCATTCCAGAGCAGCTTGAGGTTTCATATCTTAATCGCAAACACGTGACTGGGAGCGCACATACAGCACTTCTGTGGTTTAACATGAAAAACATGCAATCTTGCTTTTACACAATCATGCGAAAACCTGCAGAAGAAGAAATCAACTACTTCCCTCTTTTCTCAAAAACACATTTACCTAGTCATCTCTGGTAAGAAAAAAAAAATTGATCTGAAGATCTGGCATGCCTGTCATTTGAACTTCTTAAACAGTGGTATTACGCTTTTTCATGTCTTCCTCGTGATTTATAGTTCAACAAATTCTTAACATGTTTCAGGCTGCTGTCTTTAAAAACCCTCATTTCAGCATCTGTCTGAGATGTTCCATCTGTTCCTTTAAGGCCTCCCTAGCATTTTATGATTTGAGCAAATCTCATCTTGATCTCGTTGAATTCTCGTTGAACTTGTTGAACAACCCCTTAGAGCCCCCTGTATCCTATCTGGGGATGACCATAACCTACACTAACCTTGCAATCTGAGAAGTAGATCATGAATAGTTCTGACACCTAACATAGTTTGGATTGTTTACATTGATGTGATGAATCTTTGTTTTGTTTTCTCTCTTTTTTTCTCTCATTTGTTCAGTGGTGCTCATAACATAACATTGGCTGATGCTTGTCTTTGCTTGAGGGGATTAAACCAGTTTTGATAGATACACTATTGTCTCTTATTTTCTATTACCTGTATGTTGCTACCCACTGAGCAATAGACGGCTATTAGACGGCTAGTTTTTTTTAGACCTTAAGGTCCTTTCACACCGGGACCGTTTTTATCGTACGATTATTTCGGACGTCAATATTTTTTTTTTAACCCGTATCCTGTCAATACAAGCGTTCACATCAGCGACGTTTTCCCAACCTGTGATATTGCGGCATTTATTTTTTCGGATCATGGTCGATTTTTCTAAAGTTTTGCATCCTATGTGTCCACTTCTAAACAATCAGATTGTGTGTTGTTGCAACGTCAGATTCACCGGTATATCCAACATGGCCGACCTGCTAAACGTTTATGTGTCAGAGAACAGAGTGCTTTTTGATAAAAAACACAAATATTACAAAGATAACGACCTGAAGGACAACTTGTGGAGAGTCATAGCGTTGGGTTTCTCAAATGACGATGGTTTGTGTGCTTTAACAGTTTGCTAATCGTCTTTGTTTTAACTTTCATCTGTGCTAAGTAACTTTAGCTCGTAAGCTAACCTGTTGAGATACAACATACCATATGTATTTTCACTGTCTCAAACTCAATCGTGTTGCTGTCACGGCACCATTAGGTCTCGGTTGTTACCTTAAGTTTATGGATTTTAGTTTAATGTGCTTATCTGGTACTCAGTACATGCTATCATGACAGACAGCCATCTCAACACTAGAGTCTAATCAGAACTGAAAAACACTCAGTCTGCTGTTGTGTCAGTCTTCTCGATTACATCTCTTACATCTGTCTTTGTGATATATGGGATTAAATTTGAAGCATGTATTTCAATATCTACTTCTACCTTTGCATGTTCTGTGTCCTATGTGGGAGTACTGGACTGTGGTATTAAACTTTGCTCTGATTGGTTCACTTGCAATCACAGCTCCTTGAGTCAGGATTTCTCCTTCTGTATGTTTTTCTTCTCAGATGTAATTGCAAAATTAATTTGTCTGATGTGTTATAAGTAAAGTCTACCGTTTTTCTTTCCCCTTGACCACTCCACATGCCCTCCACATAAGCTGCTGCAGGAATGAAGAACACACTAGCTAATACACACGTACACGCTTACACACTCACACACATATGTAACCTTATTTGCTGGTGTGAACTCCAGGGACTGTATCAGGGTTCAGAGTTCTTAGAACACCAGCAACACACAGCGGGTCTGCCAGAGGAGCCACAGAGTGTGAGACACACACACACACACACACACACACACACACACACACACACACACACACACACACACAGAAACATACACACGCCACGGCAGCGCTGTCAGTGAGTCAGTGTGTGAGTCACACTCCGGCTATGCTGCCTCTCGATTTTATAACAGCCGCCAGCACGGCACTGTATCAAATATTCCAAACAACTGTACTGTGGGACTGTGTGGCAGACATGCACCTATACTTTAATATGCATCTCCTGCACTTTCATATACATTCACACGCACACACACATGCAGGAACACAATATTTTCTGTGGCCAACTACGCCTGCACAAAGATGTCTAGGGAGGTATATTCACACATATACAAACAACACCTTTACTTTCATGCTTTTCCTCCTGCAGCCACAGACACTGTTGCACTCTCGTTATTAGGGATGACTGCAGATGAGTCAGAATGGGAGAGGAGGGAATCCTTACTTCTTTGTGTGCCTGATCTATAGAGGAGCCAATCACAGAGTTCTGCATCACGGATACTGACTCCATTAGAGTTGACCTATGATTCACTCTGCATTTATTCTCACAGGAGAGTTCACAGCTTGAGATGTAGAGGTAGATAATATAGAAGGGAATTCACACCATAAGATGTCTGATTGAGATTAAGATTTCATGTTACAAATCTGAAAGTTACTGGCTTTTAGATTTAAATCTCGATCAGTGATTGAGTTTCCTGTTTTTATTATGTGTGATAAATGACACTCTCGCCATGATGAGAACTTTTATACACTAAGACCTACACTACACCTCATCTTTTGGATGTTTTCTTCAGCCACTTCAAAGCTCAGTCTGTGGCCTTAAAATTTAATCATTCTTCCTTTACATTGAAGTAAAACATAACAGAGAACATGCATAACCTACAGCTTTCAGGGAACACAATGTCTCTATACCAGTTTAACAAATATTACAGTCTAGGTGAGGTGGGTTTTAAACAGCACCCTCTGGTGGCCGCTTGGGGGAAGGAAACTACCTAATATTTCAAAGCAAAGGTGTGTGTGTCATATCTGAAGAGAGCGGTGATACCCCGTGCAGAATGAAAAGATCTGAAGGCGCAAGTTCGGTGTCTAAAGAAGGCGAAACCTGTGCCGCACTAGACAGCTAGTGGCAAAGTAAGATCAGTGGCACACAAGGCTCAGGGGGAAGGTACTGCATATGAAAGCAGCTGCATGAGTCTGTGCAGAGGTTGACGTGCGCTGTGGATGATGGATTTGTTAGGAGTGGCATGACACCGAGGGGCAATGAGTCAGAGTCAACGATAAGGACCTGAGGTTATAACTGACCTCTCCCAACTGTCCCCGTTTTCCCCGCCTCCTTTCTCTTCACATCTGGTTCTTTGCATGAGCGTCCCTCCTTGTTTGTGTTTTTTCCTCACTCAGTGACTCAGAACTAACTCTTAAATCCTTTATACCCCCGAACTCTTTTCTCTTTTTTTCAACTTTTTTTTGTTTTCTTTAGGCCGTATCCATTCCTTCTCTCGTCTCTGTGATCAGGGAGTGAACCCTTCAGGTTTACCTGCTATTGGAAAAAACTCTGACTCACACAAACACACAATTTGTTGGCGATGAGTCATAGCAACAGTGGCCATTCAGATCCACAGTACACCAGAGTCAGACTGGTGCAGGAGTGCGTGTTAGCGTGACTGTGTTTGCATACACATTAACCTTTGTGTGTATTAAAGTGTTGTTGCACGGTGGGTTAATGACACACCACCTACACAGCTTTTACCTCGCAGAGTCAGATAACATCTGTGTTGCTGAAAAGGAGGTTTTTGACTTGATATATAAAAAGAAAACACAACAAATTCAGTTTGTGCATGTGTGTTTGTACGCATGTTGTATATAATTTTTTTCTTTACGCTTCAAAAATGTGTCCAGAGGCAGAAAAATGCTCATCATGACACGGGCAGCTGAGGAATGATGAATGTGTTGAGTGACTCACGCAAGAGAGACACAGGAGCCATCAGCCGACACAGTGGCAGCAGCCTCCACTGTGACAGACGACACACACTGTAAAACACACTTACACACACACATTCTGATAAGAACAGACTATGTGGTGCAAAATGTCCCCAGCTTCATTTGTACCCCTTTGCATGTCTGTGGAGGAGATGAGTCACTTTCAACAGCGGTCGTCACGTAACTACTGTCACTTACACTGATTCACTCTCTGAACAATTTTCTAAAATAACAATCAAGCTCTCTGCCAGCATTTTTATGCAAAGTGAGTGAGGGTACGCCGTGCACTTATTATAGAAAAGCAATTCACTGGAACAATGCAAAATATGAAAACTGATTTATTCATAAGATGAGTAGCATGGAGCAATAAAAAGAAGTATGATGAAATACTTAATGAGCGTTTGGCTGTGTGTTATATAAAAAATAAAGCAAAGGCAACGACTCGGTTTAAAGACAGTGTTAATAAAAGGACAACATGTTCTGCTTCGCACAACTACAACACACTTTCACTACAATACTGCTCGCGACACCTGTGTCAGGTGACTTTGGCAATGACACAGCCTTTCTTTTTTACACGCTTGTAAAACAATAACACACCTTTTTAATATCCCCTCTCCTGTACGGACAAATTAACTGTCTTCATCCGTGTCCTCCTCTTCATCCTCCTCTTCAGATTCATCCTCCTCCTCCTCTTCATCCTCTTCCTCCTCCTCCTCTCTCCTCGTCTGGCGGCTGCCGGTTCTTTGTTGCTGTGACAACAAATAAACAGTCACTACGCAACTACAACACTTAGCAGGTTGTCATTAAGTGCAATTGGCACTTCCGCTCAGTGAACATTTCTCTTTTAACGAGGGTTGTGATTACGGGCAGAGAACACACCCCGGTATGAACGCACACAAAGTTCCCCCAGTTCTACGTGTAAATACAATATGAGCATAAATGTGCCAAGACAGCAAAGCTTGTACCATAGCATTTATTCAATCTAAGAACAGAATGTCACATTTTTCTTTTGAATGCTGGTTGTCCTCAGTATGCAAGTATGTTATTTATTTACAGCATTTTTCCGCAGATATTGTCACACTACTGTGCGCCACTGCGAGCTGTAATCTGGACATCTGTAGATAAAAGATATAAAGGAGAGGAGACAGCTTTTTTATGTCTGAGAGGCTGATGACTAGCTGTTTAGGCCTTTTTACAAGGTAAACAAGTTAGTACAGACGCACTGCTGAGATGTCACTGATATGCAAAGACACGTGTGGACGTTAAAACTGACTGACTCAGAGTTATGGAGCATCAGCTGAATTTTTGGTATGAGGAAGGATTCCAAAAAAAGAAAACAGGAATCTTTCCACTTCACTATCACAGGGGAATTTTTGCATCCACAAAATTAAACGTAAAAATAACACAATGACGGTAAATCAGCAAGAAAGTGATCTAATCTTTGCATGAGACAATCCATACCGTCCGTTTCTTACCTGTAAGGTCCCTGATGTACTCAGGAAGGAGCCGGTTCGATCCAGGGATGTTTTGGAATTAGCTCGCACTATGTCTAAGCGTGGTTGGTAGTCAGGGGGGTGCAGCAAGCTTCTGAACACCTGCCAAAGACAGTGGGCGCAATATTTTTCTAAAGAGAAACAGGAGAATCACAGCTATGCCTACACACACACCCTTCTGTAATCTTCATGTTTGGACGTAGAATCATGCAAGATGAAAATGATCTGGAACTGTAAAGAGGCAACAAATGTAGACAAAAATTGAGTTAAGGTTGTGACACAGCTTTACATAGTTTAGAGACATATTGAAATATGTAGAGCTCATATATAACTGCTGTAAAGTGGAGCAAAAACGCTCGGCTTGAATACTTTAGGGCCTGGAATATCCAGCAAATCAACTACTGCTCAGAAGGAATGCCTCCAATAATACAAACAACCCGCGTTTTAAAACTCACTGATGGTTTTCACTGAGTAGAAAATAAATTCCGCAAGCGCTCCTGATCAGGATTATCTTCATGCCTGTCATTGTGCATCTTTTCAGATGATTCAATCTCCCATGCTTTGTTCTATGAGTCATTGAAAAACAGCCCCGTCTGGGTGAGGAGTTTCGCTTCAATATGAATGGAAGCAGGATGATTCAGTGCAAAAACACACAGATGAGATGGTGAGAGATGGAGGAAAATAGCACAAGGGCATCTACAGGAGGAACCTCGCCTGCTCAAATATCATTGATCCATTGTGTTTTTCAAAACAGGCTTTGTCTCCTAAATAGTTCGGCAAACAACTTCAACCAAAAAGTAAACAGAAACAAGGGCCCAGCGTGACTCTGAATGGAGTTAATTCACCTCAGCTTACTTCAAAGTTACCACATCAGTTAGAGGGTGCAGACTAGAGAGTGCGTATGAGTCAGTGAGTAAAGGGTGCATAAGGTCACGATGGATCAGACTGGTTTCATATTGCACAGAATACAGCGCTAATGGAGACAGATTTAGATCTAGTACAATATTGAAGATGTGCACCAAGACTGACCCTCCAGTAAGAGGCCCTCAGTGTCCCGTCAGTTACTACAGGTTACACATTTTTATTGACTATTCTTTCAACTCTACTTCTTATGCAGTACTTATTAGTCTATGAAATGTCTCATTGAGATATTCAAGAGCCAACATAGCAACCTCTGTCAAATCAAAAGTTCAAATTGAAGGAATTTTGACAGAAACTGTATAAAAAGGCAACAAGTCCAGGCTTGAACCAGAAAAAATTTTGACTATTTGATTAATAACTGCTGAAATAATGGAAAAATAATCAAAATGTTTTGCAACTTTTTCTTTTTGAAGATTTTTTTTTGCCAATTTTAGGACTGAAGAGAGATTGGAATAGAAATGCTCTGGAGCGAGGACTTAACCTCTCCACGTTTCGCCAACTGGACAAAACCAACAGCTCATTAACTTTCTCTTGATTGTTCAGTTAATTAGTTACTTAATTAGTGAAATTTTTCGGCTTTTCTAAACAGACAGAAGAATGCGACAGCAAACTGTAACAACAAGGCTTTTATAAACGGAAAGTGACGAATCGCTCTACCTCCAAGTCCTCTTCTTCATCCACACTTTGAATGCTCTGGAAGGCCAACGTGTACACCTCCAAAGCCTTGGCATGAAACGCCATCTCCACTGTCACAAACTCCCCGAAGATCTTCTATAGAGGGAAAGTCCAGAATAATATATCAGTCTTGAATGAATCATAGCCGTTACCACAACAAACGAAAAAGAGTTCTGAAATGACAAAATGTGAATCGTTTTAAACAACTGAAGGAGGATAAAGAGATGTGGGCAGCTGTCAAAAGTCCAAACCATCACTGTCTGGTTTCATTTTACTGCCACCCACTGCATCTGCATCGACTGACATGTATTTCTAACCACTGAACTGTTTTTCTTTTGAAATCAGCGGAGAGCTCAGAGCTCCAGACCTTGAGGTCCCGGATCTTCTGCATCTCGAACTTATCTATGGTCTCCTCCAGCTGCCTTGTAGTCCGTGTGGCGTCCATGGTGGCTCTCTGGAGCTCACTCTCAGCCTGAGGGGAGAATGAATGAGTACACAACTTACCGCATAAAAGGATGCAACTGAAGTTTTTTCAGACAGCATGAGTCAACAGTGTCACTTTGTACAATCAGAATATAGATTCTTGCACTCCAACTACAACATACCCTAAAACAGAGGTTATACTATCCATACTACATTTGGATACTTGAATCATGTGCGTGAAATCATCAACTAAACAGAGAAGCACTCTCTGCAACCACTTTGGCTTGTGTACAACTATTCTGGCAGTGGCAAACATCTTCTAAAAGGTTCCAGAGTGAGTAACTGGTCAATCCATGATGTGTTTTCCACCTGATAAAGTGAAACTATCGTCTACTTTCGTTCTATATCCATCCAGCTTGTATTGTCACACTTTCAGACCACAGTTTCCTGTTTTTTTGTGACACATCACCAGTGATGAGATGCACAAGTAAAGTGGGGCACACCTGAGACTGAAGGCTGAGTCAAGGAGAAAGGATTATAAAAAAGATATTCTATGATTGCAGGTGGATCCTGGTGTAACTGAAAACTATAAGCAGGCACACATGATTGGACAACCCTCCGTTAAAAGCAGATGCTGATGATTTACTCATGTTGAAGATGTATACAAAATTGATTTCTGTTTGATAGGAGGAAGTTTGGGACACGAGACAAGGATACAATAATCTGCCTATCCGAGGGGTTTCTCTGTCTGGTCCTCTCAAGCTGGGCCATCTGTTTGGCCTCTCTGTCTCTGGCACTCTGAGTTGTCTTCAGATCCTCCTGCATAGATATTCAAAGATGAAAAAAAAAAACACAGTTGTCTTTATAAACAATAAAAGTGGGTCAAATAATCAATGATTTTGATTTGACAAACATTTGCTGCAGCTTAGTGTTTTCGGATTGATTCCAAATTTTAGTTTTTTTTTCCCTGAAACTACCACCAATGAAACAGAAATGAGAGAAAACAGAAGTGAATCATGTTTTAGTGCAGAAAAAACATGACAGAAATGTAAATTGCCGAAGGCTGCTTATTCAGGGAAATAAAAAACCTGAAATTATCGGTGTTTAACTGTATTGATGGGATAAGTAAATGAGCCACAGGGCAAAAAGTTAACTTAAACATGGCCTAAAAGCTTTTGTTTTGTGAGAGCGTCTTTTCATTTAAAAGACAAGAAAAACCTGGTTCTTTTCTGAATGTACTTTTTAGCTGTGGATGACAAGATAACAGCAGAAATCTTGAGTTATTTGGTCATGATGCAGACTGGACTTGCCTGTGAGGGAGGTTTTTATTACTGCAATGAGACTAACTGATGTGCTGGTTTAATGTCATCCTTATGCCAATAGTGCCCTCGTGTGGCTTGATCACAACTGCAGTGAAATGGTTTAGAGCAGTGGTTCTCCAGTCCAGTCCTCGAGGCCCCACTGTCCTGCATGTTTTGGATGTTTCCCTGCTCTAACACACCTGATTCAAATGATCAGCTCGTTATTAAGCCGTTACAGAGCTTGATAACGAGCTGATCATTTGAATCAGGTGTGTTGGAGCAGGGAAACATCCAAAACATGAAGGACAGTGGGCCTCAAGGACTAAACTTGAGAACCATTGGTTTCTTCTCTCATTTTTCTTGCTCATTATTGCTGGCTGCATTTGAGTAGAAACATTATGTATGGGAATGTGTCGTGACAAAGGGCTGCAGTGTGAATGTAAAACAAAAGACAACAGAAGGCTTGATGGAAAATTAAACACCTTCCCTTTTTTCAAAGTGCTTTGGCTCGAGCAAGATTACGTGGGAAATATCAGTACTTTGATGTACTACATGCATTCAAAAATGCTTTTAGTTTTTGTGACTTTGAAAATGTAGATGTGTGTTAACAACATAATAGCAGCAGCACAAGTCAGCACTCACCCTTTTACGTTTCACTACAGCTCCGTAGCTTTTTAAGGGCTGCACGACTTTGGTTTCTAGTCTTTCCACCTGTGAGGAAAAAAAATTAATGTCACGTCGTGTATCTCTGCAGTTGTTACTGAGATTAAAGCAGCGGAAAATAAAATACTGCAGTCTTACTTCAGCGTTCCGGTAGTCCTCAATCTTAGCAAGGTGGTCTGCAAACTGCTTCATTCCCTTTTTCAGGTTTGGTGTTTCTGTGTCTGCATATGCACCGATTTCCCGTACTAGGAGATCAGCTTTATCTCGTAGCCGCGCTGTTTTACGAGTATAGGCGGCAAACAGTTGGCACATCTCTCCAAAATGTTTCTCCACATTGGTGATGTTTTCCTGGATCTTTTTTGTCTGGTTGTCCCTGAAAATCAGAATCAGTATAAGAAATACTTATCAATCCTCAGAGGGAAATGTGGGTTACAGCTGCTCCAACAATGAGTATAATAATAATGTAAAAAATAAACATGAAGACAAAGAAGAAATTAGTAAGACATGTCAATTCTATGTGCAGAAAGACAAAAAAAAAAATAACATGTATAGCAGTAAGTAAGTCTATTTAAGCACAAGGCTGGAGAACAGCAGTGATCAAATAAGGACAAGGGGAATGAAAGTACAAAAGTCACCCATGTGTGTTTATGCAAAACGTTATTTTGCATTTTGCTTTCAGTCATGGCAATTTTAAGTTTCCGTACCACTGTGAAGGGCTCCACATTGGCAGAAAAACATCTAGTAGTTTGATGCATAGAATATAAACACATTGCTCAAAAAAAATAAAGGTACCACATTATCATCACACTGTAACTCCAAGTCAGTCAAGCTTCCAGGATATCGACCTGTCTAGGAAGCTTTAATGACTGTGAATCAATTTCACCTGCTGTAATGCAAATAGCAGTCAGTCAGGAGTGGTTTTACAGGTGGTGGCCACAGACCATTCCTCCCTCCACATCCTTTCTGGCTGATTTTCTGCTAGTCTTGCCTTTTTCCAGTGCCCTCATTACTGGTGGTAGCATGAGGCAGTATCTGCAGTCCACAGAAGTTGTTCAGGTATTGCAGCTCCTCTAGGATGACAGATCCATGACCAGAAAGGAGGGCAACAACCCAACAGCAGGACTTCTCTCTGCTACTTTGTCCAAGAAGAAACAGGAGGAGCCACTTGTATGTTTGGTTCTAACCAAACTGCCAGAAACAGACTGCATGTGAGGGTGGCATGAGGGCCCAATGTCCACGAGTGGGGCCTGGGCTCACAGCCCAGCACTCTGCAGTCTGATTGGCATTTGCCCGAGAACACAAATAATGACAGATGAGAGCAGGTTCACTCTGAGCACATGTGACAAACATGAGAGAGTAAGATGCTGTGGCGAACGTTCTGCTGCCTGCAACATCCACCACCATGACAGGCTTTGCGGTGGATCAGTGATTGGTTTGGGGAGGCCTATCCTTAGAGGGCCTCACAGACCTCCACATGCCATCCAGTGGTACCTTGAGTGCTATTAGGTACTGGGTTGAGATCCTCAGGCTCATTTTCAGACCATATGCTTGTGCTGGGTTCCTTCTGGTGCATTAAATGCATGACCACATGTGACTGAAGTGTGTCAGCAGTTCTTGAAAGATGAAGGCATTGATATTTTGACTATTCCTTAGGCCTGAATCAAATCGAGCACCTCTGTGACATCATCTACAATCGCCTTTCGAACCACAGACTGTCCAAGAGCAGATTGATGCCCTGATCCAGTGCTAGACCTGCTCTTGTTCTCTGAAAAGCATCTTGGGATGACGACTGTTGTGAATTGGCGCTATATAAATAAAATGTGTTTGATTGATTGAATTTGATTGATGTGGAGGCCATACACTCTACTGAGCCACATTATAGGCTGTCTTGAGAAAATTCACTAAAGTAGGATTAGTGTATGCTAAAGCCACAAATTAAAGGGATATTCCGGCATAAAATTAAGTTAGGGTCAAACACACTGTAACACCGAGTTAGACACCCCCTCAAGAGATGAATGTTGTCATTTCTTCATGGAAATGCAATCACACCAAGAGACTAAGGCAGAAGAACTACCACGTCTGCAGTACAAAATGATTAATATGATGATTATTACTTCAAGGAAATGATAAAGAAATGATCATAAATGTTCTTTCTTGAGCTGCGTCACCCCGCTGCAGCCCGTAATGGACTGGCCTGAGGTCTCGCTACAAACAAGTGGTTGCTGGAAGAGAGTAGGTGAGTTGTGTTTAGTCTCTTTGCTAAAGAAATCAGGCAAAGCTAAAAAGATGTTTGGTGGCTAGTGCTATGGCGGGGACCCTATATGTTCTGTTGATGAAGTTAGGTGCTGTTCTGAGCATTATTTGTGACTATAGAGTGGCGTTTTGGTTGAGGTTTGTTTATGGCTCCTCAGACCGCTGTGTATTGCTATCGTGCGGTCGTTACTAAACTAGAGAAGCAAGCAGTTGGTGACGTTTATCCCTCGAGGGGGTGTCTAACTCTGTGTTATGGTGTTTTTGACCCTAAATTAATTCTACGCCGGAATATCCCTTTAATGTAGATTTCGATGCAGAAAAAGAAACAAGTGGTAAAAAGGAAAGAAAGAAAAACCCTCTTTATTATCACTAGCTGGAATGAGTGTGTGTGTGTGAGAGTTGTTAACGTCCAGTACTTTCTAAAAGAAAGAGTTAGCAAAAATGTCTCGCCATTTGCTCTTTATTTGGACGAGCCAAACAATCGAATTAAGCGGCTAGCTCTGACCATGGATAGTAAACACCAGTTGATGGTCCTTATCGTGGTTCATCATCTGCGCCTAGAGACTGAATTTTGCGGGAAATAACATAAATGCACTTACACTTGAAGAGAATAAAAAACCCCGAAAAACTGTGTTTTATTGAAGATATCATGACCCCTAATCCCAAATGTTTTGCTGGTCCTTTCGATAAAGCTGACGCTAATTTACAGGCAACAGCTCCCTCGCAACAAACGTTAGGAGTTAGTTTAACACGCAGACTCTCTCTCTCTCTCTCTTACCTTGCTCTTGCATCTGGTGTACGGCTCATCTCTGAAAAGGGTAAAAACTAGATTAAATCAAAGTTCAGCTTCGAGAAATCTCGGAAACTAGCAAGATTTTGCTTTTTTTTTCTCGCCACTGGCTAGCACGCCAGTCTGCCGTTTCCATGGAGTTTTCGTCACTTCCGCTTTGAAAAAATGCATTATGGGAGACTGAGTTGTTGGTTGTCTCCACGGTTTTCACCAGGTGTAGGTTCCTTTAAAGAACAATTTTTACACTTTACTGTAAATGAACTGTATTAGACAGTGTCAAAATCTCTTATTTTTTAAATTTAATCATATTTCTTTAACACGCTTGAAGCACTTTTTGTTGAAATGTCACCCCCTGTTATTATTTTAATTTTATTTTTATTATTATTATTTTTTTACCTTGTTAATGTGTTATGGGTTTGTGCTGTTTCAAGTGCAGGCAGTTATTTCCTCAAATGAGTTCTTTGAAGATTGTTGATATGTATTTCATTTCAAATTTAAACCATCAGTGGCAAGATGTTGACTTTTATTTTGTAATAAGAAACAGTGTAAGGGGGTAGGAGTCAGTTGAGCTGCTGAATAAACAGCCATGTTCCTATATTTATTAACAATTAATGATAAATTTGACTGTCAATATGAGGTTTTTGTCTGGAGACACGACTTAAGCAAAGACTGCTTTGTCCACAAGGGGTGCCAAAACAGACAAAAAACAAATCTTCATCACAGGACCTTTAACTATTAAATGACTATATGGGGCAAACTCAGGTGTTTTATGAGAAACGCTTTAGTTTTTCACACCTTTGCCATCCCAGCAAATAGCAATTGTTGCATTTTTTACTTCTATATCATTCAAAACTTTCAAATCTTGCAGATTGTGACTGATACATTATTGATACCACACCATGGACACCTCAGAAGATAAGGAGATAGGGGGAAAAATAAATTGATAGATTTTTGGGGGTAACCTAAAGAAGTTTAGCATTGAATATTTCTTTGTTACAGGTTCAAACTGTGGTAAAAATATAAATCTAGTGTAAGAACAAGAATATCTATATTTTAGCAGGAAAGATGCCACCAAAACTCACCAATACAATACAATACAATACAACACAAAAACTTATCCCCAAGGCTAAATTCATTTATCTAGAATCCCAGATGAACTACAGACAAAGTTATGATCTGACCTGTGCAGTGGTGGGAAGGCAGTAGCATGCAAAGGACAGGTCTAAAGAGTTTTAACATGTCTCTGAGTGCAGTTGTTGTATGTCAAGAAATGAAAACCAATTCGTACTCACAGGCAGCAGGATACACCCCATTTGGAGCCAGCCTATTTCCTCATCGTTGCCAGCCAGCCGTGATCGTATAGAGGTTAGTACTCTGCGTTGTGGCCGCAGCAACCCCGGTTCGAATCCGGGTCACGGCAGCTTTTCTGTCACAGATATAAACACATAAATATGAACAACATTTGATGAATACTGAGTCTGTCATGTGAACAAAGGCTGGTTGCAAAGTGGAGTGCGTTCATTTACAATCCACTGAGGTCAGAATAATTTCGCAAAATATAGTTTCAAACTGAAAAAAATCACCTAGTGGCTCCAACAACAGGGAATTGTTGTTAAAATTGGGCTAAAAAAAGACAAACAACATGGCGAGTTAAAAAAAAAAGAACCACATACTGTATACATCAGCTGTTTGGGGACCAAAACTTGATTTACAGGATCACGTCCGTGATGTCTCGCGTTACCGCTGCACAAATCTCGCCTGTGGCACTTACCAGGAAGCGAACGGCGGAAATACAGATCTCTTAAATCCACCTCACACTCAGCGCTCACCATCATTCAACAGAGTCGACATTGCCTTCACTGACAATGCCAGCCGAGTAGAAAGCGGACGTTTTCAACAAAAACCGGTGGACTGCTTTGAAGAGACTATGTTGTCGCGTTGATGTACCAACCAGGACGGATAACGAGCCAATGACCGAGCTGAGAGCGCCCTGTCTCTGTAAACACCGGTACGTCCAACAACAACCAAGCCTTACTTTTAAATGCATATGTGCCGAAACACATGCTAGAAAAACAGACAGAAAAGACTTAAAATGTGGCAGATATTAATGACTACAGAAAACAAATCCTCCGATCATGATGTGCATAAAACAGATGCAACCATGTGGATATTTGACAGCAAGTGAGGGCGATCAATCGTGTTAAAGTGTTAGAAATGACCTCTTGTCTCTCTATTATTGTTCAAATGGTACTTATCTTCTATTATTTGCAATAAAACTAAAAAAATGAGGATTCTTGAAGTCAAAATAAGGTAGGCAAATACATCGGTGATGTAACAAGTGGTCACCATTATCAGTCTAATCTTAACCCTAGAACACTATCATTAAAATAAGTAACACCATCACTATCGCAGGGTGATTTTTACCCGAAACAATATACCCAATAAAAATTACTTGTCATCAAAATAGGAGAATACATGACAAATTAAAGTAGTTTTCTTTTATTTTTGACTGTGCAATGTCCAAAGGGAGGGGAAAAAGTGCCATTGAAAAATGCAACAAAATAACTGAAATTAGGCATTCATTAACAAAAAAATCCTAAAATATATACATAAATTGAAACTGTAAACTTAGTTTCTTTTCCACCCATTCCTGGGGCTTGTGAGTCTTCCCTGGTGAAGACTCAGGGTCCTTCGCACAATAACAGCTGCAGGAGAGAGAACCAAAATATGACAGATTTTGAGTGAGTACAAATCAATCAATTAATCAATCAATCAGTCTTTATTTATATAGCACTTGTCATACATAACATGTAGCACAAAGTGCTTTACACAGAAAAGGAATAAAAGAAACAAAGAATACCCCCCAAAAAATCATTGGCGACAGTGTTCTAGGGTTAAAATAAAAGCTGCATAAGTCTGTGTCTCCTATCATTTAATGTAATGCTCTGTAAAGATGCAAGGAGGTCCCTTTTCTTTTCACATGTCGTTGTAGCTGTCTTTACTCTAGTTTAGCAATCACAAAACTGGATCAACAAGTTGTGAAATGTGTTCTTAACCAGATGTATCATTTACCAAACAAAGCCTTGATTTTACGCATTAAAGCATGTGCTTGTATAACTTTTTTCGTAAGACTTAGGATGGCAGTGTTAATAGTAATGAAGCTCTAAATATGTGAATGTTTTTATGTTTCTACATTTCTTTTTGCATAGTATTTATAATTTACCTCCAGGACATCACTTCATTTATTGACTCCATCTCTTACTCCTCATTTTCAGACATATGGCCCCGCTCCACAGCAGTTTGACAGAGACAACATAAGGGGCTGACACCAGCATAATGTTTCTGAAAACATCATTCACCACCCTGATTGTGGGGGTGTTTGTGGTGTACGTGCTCCACACCTGCTGGGTGATGTATGGAATAGTTTATACGAAACCCTGTGACAGGCCTAAAAGTGACAACTGTATCACACCCTTCCTGGCAGGGAATCCAAAACTACAGGTCAGTAAATGAGGACAGGAGTCAGTGGATTTGTTCCCCCACTTTCTGGTTCTCCTCCACTGTGTTTTTTTTGTTAGTGTGTTGGTGTTGTGGCCTGCAGTAAGCTGTATGACTGTAATATTACCTTAGTGTTTCTCTGTGTGTTCAGTTAAGTATCTACACTGCACTGCGGCCCAATGCAGAGGGAGGCCATACACTGATCCATAAAGAGGAAGAATTTGATATCAACACAAAGTTTGAGAGGTTGGTTTCGATCTCATGTTTAAGATTTTGACTTGGTATGAGAAAACGGTTACAACAAACACAGAAAATGAATTGTTTTTGAAGTGATGCGAAAACAGATATTAATACACATGTTTAGTGAGCCATGTTTGCAGAAACAACAACCCTACTTTAATCAAGGATTTCCAAGAAATCCCGTTGACATACTGACATATAAGCCTTAATCTCATACACGTTGTATTTTAATCCGAAACTCTTCCTCCTTTTTTTCCTCCTTCCTTTTCTCTCGCTCCCTTTTTTAGGATCGTAAATGTGTCTCTCCCTAAGAAGACCCGCAACAATGGGACTTTATATGCACTAATATTTGTCCACCAGGCTGGCTTCACCCCATGGCAGGATCCACGACAGGTCCACTTGGTGGCTCATCTTACAACATACATGGTCCCAAAACAGCCTGAAATCTCTTTAATATCAGGAGAGGATAAAACACAGGTGCGAAGATATTCAACAGCTGACCTCATTAAATTTGAGCTCCAATGTAACACCTGCATAGTATTAGAGGAGGAATTCGGTATCTAATTAGGTGTTTGATTTGAGAGGTTAATTCCTTTGCATGACTTTGTCTGTGTGATTACAGAGTCAGGCAGAAGACTCCCCGAAAAAGAAACAGCGTGCCGCTTCGGGGGATGGTTCTACATCCACATCAGATCACCCAGTTTCTCACTGGCGCTCGCGCTTGACACTTAACGTTGTCGGGGACCACTTTGTGTTTGATAGAGAATACCTGCCCAGCGATGTCCACCGATACCTCAGAGTGTAAGACACATATGCAGATAAAACACTGTCTTAGAATAAAAAAACGAGTGGGTCGGATCTTTGAAACAGTTGTAGATGTGGGATGCTGTGCACACTGACACATTTTGGCAGTTAAAATTGGTAAAAATGATTTGAATCCAGAGGCAGCGGAGGATGTTTCATTCTGTCTGTTTTTCAGATTCCAAAATGGTAAAAAGATGGTCTATCTACCTCTGCTGTTTGTTGATGAGCTCAGCAACCGGGTCAAAGACCTTGTGGTAAGCTCTAACTTTTTAAATGAATATCACATAATGGCTGTTTGGCTGATTTTAAAATGCAGTATTAACTCTTGTTTTGATTTTTGATCAAAACTTGTTAAAATCAAATTTAAAAGACTAAAAGACTATTTGCTGTAGACGTTTAAAGGCCTAAACGCACCTCAAACAATGTGGACTCTACAAGATTTGATCAAGTTAGGTTTTAGATTTAACATTCAACCTCTCTGAGATTATTTGAAAATGATACACACATATGAAGGATGATTATGTTTGTGTGATTATGTGTGTATTTGTAGGGGATCAACAGCACCTCCACAGAGCTTCCTCTGACCATCTCCTATGACTCAATCTCTCTGGGGAGGTTGAGATTCTGGATCCACATGCAAGATGCTGTTTACTCTCTGCAGCAGTTTGGTATGTTAAACTCTCTTTCTCTCATATACAAACTTTGTAGAAGCCCTTTGCTGTAATAACACATATCTATCTCTATGTCTGTCTGTCTCCCTGTGTGTGTTGCAGGTTTCACAGAAAAAGACGCTGATGAGATTAAAGGAATCTTTGTGGATACAAACCTGTACTTCCTGGCTCTGACCTTCTTTGTTGCTGCCTTCCATGTAAGACTCAAATCACAGCATTTCACTACATGCCATTACAAAAATCGTACTGTGACTGAAAAGCAGAGGAGACCCATAGAGAAATCTGATTTTGATTTCTTGACATAGCAGTGCCTGAATAAAATTAAGAATAGTTGGATTTTGCATCAAGTTGATGACTTCATCCAGCACATAAACGAAACAGGACTGTTCCAGCTTTAAACTCAAACATGTATGAAGTCACAGTAATTTATGGTGCAACACTTGAGGTTGCTGCTCAGTCCAAACATGATAAGCTCACTCAACTGTGTATTCTTGAATTGAATAACTAGCAAGTAGCTGAATCAGTTATTGAAAGTTGGATTTTTGAGCAGTGTGCACAAAGTGATTCAAACTTTACCCACTCTTGCTTGATTCTCAAAAAAAAAAAATACATCAGCAAAATAAAAAGAAGCACAAAAATACTTTCTGGCACTTTGATAAGTAATAAATCTGTGTTGTATCTTCTGTTTTCTCTTCAGCTCCTGTTTGACTTCCTGGCGTTTAAGAATGACATCAGCTTCTGGAAACAAAAGAAAAGCATGGTGGGGATGTCCAGCAAAGCAGGTTGGTCATTTTTCCTTCATTGTCTTGATTCACTTACACATTGCTCAAACATGTTTAGTCACTATATCAATAAGGGAACAAAACAATAACAAAGTGTGAAATGTTACGAAATTCAGCTGCATACTTACTGTGATCTGATCTGTTAACAGTGCGTTTTAATTTCAGTGCAACAGTGGTTACCAAAGGTTCCTCTGACACATGAAGACGAGTAGATTTGGAGTTCATAAGAGAAAAAAATGTCAAAACTCTGAAAATACATTATTTGTGCTTGTTTCATTTTTTTCAGTGCTCTGGAGATGTTTCAGCACGATTGTGATTTTCCTCTATTTGTTTGATGAGCAGACCAGCCTTCTTGTCCTCATACCTGCTGGTATCGGCTCGATCATTGAAGTGAGTACACAGAGACTGGAATAGTCCTGTGAAAGCCTTAGATAATTAATTACTCAGAAATACTAAAGTTTCTTTGCTTAATGCCACTATTCAGAGAATTGAATGAACATTTACCTGCTTGACATTAAGCTACAGCTTTATAAACCACGACAGAATCAATTTGATTTTTGTTTGAAAATAGGTTCCTGTTGGTAAATGTTGTTTCTGCTCGTTTCAGGTTTGGAAAGTAAAGAAGGCCTTCAAGATTCAGGTTTTCTGGAAAGGAGGCAAACCAACATTCTTGGTATGTCTCTGTGAATGCGTTCGATCTAGATATCAGAATTTTTCTCGATAGGGATCAGATCTTGCTGCTCTTGGTTTCTGTCTACTGGTCGACTGTTAGTTAATGGTACTTGAGTTTATATGTGGGACAAAAGAACCATTTTCTCTGTCATGCAAAAGCCATACTTTTTGACTGCGATAAACAAGTAATCCAAACAGAGGTCTGAATGCAATGGTATAGTTAGAATAAAACACATGTTATAGATTACACCTGGATTTATATTCAGATTGAAAAATCTGCATTTATCAGATCCAGACACACTTACAGCTGTAAAGTTAGAGTAAATCTGTGTGAAGACGTGTGTAAAGAGTGAATTTATGTTTCTCTTTTCTTTCTGTGGAACAGTTTGGGAAGTTAGATGAATCTGAGAGGAGAACAGAGGAGTACGACACCCTGGTAAGACACTTGAGAGTCACACACCCAGGTCGCAGGTTGTTTAAACTAAATGTGTGATATTCTTATGTTACTTGTGTTTCTCCATAGGCCATGAAGTATCTCTCATACCTCCTGTACCCGTTGTGTATTGGCGGGGCGGTGTACGCGCTAATATTTCTACGATACAAGAGGTAGGGGTTCATGTGTAAACAAAACATACACACTGTAATTAAAAAACACATTTTTTCTAAAGTGCTGCTGATGTTGTCAAAAGAATAACATGATATTATCTGTTTTAGCTGGTACTCATGGCTGATCAACAGTCTGGTTAACGGTATGTTTGTCTTTGAATCTGATTACTGTATTAACAGGATTAAGGCAATTAATACTTGAATGTTATTTGACTGAAAGAAAAGACTTTTTAAAATATGTTTGATTATTTCAGGAGTGTACGCTTTTGGCTTCCTCTTCATGCTTCCTCAGCTGTTTGTCAACTACAAGGTCAGTTTAGCATAATGAAAGGAAATGTGAGATCGGTCCTTGTTCCACTGATATTTTTAACACATTTAAGAAAAAAAAAACTTTTTAAAAGCATTTGCGCAGCAGGAACTGTTTAATAAAAATGTTGAAGGCCAAAATAAGACCCATTTACACTCACTGTTACTCACACAGTGTGTCTCTTTGGAGTCCAACAAAGATGTGGTACTCATTTCCTTCTTAATTAAAATTTACATCCACGTTGACCAGCTTGCTGTCGTAATTGCAGGTGTCACTACCACCTTTATATGAGCAATGATGTTTAATATTAAACAATATGCCTGTGCATCACCATGCACCATGGACCAAATACACAAAATGAGAAGCCAACAATATAAAACCACTTATATGGTGGCAATATTAACATTCTACAATTACTAAAATGTAGGTATTTATTTTTCTGCTGATGTTTTCTATCTGATACGCTACAATTTTAATAATTTATCTTTTTAACTTGACAGCTAAAATCTGTGGCCCACCTGCCCTGGAAAGCCTTTATGTACAAGGTAAGAACACAACTTTGATAACCTGTTAATTTAGATTATGTGTACTAACGAGTGAAGTTAGAATAAATGGGTGGACTGTATTTGGATATGCTGGGAATTTAGAAGTCTGTCTTTGTATTAAGTTTAGTAAAGAATCATGTTTGGTTTGCAACAGATATTCAAATATAAAATAACTTTATTGAAATTCGCTGTCAACAGCAGTATTTGTTTACTGATGCATTTGATGTTACAGGCTTTCAACACCTTTATTGACGACGTGTTTGCCTTCATCATCACCATGCCAACGTCCCACAGACTGGCCTGTTTTAGAGATGATGTGGTGTTTCTCATTTACCTCTACCAGAGATGGTACACACACACACACACATGCACGCACCTCATGATTTTCCTTGATTCCTCAGTCCATGACAGAGTTTTCTAACATTAGACTGTCTCTTTCTCCAGGCTCTACCCTGTCGACAAAACAAGAGTTAACGAATACGGAGTTTCTTACGATGAAGATAAACCCAAAGGAAAGAAACACAAGGACTAGAGAGGAGAGACAGATTTTTGGCTTCCACAGTGTGGTACCAGCAAGTTTTGTCTGCAGTTCACTGGTAACCACTGATCTTGTTTGGCATCATTCACTTACCGTCCCACTACCCGCCTTATTGCTGTCCGGGGGGGTTCTTCTTTTTGTTTTGCGCTGTGTGAAAGGAAAGAAGGGTCGATCAGCTACATCTTCAACCCATTTCAGTCGATACAGTTTGTAAAACACCCAGCTCACAGCAAATAGTCAGTCTCTTACAGTTCTGAGTTAACGAGTTTCTGAATGAGTAGACTGCTGACTGTGGTCTCTTTTCTTCAATGTTTACTTGTGCCATAGATTCTGTCTTGGTTTTCTTCAAACACCAGTCCATAAAAAGGGATTTTTATACTTTTAATAATGATGTGTTTACAATGCAAAATGAACTGACGTGGTAAGGTATATTCTCATTCCAATAGGTCCAGGTGTGATACATGTGAGAATTCAGGAAAAGTACCAAGTCATAATTATTGCTTGGGCTTTGATTTTAATTGTACTTGGAAACTTAAGTTGCTACACAGAGACAGAAGAGCTGAATTGAATGATGGTTAGGCAGCACAGAAATGGGAGGACAGCAAGTAGATGTAAGGACAGATGATGTTTCATTGTTGCACTCTGAAAATGCCGTTCATCACTTACCTCTCAGAAACTATAAATATGTGCATATTTTTTATCCCAAATTAACAGCGTTAACAGATGAGTTTCCACACTGTATATAAACCTAGAGACACAATCCAGAGTGACAGACTGTGTTAAAGTGAAAATAAACAGTTAAGAGCTAAGATATCTGCGGAAGGAGTTGAAGAAAAAAGACACTTATTAGGAAGAAAAAAGTCTTGTTATTTTAAGATACATCATTTTAACATCTACAGTCTTTCTTCTGGCTTTATTACTCATGAGTTTAAGCCTATGACAGCTAGTAAAATATTCCAATTTGTGTCTGTGGTGAAGAGAATGAACTTCCTAAAAGCTCAAAATCATTAAATGCAGTCGAAGCAGCCATGAGACTCTGATATGTTGCTGCAGAGATTGAATATTTAAAACTTAAACCTTAAAATCTCTTAATCTTCTTGGTTAAACTATTCCACCTGTCCCCTGCTGTATCCACACTATGAATAACGCTGATTGAATTCCACTGTAACATAAGGGACCTCTCAGTCATTCTCTCCTTTCAGTCCAGCCGTTTTACCTGCTTGAGTATTTTTTACACATCAGGGCCAAGATAACATTTTAGTGCCAAATGTGAGAATTACACTGAATAGTTTTTGAATTTTGAACTTTCACCATGGTTGGTCAATTTGATGTTTTTTTTTAAAAGACCCAGACATTGTGGAAAGAACAGTAAACGGTTAGAATTGAGAAGTATTATGACATCTGAATTTGCTTGCCATAGTTCTAATGTTATGTTCTGAATTTTGATCTTAAATAGAAAGACTTGACTTGGAATCAGCATACACCATATGCAGATATCAGGATAAGGTCTGTGCACAAAGATATAGTACAGGTTTTCTCTTCCGTGTAAAAGCAGCTAGGAGAGACCTACCAGAAATTTGCCTTGAAATGGTTTTACTTACTGTTTTTGTTTATGTTTTTGATGGAGATGGAATAAAGTGACTGACTTAAAGCTGTATGGGATGAATTCATTCAGCATCTCTGAACATATTTTGTACTGCTTAGTCTTTCAGTTCTGGGTTCTAAGGTTCTAAGCATAATCTGTATATAAGATATTAAATAATAATAACAATAATAATAATAATAATTATCATTATTATTATTATTATTATTATTATTATTATTATATACAGTCTATGGTTCTAAGGCTTTGATTTGGAGTACGTCTGATGTCACTTTGTGCGTACTGACGTCTGACGCACGCAACTCGGACGTAGAGTACATAAAGCAAAATCCCGCCCTCTTTCCTTCCCTTTCCGCTGTACGACGTAAACGTGCCTAAGGTGCTCGGTTCTTCACCCGAAGCTAAGGCCCCCAATCCGGCGACTAGCACCGTCAAATTTAGGCATCCGTCTCGACAGACATAAAATCTTACATCTACAATGGCCTCCGTGTCTGAGCTTGCGTGTATTTACTCTGCTCTGATCCTCCACGACGATGAAGTCACCGTCACCGTAAGTGTCCCGGCTCGTTCATGACAGTTCAGTCAATGCATTTAAACCAGACCCTCATGTAAGCTGTATTGGTGTTGAAAGCTTAAGATAAATGAGTTGAAACATTGAAGGTTGTATCATAAAGTAAAGTCTTGAATGAGTTTAGTAGAAAAGGAGTATATTGGTCAACACAAGCTTATCTGCCGGTAAAAATGGCGGCACGCTTCTTACTAGCGTAGGCCACGTTTCTGTCTTGTGTTGAAGAGGACTCAAATCTACTATGAAGCTTTAGGCGTTTCTCACTACATTCCTTCATGAGGGTATTTCCTACATGAAATTCAGGATACCTCGGCTCTTCTGACAGGTGCCGGTGAATGCTGATGGTTTATGGCAACAGTCAGTCATGCTTTAACCTAGGGGTTGTACAGGTTACTATCGTGGACAGTATTTAAGTGTGCCTCATAGTATACTTGGAAGAAGTCGTTATGTATCATTAGGACACAGATATTTAAGGTGTAGAAGCTTGACCAGTGTAATACACGTGGTTGCTGCTCAGCATCTGTGTATGAGAACCTCTAGAATCACTTATTGGATTTGGATACTTTTTCACAGTAACTGAAGATGATAGAAGAGCCACTTTATTACCTGTTATTTAAATATACAGTACATGACTTCAGTAATCCTCAGTGGCTCTCAGTTGTCCCTCTTAGACAATAAAGCATCCTTTAACATCCTCTACCAATAAATAGCAGGTGCTTTCAAAAGCTTGAATGAAGAAATAAAGCGTGCTCTGAGGTTGGAGTTAATGTACTGATTTATCTGGACTCAATACTGAAGGGCAAAGATGTAAGTTTGTAATAATTGTGTCATGTCTGTAGGAGGACAAGCTGAACGCTCTGATCAAGGCTGCTGGAGTGACCGTGGAGCCTTTCTGGCCAAGTCTGTTTGCCAAGGTGAGTGAGAAGTGCGCACATTCAGACATACCAAAAATCAGATACAATGGTGGAGATGATAACTTTGAATGTTTGAAGAGAAGTGCACATGTAAGATTTAAAATGAGTAATCAAAACATCTGTTCTTAAATCTGTGAGTTTTTAAGTTTTTTAGCACTCAGTAGTTTACATACATTCAAGCTTCAGCTATAGGGGATTCAACTGGAGAGCTGTCCTTGTTCTAGTACGCAAAGGCCTGACAGAAGTGATTTCTTGACTAATCTTCCGATTAACCCATGATGCCACATGGTAACAGTCAATAAATGATGTATGATGAAGACCACAGTCAGCTTCACAGCTGTGTACCAGTTATATATTTAACTGTAAGTTTAATCTTTTTTAAACAGGGTTGTAAACATAACAAGGTTTTGTTCACAGCCCAGTTGTCTTTAATGTATTTCTGCTTCTGAGTCAAAGCCATGTGTACAAGTTGGGAAGCATTGCAGAGAATGTGTCAGTTCAAGTATTATTGAGGTCTATACATGCTAAAGAACATCAGTACCAAACTGTATTATCTGGGTATGAAAATCTGACTGAGAAATTAGACTTATGTATGAAAAAAAATTACCATCATGTAAACATACTGAGTTGTGAAATAATGAATTGTCTTTTGACTTGGTACTGAAATGGGGTTTTCCAAGGCTCTGTGCAATGGACTTTACCCTATTGTAGCAGGATACAGGTGGATTAATAACTTTTACAAGCGTTACCATATATAATATCTAAACAATGACTTAATATGCAGTCAAGTTTTAGTGACACGGCACTGATGTCATGTCTAAAGGTCATTGTTACTCACCAGATCAATCGAGTCCTGGCCACGTGAATAAGGTGAATCTGAACCTTTGAAACTTGTCCTTTCGTAGGCTCTTACCAGCGTTGACATCGGCAGCCTGATCTGCAACGTTGGAGCCGGTGGTGGAGCTCCAGCTGGTGCCCCTGCTGCTGCAGGAGCAGCTGCTGCTGGTGACGCCCCAGGTAACTGTACAAACTGTGGTTTACACTGAGGGAAGGATTTAGACAGGGTTATCAAACAAGATCCGGATTAGGGCTGCACGATATTGGAAAAACAAAATATTGCAGTATGAAAAATGGGTAAATGCACCTTGTTCTGAGCTACAGAAGTAAAATTTACTGTTTGAAATGTACTTCAAATACTTGACTTTTAAACTCATGGTTGATGAGTTAGAATATCTTCAACGAACCGCATTCAAGTGGAGTGGTTGTGAGTGGACCTGTTCACTGTGGAGTTACTGAATTCTGATAGTTTGGTGACGTCAGCAGGGTCCCTTGCTTGTTTATGTTTTACAGTCATGTGACACACCAGTCTGGACTCTGCAGGCACAGCAGTCATCTGTGTCCTGATGAGGGGCTGCATTTACTTCATTAGTGGATCTGCATGAGCAGATAGCAGTAGGGACAGCCGAGCAACAAATCATCCAGCTTTTATCAAGATGTATCATCCTCATGTAGGGGCAAACTGTAACAGGATGTGTTTTTATAATTTCATTGTTTTGTTTACATTTATTTACCACTTAAATAGGTATTAAATTTGAGGTTTTTGGCCCTTACCAAAAAAGAAATGAGCTGCCCTTATGTCTCTCAGTCCAGAGAATCCTGAGTCATTTTGATTTTAACCAAACCTTGTCTTTTTGTCCTACAGCCAAGGAGGAGGAGAAGAAAGAAGAGAAGAAGGAAGAGTCTGAGGAGTCCGATGATGACATGGGCTTCGGTCTCTTTGATTAAATCGGTTGTTTTTGTAAAAACACAATAAAACTACAAAAACCAACTACACATTCTCCCCCTTTTTTTTTCTTGGAACAAACTCTGTTGTACTTACACACTGACCTCTTGAAAATAGATGATAAAAAACAGACTTGAGAACACATCACAAATAGAAAGATTTTACATACTGTATTGTTTGACTAGAATGAGGTAATATGACCAATTATAAGAGAAAACACAAGAAAGTACAAGCTTACTTTTTTCTGTCAGTCCAGTGATTTTCCTCAAAACCTTTTTCACAGTTTGCCAGAAAGAAATTTGTTACACAACTCAAATCCATCAGTGACACGACAGTGGGGGTTTTTGATCGTGGGATTTTAATGACAAAACATTAAGACTGTAAGAGTACTTTTAATGTGTAGGTGGAAATACATTGTTGCGATTTGCATGTGTGAATTAGTGTGTCAAAGTTGCCATGCCCATCAGCAAGCTCATTCACTAGTCAACTGATGCCAGACTGGAAGTTCAGCAGAAATGTATCACAAGTGGTTGGGAGTCTGCAGTACTCCACTTGAACACTGGCTGGCAGTACTGTGTCTATGACTTTTATATTAAGGGGCTGCAGCCTGAGTTTCCCCTAAAGATTTATTCACAGAGTAGCCTTTTCAAAATAATCACAATAAATCAAAGAACTGACATTAGGAAAATTAATACATTTGAGGTGTAATCAGTAAGAGTTATGTAAGTCTTTATATTTATGATTGTCTTGGTGGCTTTTCTGTCTTTTCGTCCTTCCAGTGAGTTCAAATACATTTCATTTCATTTGTTGGGTAGGTACTGTAAAACCAAAGAGACCTTCAAAACGATGGAGAGCTATATTAACTTCATTAAATATAACATTAGGAATTAAGTACTACAACCTATCTGTGTTCTTTAGTGTTTGAACTAATTCAACTGAAAACTAATGTATAATTCATGGAAGTCAAGTACATCTAATCCACCATGATAGTATGGATTACACAAGACATTTGAATTAATATAGTGAGGCCTATTTCTGCACATAAAGTTGAATAAATGACGGCCTATTTTCTCAACAAGTCATATTGGCACATCTAAAACCTTGGCCAGACAATCCAAGGAGAGTATTCTTTAGTTTTTGACAAAAGTATGTGATAAATCCCTCATTAGCCACATGTCAAATTTAATGTCAAGTTTTTTGGGTAAAGAAGTTCAAAAATATAAATCTGCTTTTCCTGGTCTTTACTGATATTCATTCCCCAATATACGCTTTGTTCTTTGACCTGGAATAGCTTGATCACATAATCCTAATACACTGGACAAAAGACCGTGTTTTACTGCATCAGGAGCTTTTTATGTCTATGAATAAAATATAGCTGTTATCTGTTATGTAATACTCATAGCCAACGAGATTTAAAAGTCATAGAATATAATGACTTATATATAACTGTGTACTGTGATGTCAAAAAGCTGTGTTACGATAGTCTACTTTCGGCCACCCAGATTAACGTTATATTGCCGGCACTCTTGTCTTTTCCTAACTTCAGCTTTAATTCCCCATGTTGTCTGTTCAAATTTCTTGAATGACAAGTCTTTCCTGTGCAAGACTTAACAATTTAGGAGCTCCATTTAAAGGCACCCTTACTGTGGAGCCTCCTTGAGGTGTTACGGACCTCACTTACCAAATCTCTGCAAACGGAGGTACTTCTGGTGACAATACGACTATTTATTTCCTTAGTATCTTCATGTTTGTGTTTTGGGGTGTAAGGGACCATGTTATAGGTGATGTAGCTTATCAGCAGACCAAATTTTTGGGATGAGGATGTTGGGTGTTTATCCTTTTATGAGAGGACACATGCTGGAGCAGCTTTCAGTAGCCTCTGTTTGGACGTATCTCTGTTCACACCGTCTGTTTCAATGTATCCTGAGATCTTCACACCGTCTGTTTCAATGTATCCTGAGATCTATACACTGACGGGGGCACATTTCTTTAACCCAGAGCTTTTTGCCAACATCTTTGACCATTTTTTTTAGTTTTCTTCTTCAGTGACACCACTGTTTCAGCCGAAGTTAACAGACACATTTTTTAATTCTGAAAGAAATACAGGATAGAACAGTTCATCATAAGAAAGTGAGAAAAAAAAAGTCAGGGCAGACTTAAGGTGCTTTTCGACAGCAGGAACTTCCCCAGGAAAAAGGGAACCAGGGAGAAACTCTGTGCATTAACAGCCAGGTCTGAATTTAGTTCTGGGGTTATTATTTACCCCGTTTAAGTCCCTGCAGGGGCGTAGTACTTTCCAAAGGTCCTGAAACTTTGGGGGCAGGACCTGAGGATGATCTCATTTACATAAAAAACAGGTCATTAATATACATAGAAAATACTGGTAGCAGTGCACGCATACACACACACATACACACACACACACACAGAGAAGGAGGGATGAGGACAGGTTGTTTATAATATCCCACATAACCTAATGTTATTTGTTTAGTAAAACTGAGTGCAGACAGGAATTATGACTCTATTTTGTGTACATAATTTTCATAACAGGATGATTTGGGTGTTATGGGGTTGGTCTTATCAAGAAACAATTTTACGCCCTGTTTACATCCAGCACCAAAACCAGATCTGATCAGAGGATTGATTCACATAAGTATTGCAATTGTTTGTTTTACAATTTTTAAATCAATTTTTATGTTCAAAAATCGATTTTTTCCCCCGTCAAATTTAAGAGTAAATCTTAAAAACTAACTTGCATGTGATGTTTATTTTTTGGGGAAATATGGTTCCTGGAATAGTTAGTAGACAATCATAATCATTCAACTGTTTCACTGGTTTTAAGAAGGCAGACTAAAAATCAAGATAATCAACAATTAGAAATTAATTTAGGGTCAAACATCATAACACCAAGTTTGACACCCCCTTGAGAGATGAATATTGCTGACCGCTTGCTTCTTCCTTGAGCTGCGTCACCCCGTAGCAGTCCGTAATAGACTGGCCCGAGGTCTTCCTACAAACAAGCGGCTGCTGGAAGAGAGTAGGTGAGTTGTGTTTAGTCTCTTTGCTAAAGAAATTAGGCAAAGTTAAAAAGATGTTTGGTGGCTGGTGCTATGCCTGCGACCTTATATGTTCTGTTGATGAAGTTAGATGCTGTTTTGAGCTTTATTTGTGGCTATAGAGTGGCATTTTGGTTGAAGTTTGTTTATGGCTCCTCAGACCGCTGTGTATTGCTATCGTGCGGTCGTGACTGAAGTTGGTAAAACTAGAGAAGCAAGCAGTCGGCAACATTCATCTCTCGAGGGGGTGTCTAACTCGGTGTTATGGTGTGTTTGACCCTAAATTAAGTTTACACTGGAATATCCCTTTAATGCTGGTAACTTGTATCCCTGTCACTAAAAGCCACATGCTGATGCGAGGTCTGAACAGGGTCTAATTTGCATTTTAAACAGACAAACACCAGCTGAGCAGGGAAAGGGGAGGACAGGTAGAGGCACCAAAGGACGATAGCATGAGAGCAAAAACTTTTTGTAACCTGATGTTATTTAATGATACAGCTAACCCGCTGCCAATGTTTTGTTTTTTTTTGTGAGCATTTTTTTGAGACAAAAGTTCAGCAGGGACTTGAATAAAAAGCTGTGCAAGTGACTTCTTCTACCAAATAACCGTCATAGTAGTCAGCGGCCTGATTTGCATAATCTTACCATGGGTTTCAGGCTGTGCTAGGAACAATTCAGCTCCCAGAACTAAAAGTTCCTGGCACCTTTGGTCGAAAACCACCTCCACTGTACATCGCTTCACTTTCTGTCCCAAACAAAGCTGTTCTCAGGAAACAAAGATTAGCTGTCCATCATTGTGATTTTGCAGCTTCGACACATCAGTGACGTTAACAACCTGTACAAAAAAATTGTTAGAGATAAAAATAGTGAAGGTAGAGTGAACATTAAAGGAAAGTTTTATCACAAGAGATCAGAGTTGGAGAAAAAAACAGAAGTGGATGAACAGCAAGTCTTTAGCAGTGCACATAATCTCAAACTTAAGCCCAGTCTACATCAGCCATTTGTCCTTCTCTTTGTTAAAGTTCTCGGCCCACTGGCGTGTTAGTTCTAAGTAGTGGTCTGGTTGGTTGGGTTGGTAGTCCAGGTACAAGCGGGTCACTGTTTTCTTGGGTATAGCCCTCTCTATCTGTGTACCTTCGTGCCATTGATTAAAGGAAGTGATGGTGACAATTTCTGGTCTGACAGACAAAGCTGCCTGCAGGGATGTCTCGTAGTACCGCCCGTTGACCCGGTTCCTGGTATTGTGGTTGTTCCAGGGTCGAACAGCTGTATCCACATACCCTGGACCTACGCTGGGAATGAAAAGCAGATTGTTCGCATCGCAGAAGGCCTTGATGGCTTTCCAGTTCTGGTGTGACGAGCCAAAGGAGAAGCCGTTGGAGGCGAAGTAGGTGTAAATGCCATCAAAGCCGCTAGCTTGGATGTCGTGTTTGTGGCGCTCTTCGACAATCAGGGCGACAAAGATGCCATCGTAAGGCGTGCCCCTGATGCTGTGCGAGCCTTTAGTGGTCAGGAGCTCCGCCCAGGACTCCGGTGGGGTCAGGTAAGAGTCATAGACATAAAACAGAGGCAGGACTCGCCCTGTGCTAGACCTGAATCTGTAGAAAGCGCCGTGCTTTCCATATCTGAGGAAATAAAAACGAGGAGAAATTTAAAAATGTTAAATTATAACCAATTTACTAAAATCTTATGCATCATTTTGATCACGCTACTCTTAATTTGATGGGTGCTAATGTGGTGGTGAACACAGAGAAGCTTTTGGACTTATTTCAGATTCAGGAGATTTGAGAAACCTTTTTGTAAACACAAGTATCGTACTTAACACAGCAGAGTAGGAGCCAAAATATATTGAAAGTTTTATTTTTGTAGGCAAGTCACTTCCGAGATCGTCACTGAGGGGTGTGGTTTTGGGATGTTTGGTAAGCACTGATAATTTTCTATTGACTGTTTTGACCGTTTTTTGACCATTTCTCATCGTTTTTCATGTCTCAAATCGGACTGATCATTAAAGCGAGTCACAGGTGCAGGCGAACGTAAAACCCAGTGGCCTTTTTTGTTGAAGGAAAGCAGTCGCTACAAGCAGATAGATATAAAAGTAAAGTTAGCATGCGATCTTTCTCTTTCTTAAAGGAAGGAATAAGGATGGAACAACACACCGCATTTCTAATAATATTCAAATTTATGATTTTTTAAAAGCCCTGTGACTAAAACGTCTCTGGAGAAGACATTGTCTCATTTAATGATTGTTGTGCTTTTATTTCTTATTGCTTTAGTTCCTGCTTGTCGAAGTATTAAACTATTATAACCTACTTTTATTTTGAAGTTTTGAATCAGATTGCAAGGTACACAACTGAACACAAACACTTAAAGGAATGGTTTTAAAGTGTAAATGCTCACATGATTAGTAACCTGGAGTGGCACTAGCCCTAATGTTATTTTTGGTTTCACGATAAATCTTTAACATGAGTTTTTTAAAGGGTTTCATAATTTCTCTGGGGCTTTTTCAGCTGGCTGGCTCGCAGTCTGCTGCTTTTTCTTAATTTATCCTCCGTTTTATGACGAGTAGCAACCAGAGTAAAAGAGCACATCATGAAGTCACGGTATTACCTTGTGTATACTTTAAATACAATATCAGTGTTTTAATTTTTCAACAACTTTGTCAAATTCAATTTTTTGCGACAGCCCTAACTGTAACAATACTGATGTTTTAAAGCGGCTTTATTCCTGCTAAGACTTCACAGACTGATTTGTTTCAGCCATTAAGATCATATTTGTACTTTTTCAGAACTTCCACCTCTTTCCTCTCAGCCTAAATATTGTTTCTTGTCATGCAGATGGTGTGCACAGCGGGTTTTCTGAAAATATTGGCAGCAACATAAAATCCAGGAATCAGATTCAGCTCGCGGCGCTCTGGCCCGTGCTTTGATTTGACTCCAGTTTGTATGACTACAAACACAGCATCACTGAGGCTCTTTATTCTCCTTCCAGGCCACAGTGAGGGATCATGGGCTTCTTTTTCCCACTGAATATTTTATTAGATGAAGCAGGATCTGATTAGCCTCACAGCCTTCCCCACTCTCTCTTTTATTGCTGATATATATACATGTTTCCTTAGAGGAATATCATGAAATATAAGGAGGTAGATACAGAGTCCAGCTCCCTTTGACTTGAATTCTACCTGCTGATCTCTTACAGCTGAACCACAGGGGAGACATCTATTTTTAACAACTATCCTCCACATCTCCTCTCATTAGACTTCATGTTTCACCAGATCTCTGGATTCCTAACGTCAGCAGACAATGATACGGAGAGGAGGGTTTGACCTTTTGGTAAACAAATACTGCACAGAGGAAAATGGAGGCCCGGAAATAAATAACTCACTTGTCAATAATGTATTTGATGTTGTCATGCATGCTCTGGTCTGTCCGTCCCTTGTATGGCTGGATGTGAAAGGCCACCTGTGCGAAACACAATTCAAATAAGACGTTAATAGAAAAAATTTTAAATACACAATAAAATTAGACAAAGCCCTGCAAAACAAGATGTTATGCAGAGAATTACAGACTGACCAAGTTCATTATTTCCATGTATCATCTGTTTGATTGAGAAGCAGCATGAAGGCTTAATATAACATGCAGTCTGTGAACCTTTCTGATTATTTAGCCTCTCTGTCATAAATTTTAATGGGTGGAAGGGATTTTGACCCTATGCAGTCTCCTCGGGACCAGAAGATCACAAACATCCAGTACTGGTTCTTCACTTGTCCCTTTTGTGCAGATTTTTCCAGATCCTTTAACCCTTTAATGCCTGAAACCACAAATTATGGCCAAAAAATTCAATTTTTTTTGGAGCTGAAATGTTTATTTCACTTACTACTGAAAACCCCAAAAATCAAAATGTCCTTAAAATTTAACAAATATATTTATTTATCTCGTTTGATACATTAGATGATTTTTTTAATCATTTTAATCATTTATCGGACTGTATTCAGGTGTTTTTTTTAGTAATTGATTTTATATAAGTATATAAAAGTATGTATCAAATATGATACAAAAGGCAATAATGGGGGTAAACATGGTAAAGGTCCCTCACATAAGCTTCAGATGTATTCAATCTTAAGGGAATTTTAGTTCAGAATTTTTTTTTGATAAATGATATTAATCATAAAAAAACACAGTTATGATCTTTTACAGACTGCAGTGTGTTATTTTTTGTATCAGGAGCTGAAAGCAGAGTGGTGGAGTCTCTCTGTCCTGCAGGACAAACTGCGGCATCAACTGAAGCGAACTGTTCACTTCAGTCACAAAGAGGAACAGGTCCACTGCTGCTCAGCCACACACACACTAAAGCATTGACGGAGCTGTCATGCCACAAACACTGAGCGCTTGACGCCCACTTTATTTTTCAAAAGAGGCTGCAAGGTCTTCTTAAACAGTTTCCATGGTGATGTGGCATTTGGCGCACAGGCCCGAGCCTGTCAGTTGTCTCGACTGGTTGGAAATCATGAAAGCGCGGTGAGGTAAGATGCTGCTCAGTCTGGTCCAGTTTGGCCGGATAGAGCTTGAATGGATGCAGATGAAAAGTGTTTTGTTTTCTCTATCAGGGCCCCTCCTGTGGTGCTGACACACTCTCATATTTACACCCTGTGTCTCTGGCGAAAAGACGGCGCCGCAACAAACAGGCCTCCTGAACAGTTTTCACCAATGTTTGGCTTCTCTTCAGACAATGACAACACTAACCTGAAGCCATGTTACATCATCATGCAAGTGGATGCTGCACTAAATCAGCTTATTATGTAAACGGAGATGTGAAATAAAGAAATGCTGAAGCAGAGTGCAAATAAAAGACATTTTAGTCACTGTAAGAAATAATCCAATGTGGCCTACATAAAATAAGTAATAAAGTAAGTAGGAAAGTAATTAAAAAACTAGAATTTACTGCACTAAATGAGAAAAAATATTGAATATAAGCAAACACTTTTGTGTACTTCTTCAACTTTCTTCTCACTCTATATGCATACATTTTATTATTGGGAAAGTTCTGAGTAAAATAATAACACTCTCACACTTAGTTACACTCAGACAGTTAAAAACAGACACATTTGTGATTTGTTTCAAGGTACCCCTTAATGGCAGTTTTAAGGTCTGTATTTTAACTTTCTTTTGGCACTGCTGGTGCTATAAAGCTCCAGAGAAGTCAGTAAAGATGCACTGCACAAATCAATGAGTGATAGTTGATATGAGAATAAAGGCTGTTCCCTTCCCACCTTGCTCATAACTCCACAGATTTCTCTCCTCTCAATTCTTTCATCCCTCTTCAAAAAGCTGCAAAGGCTTAGGACTGCTCCTTATCATGGTGGAGGACCTAACAATTTCATTTTTGGCTCGACTAAGTAACTGCTCAGGCGTGTGGATATATACTCACTGTGCAGCCTTGCATAGGTGTGGGGTCTTGCTGCGTAATTGTAAATATACTTTATTATACACCACATGTGTTGTTGGAGGATACCTCCAGAGGGCACGCCATTAAGCTTAGGTTGTATACAACAACAGGACGTGTGGGATGTAAACAAGAGACATAGTGACACTGGAGGAGATTACTCTAATGATAGAACTGAGATTAAGGCAGTAAAAGACGACAGTGGCAGCATTGTGGGAGGTTTGTATGTTTGAACTTGTTTTTTAAAGCTTCCTACTCTTTCTAATCCCTTTTACTGTTTACTCCATCACATTTGCTCTGCTGTTTATATACATACTGCTCCTTTTGTCCAAGTAGAGGCAATTTTTGAGAATATGTACACCAACCCCAAACAGGGTATGAGTTAAACCTTTACTCATCCCACGGTAGGAAAATTTGCAGCAATTGGTAACACTTTATTTGACGCCTATCTCTATAGCGCATTGCTTTATAGCAATAATCATAACACATTACAAAGCATTTTATCATGACTTACAAGGTCAGGTATTGTAATGTGCTTAATGTTTACTTAAAATTGTTCTTGAGTATGCAGGAACATAACTAAAACTCTGAGGTTTGTTACAAACCAAACCGTTTGAAAATCGGTTTAAAATTAAGCAATCTATGGTTGTTTAAATGCTACATGCACCGTAGACTGTCATGTTATGAGTGGGCCAGCTGCCTGAAGCAAGATGGCCGCCATGCGCGGACGTCGGTCTCGGGCTAACAGCGTGCGTCGTCCGCCGACCGGAAGAAATAGCCGCCGAACACCAACCAGGAAGAAGCCGCCGAACACCAACGAGGATGAAGTTTATGAGACGAAGCGACAGAGGGAGAGAAGAGAGACAGAGAGAGAGAGTGTATTGCAACCCACAGCGGCGGTGGTTAAAAGTTTGGCTAACTTTAGCAGGAAGAATGAACATTTATTTTGGTGCAACATTAGCCACACAGTTAAACCATGCAAAGGAGGGTGAACGACCAACATGATTAAACACCTCAGGATTCATGGAGGAGAAGTACCTGAGTGTCTTTGACGCGCTACGCCGGTCAACGCCAGCCAGAATCAGATAAGTGAAGCAGTAAGTTACTTCTGTCTTCTGCTAACACTGAAGCGACAAACAAATTGTACTGTGTATGGTGGGTCAACTTAAATATCCAACTAACGTTAGCTCTTGTACTTTTTCATAGACAAACAACCTGACAACATTGATATTTATATACTGGTTGAAAATAGCCCTGTGAGAAATTCATGAGAAAGTTCTTGAAAAGTTAATAGAATCTAAAAATTCATGGAGAAGTTCAGAAATTTCATCCAAAAAGAAGAACTCCGGTTAGCACCCTTATGAAAACGATGCATTTTTTACAAATATCCTGCCGTTTAAAAGAATCAGAATAGAGAATCGTCAGGAACTGGAATCGAAACGAGGAATCAGAATCGGACGTCAAAAGTTTTTTTCCAAACCCGTATCCTGTCAATACAAGCGTTCACATCAGTGGCGTTTTCCCGTCCTGCGATATTGAGGCATTTATTTTTTCGTATCACAGTCGAAAGTTTTGCATACTGTGTGTCCACCTCTGACCAATCAGATTTCGTGTTGTTGCGACATCAGATTCACCGGTATATCCAACATGGCCGACCGGCTGATTGTTTACGTGTCGGAGAACAGAGTGCTTTTTGATGAAAAACACAAATATTACAAAGATAACGACCTGAAGGACAACTTGTTGAGTCATAGCGTTGGATTTCTCATATGACGATGGTTTATGTGCCTTAACAGTTTGCTAAACGTCTTTGTTTATAGTCGTTTATAGTCAAGCGCGTCAAAATTCGCCTCCGAATATTTCATAATTTCAGGTTGTATATTTGCGTTGCTCCCGGTGTGTAAGGACATTAAAGCTTTATAAATGGGTTTATGATGTTTAATTATGAGAGGTGGGTGCATAAAAAGTGTGACCAGACTTTTAGGGTTGCTAAAAGGGTCAATCTATACTTAATTAATGAGGATCTAGCTCTTGAGATCTGCCTGTTGGTAACAGTAGTAGAAGAACAACTCCTCTCCAGACCTCATTTGGCTTCTTAATATACTCTGAGTTTCTCCTCTGTCAAAGCACTTTGTCAAATGACATATATAACTGGCTGAGAGCATACAAACACGGACTCCAGTCTGAGCTTTGTCTTTGATGCACTAAAACACTGCAGCATCAAGCCTGGGGTCAGCTGTGAGACACACACTGTTGTGTAAGTTTGACAGAGACACACAGACTCATTTCTCGATCTGAGACCTCCTCAGGAACAGGAAAGTAAACTAAAGGAAATCTCCTCTTCCCCTTAAAGCTGAATCTACAGAGTCTGTGCTCTGCTTGTTTTCTTGAGCATCTTCAGCATCTCATGGCTCTGTGGTGTCAAACTCCCTCTGTGCTAAAGTACATGTGACTCTGTTAGAAAGAGACAAGCACTGAAATAGAAAATGTACCCTGAAGCTTCCCCAGTCAGTAAAAATAGTTTAAATAGGGAACGTAAGCAGAGCCTTTTCATCCCTCTGCAGCGTTCATATTACTGTAAATGTCAGGTTTTGAGGTCAGAGCCTCAGAAATTAAATATGCAGCCAGTTTGGGGATGGGTAACAGTTTCTCAGCTGTCAGGAGTCTCATCGGACCAGAATGCAATGCAGCTGCAAGACATTCTGCATTTAGATAAAGGGCATGACACCCTTTTTCTTAACTTATGACAAAAGAGTGTTTCCGTGTGGGTCTGATCACTCAAATCTACACTTTTGACAACTATAGCTGATGTGTGCATGCTCAATATTACTGCAGTAAGTAGTAGAAGATGTGTCGCACCATTCACCTATTACGTAATAAGCTTTACTGACGAGCAGTCTTTGCTGACCTTGTCCTTTCCACACTTGAACAGTGTTATCTGGCAGACTTTTGACAATCCTATGTATCATTTATTGTAAATATTGTACAGAAAGTTACAAAGAGTGGTGTCTGTAGCTGCCTGGCTTTCATCTAACCTCTGACCCGAGACCCTGAAATTAAAATGTGAAAACTCTAATTCTTGTCCCTGATAGTCTTGTTGGCTTTTGTATGTTATAAAAGGGCATCAGTCTGCTTCATGAATATCAAAAACATCCCTCACAGGAGTTTTAACGTGGTCCTTGATAAGTAGTACTTTTTCAGCTCACCTTGAGTCCTCAGTGTTGAGGAGGGTCTCAGTGTCTTTAAGTGGAAGCTTGAGGCATTGCCTTTTTTAGCATTTTCACAGTTGTCTCATTTTTCAACAACGTAGGTTGCTGTTTGGTTTATGTTGCAAACTAACACCAAAGAACAGCTCAAATTTGAGACTTGTTAGATCTCAATCTGCTGAGAGACATAAAGTCTGAATCAGTGAAACCTAAACATGAGTATCCTGGTTTTGATTGGATTCTTGAAGGATCCTGGTTTTGTGTCTGTGCACACAAACATTTCCTGATTTGAGAGACAATGATGAAAGAAAATGGGAGACTGTGGCATTCGTAAGCCTTACCCTGGCGAAACAAACATGGCAGTAGCAGCTAGAGCTTCTCACTTAAGGAGAAGAAGAAACTGAGTTTCATCTTTCAGTAATGAAATATAATCATAAAGTTGTGTTTCTTCACCTGTTGCTCCCTTCCTACGTGGTGGAAGTAACAAGCTGACTGCAGTCAAGGCTGAGGTTAATATTTGCAGTCGCTCTCTTCCTCTGTTGCTGGAAATCAGGTGGGTGTGCTGTATATGCGGCGCCATGTTTGCATGTAATAATGCGAAGCCCACACTAAGCAACAATAGTCTTTTTTTTCTCAGATTGAAAAATCGCTGCAGCTCGTTTTTCAAAAATTTCACTGCAGGCACCCGTGCAACTAAGATGCAGTAATCAGAGACTGGGATACAAGTATTGATCATGTACACAGGGATATTAATAACCAGGTTTCTTTGTGTGCATGTAACAGGATATTCAAGTTCATGTAACACACAAATTTTACTTCTACTGTCATTTTCTTGTATGATGTCTGGACCCAAGTGAGACTTTCAGTGGATTTGTATTGTGATGTTAGTTACATATCGTCTTATCCCTCCGAAATGCATCGCACATGCATAGACTTACAGTTAAGGCTAGAGACATATGAAGTTCTTAGACTAACCCTGTCACAGTCATTCATTCAGTCAATCGTTAGAAAGGAAAAACATACCGGTTGTCTCACCAGTTACCTTGATGCTGTGCCTGTGGGCGGCGTCCATGACAGCAGGAACCAGGTCCTCTGTGGGCTCCCCGTGGTCGTCGGCTACCCCAGGAGGATACCAGGACAACACCAGCACCCCTACAACACACAGCTGAGCTTGTGAATGTGATGGATGGTAACAGATATTTGGCATTTCACAAAGAAAACTTTGAAAGAGTTGATAAAATTAGGAATAAGATGTGGAGGGATTTTGACTCTGCGCTTATCCAGGGTAAAGAATCCAGTGTTACACTTAAGTCATGTCTGGCTGTGCAGAAAGGCTTGTTATTAAAAGACAAAAATTAAAACACCATTGATTGCTATGAGTGAAAGTGGCTACAAATGCAGGAGGCAAAAATCTTATAAATTACATTAAACTAGATGTAGGACTTATTTCAAGACACTGAGATTTTTTCACTACAGACATGTTGAAACAAGATTGAAATCTCTGCCTTTTATGTCATCGCCAGTTAAATTGAGTGTTATGTGCTGTTTCGACCAGATAAGAGATAAGTTCACTTAACAAAATTAAAGTTTTTTGCAGTGCAGCCTGCCAGACAGCTGGCTGTTATACAGTCAATGGTAAGTTTGTATTTTTCTATTTATCTTTTATGCTATTTAAAACGTGCAGGGCTTATCCAGAAAATACCCAAGTACTTCTACTCAAGTAAGAGTACCCATAATAAGTAATAAGTTACTGTCCACCACTGTTGCTATGACAGCAATCATACCATCAAAATCTCTAAGTGTTTCTGAGACAGCCTAGTTTATTGCAAGTGCATCCCCATTTCTCTTTTTTTAATGCTAACATTTTTCAAACTCGTACGTCTATCTCTTAAAATATGTATATCAAAGCAGATTTACTTGTCTTATTTTAGATGTTATTACGTCAATAATTCAATATTGTGATTATTCAACTAGACAAGACTGGGCTCTCTGTCGTCCTCTCTTTAAGTCATCTTTTGGATTAAAATCAATTATTGAATTAAAAGCTCTAGACTCGAAATCTTTTTGAAATTGTATTATAGAAATTTAGTATTGAGTATGTAGGTTTTCTATTACCTTCTATTTGCCTTCTTGTTGTAGTTTTTGTGCCATTTCCAGTTTTTTTTTTTTTACCAAACCCAAACATTCACTTTTATATTGTCTTGGTGCCCTGTGTTGTATTTTTCTGCAAAATGTAAAATAAAATATATGCAATATTACTGTGGCCGAGAACTGCCACTGCTGCAAATAAAAAAAGAATGCAAAAAAATGAAGTTACAATGAAAGTTACTAATGCAAAAAAAAAAAGAAACTGCAAATATAAAAGAAACAGTGCAGAAAAACAAAAAGCCACAACGGAAGTTAACGACCCAAAAATAAGTGACGATGGAAAAAAAAGTAACTTACTGCGAAAATAAAAGGATACAAATAAAGAAGCGACAACGGAAGTGAGCTACCAGGGATGGTGATGCACCGGTGTTTTATGATCTTGGCACAGAAGACAACGGCGAGAAGACGAGCAAAAAAGTAAGTGGAAAAGGTTATTGTTTAATTGTGCTTTTCAATGTGTCATTTGGTTGGGGCATGTAGCGCCTGAGTCGATGTGAAGTTGAACTGAAGCCTCTGTTGTGGCTTTTTTATTTTTTTTATCTGCACTGTTTCTTTTTTTATCTGCATCGGTAACTTCTGTTGTGGCTTCTTTTTTTTGCATTCTTTTCTATTTGCAGCAGTGGCGGTTCTCGGCCACCATACAATTAATATATTTTAAAAAGTAAAAAGACTAAATCAAGTATTTACTCCCCCAAACTTTCATAAAAAAGGGGGCATCATTGTTATCTTTGGTGGGGGCTCTTCGGGGGCTGTTACATAGAAATGCCAGCATCATTATGAAATGAATGGTAAACATATAGGTCCACTATTACCTGCTGCAGCCGCCTCTATCTGGGACATGTGAGACTCCAGCACTTTTGGGTCCCTGGAGCTGTAGGGTCCCAGCTCTGGGTAAAAACTTGACGCAATGTCTTCAGGGGGAGTGTGCCTTCCTTGGGCATGACTGGCTGCGATCTTTGGGTCCCAGTGTGGCACCAGCACGTGATCCCAGTGGATGTACTTGTTGTCCATGCTGGGGGAGCCGTACCACAGGTAGTAGAAGATGTGCACATCATAAAAGATGCTGTAATCCCGGTCTGACTTGGTGAAGACCACCTTGGTGTCGCTGCTCCCCATGTGGAACTGGCCTGGAGACACCACCACATCTTTCACATCCAGCCGCCTCCTCTCGGACCTATCCCCGATGAAGTCCATGCCCGGGGCCAGGTCCGAGAAGCCATCGCTGGGTTTGAGCGTCCTGAGTCCCATCATGGCCCCGAAAATGAAGAGCGCGAAGAGGAAGAGAGCCACCAGAGCTTTCCTGCGGAGCCGAGTCATTGTCGCTGTCCGTGGTGCTGCTGATGAAAAACGGTCAGACCTCAAACCAGCAGGGGGGGAACACAGGTCCTCTTAAAGCCAGCTACAGCCTGAGCATGCAGGCATCGTCTTTCAGCAGGAATCTGCGTGGAGCAGGTAAAATGAAGCGCGTTCAGTCACTGCAGCAGCTGTTAAATAACCCAAACAATCTCATCTCACTTCCATCATCACAACCTGAGGGAATCACTCTGATGCTTAAAGCGTAAAAGCGCCTCTTGCTCGCCTCGGCACAGCCATGATGCTTTTGTTTCTCCACCATTTGCTCTTGGAGAGGAAAGTGAAAAATCGGTTTCATGCCACCCCTGCTCCTTCATGTCTCGACAGAAAAACAGAATTGCTCTGAGACACAGCAGGTCTGGTTACCTTTGTTTTCCACCCAAAAGCTCGCACTCACTGTACGCCTGCGCCTCATCCCTCCATCGAACTGTTGCAGCCGCTGCTCCTGTCATCCCATCTTTTTTTTTTTTTATTATTTAGAGATCACATCAGTTTCCTTGGAAAGCTGTGTCTTCTCTGTCCTACATTACATAAACAGTTTTAACTGAATGCTCCTGCGACATGAGAGAATGACACATTTGTTCCTGTGGCGCCAGCAGGAGGGAGGGAGGGAGGTGGGATTATCCCCAACCGGAAAGATGCGGTGGGTATGAGGGGCGAATGATGCCACAGCAGAAGCAGGGGGCGGGGCTTCAGTGGCTCTATAGAAAAACAACTCAGAAACCCATTTTTTTCATGCTCCACATCACATAATAAACCCTAGAACACTATCAAAATTAGTAACACCACGACATCACTATCGCCGGGTGATTTTTACCCAAAATAATATACACAAGATAAGTCCTTGTCATCAAAATATATCAAAATAGGACAATACATGACAAATTAAAGTAGTGTTCTTTCAATTTTAACTGTGCAATTCAAATTCACCTTTATTTGTATGGCACTTTTCAGACAAAAAGATGTATTTCAAAGTGCCTCACAGAGGCTAAAAACAACAATAAAACACAACCCTCCTACCCACACACCCACCCATGGACCCACACACACAGAGACACACCCACACATACAAACACACACACAAGTGCACACAAAGTGAGAATTTAAGATATATTGTTAAGGAGACATGGCATGACACTGAGACATTACGTGAGGAAAGAGCTACCTTTAGGGAACACAGGAGATAAAAATAAAAATGGTAAAAAGAAAGACTAAAACCTGATGGACTAAAACAAGAAAATAATATTAAATGAAGAGATAAGTTAGAGCTCTATACCATGAACATTTACAGTAATAGAAATGTAAAAAAGCAGTTAATGAAAAGCCTGTGCAATGTCAAAAGGGAGGGGGAAAAGTGCCGTGAGGGGACCATATAAAAATGCAACAAAATAACTGAAATTAGGCATTCATGAACAAAAAATTCCTATAAAAATATATATAGAAACTGTAAACTAGTTTCTTTTCCACTCATTCCTGGGGCATGTGAGTCTTCCCTGGTGAAGACTCAGGGTCCTTGGCACAACAACAGCTGCAGAAAAGAGAACCAAAATATGGCATATTTTGAGTGAGTAGAAATGACCAGCTGACTAAAATATTTCTTCTCACCATTTGAATTCCCTTAAGATCACTACTTTGTGATTCACTGCACTAAATAAAGATAGCATGCAAATTCCAGGACCACTCTTACTGACCTTATTTGCCTACATGCAGCGATGGATTTTGGATTGTTTTGGATCAGGGAAACAAATATGCCTTCAAAGATGTCAAAGGCAATGCTGAAGCTACCCAGGGACCCATGATGCACAGACCAACACAACACAATGAAAATCACGTAAACATGTTTGGTCAGACGAAAATCATCCGGGGATAGTGTTCTAGGGTTAAATTTGTCAAGAAGATGCACAATATGCATGCACATAATATCCATGGTGTTTTATATGATGGACCTATTACACATGCTTGACACCCACTGGCCTGGTATACTTAAGTGGGTGTTTTCAACTGCTTCTGAGCTCTCATGTGGATTAACACCAACACTTTTGGTGTGGAAAGGATTTGAGGAAACATATGCCGGTGGATGTATCGCCTGAACAGGCCTGTGTTTGCATCTACAGTGTGTAAAAGGCATTTGTGTAATGGGGTGCGCAATGAGCTGAGTCAGGAGAGGTGACTTTGGTTGGGTTGCAGAAGCAGATTCAGGGGCTGGTCAGGGTGGCCTAGGCTCTAGTCGGAACCTAATTGGCCAACCTGAAATCCTAGATAATTGTTGTGGCTGTGTTGATGCTACTGACTGTCTTCGCATATAACCCATTGTCACATCCACTGGTATGAATTGTATTTGATTTATTTTTAATTGATTGACAGCACCAATGAATACAGAATGATGTTCTACTGATGCAAGGCGTAGCATCATCTCCTCACGTTTCTTTACAGACAGTGAGCTTCTCATTAGGCTGATTGAACGGGCCCTTCTTAAAGGGATATTCCGGTGTAAATTAAGTTGGGGTCAAACACACCGTAACACCAAGTTAGACACCCCGTCACCCAGAGATGAATGTTGCCGACCGCTTGCTTCTCTAGTTATACCAACTTAAGTAACGACCGCACGATAGCAATACAGAGAGCTACGTGCTCAACCAAAAAGCCACTATAGCCACAAATAATGCTCAAAAGAGCACCTAACTTCATCAGCAGTACATATAGGGTCCCAGTCACAGCACTAGCCACCACAAATCTTTTTAACTTTGCGTAATTTCTTTAGCAAAAGGACTAAACACAACTCTCCTACTCTCTTCCAGTAGCTGCTTGTTTGTACGGAGACCTCCGGGCGAGTCCATCGACTGCAGCGGGGTGATGCAGCTCAAGGAAGAACATTTATGATAATTTCTTTATCATTTCCGTGAAATAATAATCACCATATTAATCATTTTGTATTGCAGACTTGGTAGTTCTTCTGCCTTAGCGTCTCTGTCTGATGGCATTTCCATGAAGAAATGATCATAAATGTTCTTCCTTGAGCTGCGTCACGCCGCTCTGGTAATGGGCTGGCCTGAGGTCTCCATACAAACAAGCAGCTGCTGGAAGAGAGTTAGATACGCCGTCTCTCGACAGGGTGTCTAACTCGGTGTAACGGTGTGTTTGACCCAAACTTAATTTTACACCGGAATATCCCTTTAACTGTTGATTGCTCTTAAGCAACAATGCTGATGTCCCATGCGTGCAGAGGCCCATGTTAACATATTTCAGGGGTTAGTTGTGTAATATCTTATAAAGGCCTACTCGTTTCTATACACAAGATATTTAGTATACCTTGTGACTTTGTGGTTTATGCAATAAAAAATAACCCTTTAATACCTTTAGTGTGGCACCAATGACTCTTCATACACTTTGTTGTTACTTTGTAATAAGAAAAGGTATCTATTAAATTTTCAAAAAAGGATTACTTAGATTCAGCACTGTCTTTCATACAGCAAACCCTCTTTAAGTCTAAGGACTAACATGAGAAATAAATTTGTCAATTTTTAAACAATGAAATTCAGACTTTGTTGTAGCTGCAAAACATCTTTAACATTTGAACACAAGTAAACCTTCAAAAGTCTCCTCAGTTGTCATCATTTCTTGTCTTTATCATCCAACTTACCTGAGAATACAAAGATGTTTCAACCTCATTTAGATTTATCTTAATTGAAACACAGAGCCACAACACACAAAACAAAGTCATTATAACATGACCATTAAAGTTTATATCCATAAAATACAGGTCATAGAAGCAAAGGCTCAAACCAAAAAACATAATTTTAGAATAAAATTCATCACTAATACCAACATTTTTACCCTAACTCTCTGGGAGCTGAATCCTTAGTGTGTCTGCTTTATTACCATCAACATCATGAAAAAATGAATAATATCTTGTTTTATGTAATGGTGCTATTTTTGTGGTGATCTCAGATCAGTGTTTGGGTTTATGAAAGAGTTACTGTAAAATTGTGTGGTCTTGGTATATCTCAGAAAACTTGCTTCAAGTGACATCTAGTGGAAAATATTAGTAGTGCATTTATTATCAGCAGACCTGCTCACTGAGCCTGAGGCTGGCCATCAACCTCCCAGCAGTGAGTGGGAGTCTCTTAATCTCTGGATGGATGCATGTCCATTTATCACCCATAGATGGTGACTCTGCATTTGGAATAGAGTCCATCGCACAGCAGAGAAGGAGGACATTTAGATTCACAGTCTTCAAACTGGAATGAATTTAGGGTCATGAATTTGTTGTTATATATAAACGGTGCATATTTAAAATGAAAGGATAATTTTTCATCTCTGTTCCACTTGATCTTTCCACGCTGTCCTCACGCCTGCGCCAAGATGCTTTAGTCTAATTATGATAGGAAAATAACTGTAAACGTTTCACATCACGATCCTAAAGTTATAAGAAATAACAATGTTAACAAATTAACATATTAGAGACAGCATCCGGGTTTTATAATCCTGCAGAGTACAACACCATTAAGTTAGCTGTAAATTCCTATCTGATCTACCAAGCTTCTCAATACATTGGCTGTAGTATGGAGGTAATATAAACAAAGAACTGGGACCAGATATCATAAAATATTGTTATAATACATTTTATAGTCCATAGGTATTATATCAAAGATAATCTTGTGCCAACCACTTGGAGTTTATCCACCCCAGCAGTATATTTTTTATATTTAAAAGTTTGTTTGAACATCCACATTTAAGCTGCACATCTAGCAACCCAAACAGCAGACGTAAAGGGTCCTTGTTTAGCCAAATGTTTAAGAAAACAGCGTCCAAAATCTTTTTCTGATAATCATCCCTGAAGATCCACTTTATGTTGAAGCTGGGGAGTGATTTGCAGATGGTGTAATTGTATATACTCACTTTATTTTATCTTAATGCAGACTGCATTGTTGTTTGCAGAGCTCCATACTTGTATCCAGGTGGCTTCACCAGAGTGTTTATTTGGGTCATTATTACAGTCTGTGGACATAAATGCAGGTTTGCCTCACTTATCTCTTAAAAAGCCCCCTTTTACCCAATGTCCTTTTTTTCCAGCAGAGAGGGTTGATGATAAAAACCTCTTTCTTTTCTGCCATTTAGAAAACTTCAAATCTAGAGGTCTCTGAAAATTTCAGTTTAAGGTTGTTTTGTATTTTTTGCAGAGATTCTCAAATAAAAGTCGCATTTCCTTTTCATATATTTGCCCACTTTACTGTCCCACATTTAAAAGCTTTTATCTGTAGAGCAATCGATGTTACCACAAACGGATGAGAGAGTACTCAGTCATCTCTTTAGTCCTTCCAATCTTCTTATGTCTTGAAAAACAAATACTCTTAAACTTTTGTACAAATGTCGAAAAGTTTGTCAAAGTTTGTAGTCTTGCTATATATCTGGAAGCTCTTGCTATACAACAGAAAGTTACTATGATTCCAACATACAGAGTTTAACCTGCCCTAAACTTTTCTGTAAGATTCACAGCATCTCAACATGCCCATCCAATGCTGCATGTGGCTTTACGCTGTCATCTTTTAATGTGATAAAACTGGCTGTGTCTAACCAAGAACTAAAATCAACATTTGCTTGATTTTATGTCATCACAACAGCTCTAAAGTTGCAGTAAACACATACAAATCTACCAAGTTTTCAACATATGTCCACCATTTGGTGTCTGATTTAAGTGACGCTGTCGTACTTGATAGCAGCTGAAGCAACAATCCCTTAAAACCTTGTCGTGTTCCTTTAACGCACAGATTCTTTTGACGAACAAGGCTTCAGTCTGTCATTGTTGCCTGTTCGGCCCTGCGGCGCTCTTTGGCAGCTTTCTCTACCCAGAGGCTTGTTGTGGGAGGGATATCTGTCACAACATGGCAGCACATTATAGATTTGATATTGATCCGCTGTATTGATTTATTTCCCACTGGAGGAGAGGTGAAAGGTGATCTGACAGGCTTCCCATGGGGCTGCTGCTTATTGTCCCCCCTCTGCTTCATATAAGAGTCCAAGCAGAGTGTACCAAGGTGTGTTTAAAACCATACATCAACACATTTGCAATATAAGCACTGCTGAGTTATTATGGTGCCCTGATATGAAACATTTAGGTGTGCATTAAAAAAACGGACATAACAGCAGCTGTGTGAGAGTGAGTGTATTATGAAATAATAGCTCCTGAATGAGCGCGTGCCTTGCTTTGTTCCCACAAGCCCTTGTGGATGACCTGGGTCAACTTAGGGTGGCCTGTTCTGTTGTGCAGCAGCCGGTGCTTTTTCATTTCCATGGTGACTTCCAGAGGGCCTCCTGCTGCACCATTAAACACATGAATGGAGGGGGTCATTTGGTTTTTTATCCACCAACACACAAACATATACACACTGCATATGACCATAGAAGCTCCACCTGCTCACAAGAAGTTAGAAACATTTGAATTGTAACTTAGTAGTTCTGCATACAAGATAAGATAAGAAGAACTTTATTTTACAGACTCAAAATCTGTAAGCTTTGACGGAGAGATCTCCGTGACTGAATATGAAGAAAATACTTTACAGACCATGTTTTGTGGTATGGTATGTTTAAGAACTGATCATCAGTAAATACTCTGGTAGTGATGAGGCAGAAAAAAAAATCTTTAAAACTTGGAAGTATGATGTCTTTACATGGAGAACTGTTTGAATGATTGAGTCAAGACCCCTGTGTATCTTGCAGATGTCCCGCTCACCCTGTTGATAGTTATGCCAAATAGAGTAGGATAGGATGAGGCAAGATTGTCAGGTTGGATCGAGCGGTCTTGTCAAAGCCCATGCTGAAGTTTATGGTTGCTTCGTGTCTTTGTTCTTCAAATGGTCAAACTTTTAACATTGGCGTTAGGATCTATCAACACTTATGGTTTAAGTTATCCTACTCTGAAGCTATCACCACATTTACGATGCATCCACTAGCTCTGTTGCAGTTGGCTGGATTTCAGGACAGGATTGAACCCCTCTGTATAGGGTGGCAGTAGCTCAGGAGGTAGAGCGGTCCTCCAATAACTGGAAGGTTGGTCCTTGGGCAAGACACTCAAGGTGGGTTAAGCGTCTTGTCCAGGGACACAATGGACAGATTCCCCCCTATCCCGAATCTGTCTGTTGTGTCCTTGGACAAGACTTGACCCACCTTGCTCCCAGTGTGTGTCCTCCACTGGTGTATGATTGTGAAAGTGTTGTGCGGTGGTGGTCGGAGAGGCCGTATGCGTAAACTGGCGGCCACCAGTCAGTCTGCTCCAGGGCAGTTGTGACTACTAAGGTAGTTTACCACCACCAAGGTATGACTGTGTGAGTGAAATTAATGATGTATCCAATGTAAAGCGCTTTGAGGGTCTCTGATAAAGCGCTATATGCATTATTGTTATATTATTTAGTTTACTAATTCAGAATATTGACAGATACTTACATTTTTTATTTGCCACAGACTCAAAAGGCAGAGCTGAAATATGAATTACTCCTTCTGTAGGTTGATTTGACATGACGTGTGATCAGGTTGTCTCTGGCATTGTTGTTGCCATGGAGAATTAATCAGTGTGGTCAAGGACTTTTGACCAATCAGAGTCAAGTATTTCACGCAGCCGGGAAGTAATCCAGTTTAATAACCTGAAACTATACATCATCCCTTTTGTGTGTGTGTGTGTGTGTGTATGTGTGTGAGTGTGTATTTGTATGGCATTACAGGAAAACGCATGACTCAGCAGTATTTAAAGTAGTTTTGTGGTTCTTCACAGCAGCTTGAGAGCGACTGATTACATATTAATGAGTGTTAGTGAATGACTCAAACAGGCCACCATATGTCTCCTCACTGACTGTAACAGGTGGGCGTGAATCACCTCAGAAAAGACAATAAACGAAGCTTCATTTAATCTGAAACAAACATGATTCATCCCGAAAAGAGATGTGAGAGGGGGAAACCATCTGTGGTTGTATTCACAAAGCTTAGTTGCTCCTAATAATGAAATCCTTGATAGATTCTTAAAGTTTTCTGACAATATTCCTTCAAAATTCAGACAGGAGCTTTGGAAAGATAAGTCATTTATAAAGCATTTTAGCAACAACTGTTAGGAGGAGTGAGACCTTTAAGACGCTTAAGATTTTTTCACAGAAATAGAGAAAGGTGGTAAAATGTACTCTAAACAATGAATGGCAGGGAGCTAATTGAATGCTATGAATTAGAACTCGCAGTGAACATGGCTGGACTTACATAGATCACAATAACACAATATCACCAGATGTGAAGTTATCATGACGTATTTTGCAACTTGAAAAAAAATTCAACAGCTAAATTCCTGATGATGTTTGTCTACGGTTTCCTTTTTGTACGGTACTGCTTAACCTAGTTGCTTTTATGTGATGCCGTCTTTTATCTTTTATGTCATCTCTTATCTCTTTTACCTCTATCTTATTTTGGTTTTACTGTCTTTTTAGCTTCTCTTAATTAACCTTTTAGACTTTTTATTGTTTTATCTCTTGCTCATTTCTGTTGCTCTATTTTATCATTACTATTATTATCAGGATTGCCTGTTATTATTCTATTATCATTGTTGATATTGCTTTTTACATTTACTATCCTGTTTCTGCTTTCAACCCCCCTTTTAATTGCATTATCCCTTTTTTCTTAACTAGTTTATGTTTTTATTCTGGTCCTCATGGTCTCATTTTATGTTGCATGGTTCTTGTATTGTCTGGGTTACTTATGACATGAAAATGGCCTTTAATTCCGTTTTTACTGTGATTTTTGTTTTTATCTGTCTTTTTTTTCCCTGTGCTTTATGACTATATGTCAAAGCACTTCGTAAACTTCTGTTTTTTAAAAGTGCTATACAAATAAAAGTTATTATTAACCTGCAATAGTAGATGCAGTAAGGGACTGCATTTACAGACTTTTGGAAGGGATTTTTAGGGCGCGTTCATACCACCCTTGTTTAGTCCGGTTGAACCGAACCCTGGAGCGTTTTCCCCCTTGGTGCGGTTCGTTTGGGTCGGTGTGAACGCTGACCTCGAACTCTTGTGCAGACCAAATCAACGAACTCTGGTCTGCCTGAAGAGGTGGTCTCGGACCGCTATCAAGTGAACTCTGGGGTGGTTCATTTCTGGTGAGAACGTCATCCACACCAATCACAGGAAATGTATTAATTAATGCCGCAGTTTGCGCTCGCTGGCTAATGAGCCGTTTATACGCGTGATGGACTAGCGTCTTTTGATACGCACTCCAGATGAGTAGCAAAAGCAAAATCAGCCTACGATGCTGCATGACAGGTAAAGACAGCAGGTTTGTATTCCCGCTATTCGTGGTCACGTGACTTCCGGTTCTGTTTTCTGGAGCGACTGAGTTTGTCCTTTGTGAGCGTAAACCGGACCAGTTAAACAATCAAAACAAATGTATCGTCTTGCCTTGGATTCGAATCAGGAAACAGACCTTTAGGTGTGAACATGACCTTAGGCAATGCAGTGACTTCAACTTCAGAGTCATGCCTGTTTTAACAGCGATGCCTGAGGTCACAGTCATCCATTACTAACCCCAGTATTTAGGAGATGCTGGGAAGTGTTAGGGAAATGACTTTTCCAGTGTTTTGTTGTCCCTGACCAAATTGTTTTGAAATGTGTTTAAAGTCAGCACATATATCAACAAAATCGTACAATTTCAACATTAGACATGCTGTCTATTTTTGTGTTTAAATCATTCAAAAACCATCAAATTCTGTTTTTATTAGCGTTTTATTCAGGGTCTGAACTATTTTGGAGCACAGGTTGTCTGAACTCGAGTAGAATGGGTCTAAAAAAAGTTTCAATTTTTCATAAGGCTTACGTACTCTGATCAAGGTTGGCTTTTTTTAGACTATGGCGTCAACAAAACTCCCATTATTTTTTACATCCTTTTCAATGCAAACATTTGTTCTTCTATTTTGAGCTTCGAGATGTGACAATGTGCAGATTCTACTGCAATAAAAAATCAATTTCAAGTTTCTTTTGAGTGTTTCTGGTTCTGCCTGTCCCTGTGATTTTAATTCAAGGTACAGCTGCTGAATGCCTTGTGTGTGAGTTTGCCATTGTGTGTTTGTGTGTGTGTGTATAGAGTGACAGTGGGCGGAGTTATGTTCCTTGCTTATTGAGTCCAAAGCTCTGATTGGCCATTTCCACCGTTGTTTTGAGTCCCTGTGTGATTGGACATGTGTGATTTATCTACGATTGGAAGTCACGTGACCTTGACCGTAAAGGTGTGCGTGTGTCCGGTGGGGGGTTACGCGAGGCAGGAGGGTCACTGGGTTTTTTTTTGTGTGTGCATATTGTGAAGAAGAAAGCAGGAACAGGAGACAAGGCATCGTTTCTCGGCTGAGGGGATTAAAACTGTGACTCAAGGAGAGCTTGAACAGGGATGTCCAGCATGCAGTCAACTTCTTTCGTCTGATATTCGTGCAGTTTGTGCACGAGGCTGCAGACACCTCGCACCATGGCAGAAGGTATGAAGAGCTTTTTTAGTGTTGCTTCAAAACTAGAGATAAGGGGGACTCTTCTCTTTCCCTTTCTAGATTTGTCAGTTTTTGTTTTCCCCGAGTGGACACATGTTTTGTTGTCAGAGTGAAAGTGTGTTGTTGTTTTTGTGGAGATAGTATGGAAGTGTAAGGGACACTTGAGAGCCACAGAAAGCAGTGTAAAACAGAGGGGTGGTCTCTTCTTCAACTAGAGTTTTACAGGTACACTAAAAACAAGTGTTCATTATTGGATTCAGCTGTTTAAGCAGAATTTAAAATAAAGTTTAAAATTTTGCTTTGACAAAAGAGGGGATATTTTATTTTGAAGGCCCTCAGATGTGCACAGGCAGGAATTAAAACCTCATCTGTGGCGAAATAAATTTCTTTTTCTCTGTCATCGAGAAAAAAAACGTGAAAAACGTAACTGAGATGACGATTCATCTCGTAATTTAAATGCATTAAACATAACAGGCCGTATGGTAAACAATAGGCCGATTGCTGGATTATCATTATTGATCCATAAAACGATTCCCTTTAGAGGACAGGGAGATTGATCGACTTGGCTAAGAATCCAATATCAATCTTTTTTTGTGGGGGACAAAATTAGAAGTTTATCCCTTTTTTACATCATTTTTTAAATTTTTTTTCCTCAATTAACTTCTATTTCAAAGTGTTCTGTCACATTTTTAAAAAATCCGGTATTCTTTGAAAATATTGCACCATCGTGGGAATTTAACATCCTTAGATATTGGACAATGACTTGGGTAAGATGAAGCTTTGGACGTGGCATTTCCACGTGTATTTCTCGTTGTTTTCTGACATTTTTAAAAGTCTGTAATCAGGGAACAACAGCATGACTGAATTAATAATCATTTAGAGGCAATTGGAAGCTTTAGGCTCACATCTATTTACCAGAGCACACCATGTACAGCTTGCAAAAGATAGATAGTCCATGAAAAAATATCGAGGCAGGTTTTGTTGTGAGCTCCTTCTTCTCTTGGGTTCCTCTGGACTTTTGCTGCAGACATGAACATCAGCCTCACCAACATTAATAACATAAAACTAGAGTTAACTACTATTAGGCCTGCTGACTGTAATCACATTAAATAGATTTAACAGAGTCCATAATAACTTATATCCTAACCCTGTAAACTGGCTTTATTTTGTTTCATCATTACATGAGCTGTTGTTGTTGTTGTTTTAATGTTGCTGCTGTCCCCTGTCTCTCTACTCTCTCCCTCCCTCCCCCTTACCTATTCCCTCTCTCCTTCCCTCTATCTTGTTCTCTTTCTCTCCCCTTGCCCTCTCTCCTCTCTCTCTCTCTCTCTGTATTTCTCCCCAACCCAGCAGCGGCCTGGTGGCTGTCTAGCATGAGTCTGGTCCTACCCAAGGTTTAAACCTGTTAAAAGGAAGTTTTTACTTGCCACTGTTACTCATGTTAGATGAGATGAGTTAAATCCGTCCCATCTTTGGTTGGGTCTTGATAATTCATCCAACAATGAGCGTGGTCTAGACCTGCTTTTTTTCTTTGGAAAGCATCTTGGGATGAAGTCTATTGTGAATAGGCGCTATATACATTTTTTTTTTATTTGATTGATTGATTAACTGTGTTGTGTCCCTGTGCGTAATACGTCAGACGCACACATGCATCAGAGTTGAGGTTCTTCGGTTTAACTCTGCTGCCACTCATGAAACTACGGTGTCCCTAGAGCTCAACCGTGCAATCCTTTTAATGACCGAAAAACACAATCACAATAGACAAAAAAAAGAAAAAAAAAATTCACAGAAGGCAAAAAATATTTCACATAACCTCAAAATATTTCACATAACCTCAAAATATTTCACATAACCTCAAAATATTCCACATTACTTGACAATATTGATCATGTTTTTTCAGAAACATTTGTCTTCATTTAGGCTTTAGTGAAAACTATGTGCTTTATGAAGTATTTTTGTGTGATATATTTTTTGCATTTTATGATATTTTTAAATTTTCTTACTCTTTCTGCAAAACGTTTCTGTATTATTTCCAATATTATTTTTGTGAATTATTTTGTTTATTTTTGCAGCTGTATGCAGACAAAGACATGGAGGTGACAGAAAACGAAAGGTTGCTGTAGTTTTTAAAATAAAAAACATTAAAAAAATAAAAATATATGAACTATTTCAAGTTATACATAACTTATTCACCAGTAAAGATATTAGCCTTCTTTTACTGAGCTGGTTTAGTCCTTTGGTTCACTGGTTTATGTGGGAGAAATTCCCACAGCCTCCTGTGAACTGTTAAAAATAGCAGTGATCATGATACCTTTGTTAAAACGACATAGTCCACTGTTAATTTCTTCGTGATCTTAAACTCAGGACATAGTATTGTTCTGGATTGCAGGTTTGGTAGAAGGATTGAACACTTGCAAGTAACCCTTCATATCACAATCTCTATTTGGGCTGACCACCCCCAAAGGTTTGACCCTAAAGTCGCTCCTGACCACCACCATCATTTAGTATCTCTGTGTGTCGTTCAGGAGGCTGGGTGCAGGGGGAGGAAGAGGAAGAGGAGGAGGAGGCTCTGGCCTGGGGCAGTGGGGTGTGTAAGTGGTTCAACGTGAGGATGGGCTTTGGATTCCTCTCCATGAACAGCAGGGATGGAGTTCCGCTGGAGGAGCCGCTGGACGTGTTCGTGCACCAGGTGAGACGCCACAGCTACTTAAAGGTTTGATTTTACCTCCAAAATTGTAACAAACGTTTAACTGAGTCAAAAACATATTTCTGCACTCTGAGAGAATTTGATAAGTCCCGAAAACATACTCATACCAGCGTATTAGACGTAAATATGAACACTTCATATAGCCTGTCATCTGCCAATCCACCTGAGTCACTGATGCGAGTGCAGTACCATGTTTCACTCCTCCTCTCAGACAGATATTTCCTGTGGAGCCTTACAGGTACAGAAAAGGGGTTAGAGCAGAGACTTTTCTACTGAAAGAAGTTAGAGGCTAAAGCAGAGAAAACAAAGCTCAAACTTCTCCTCTTCCAGCTCTGCTTCCTGTTATAAAGTCATTAAAGCATCAGGGAACCCACCCTGCCCTCATCGTCAGTCCCACCTCCCATGTGGAGAAACTTCTCAGGTTACCTGCTGCTGTGAGGCTGTAAATCATCTAATCTGAGAGAGGGGCTTTAGATGCTGTTTTTGACGGCTTTAGTGAGCTACTGCTGAACTGAGGTTTCAGCAGATGGAGGACTGCAGTCTTAAGTCTTTGTTTGAATAACACTGTAAATATTGTTGGAATAATTTTTCAAAGGTTCTGATTTCAAATGATACCAAGAGTAGAGACTGCATTGTACAAGTGAGGGGATACTAGTATTTTAAACCTTAGATCTGGGATGTTTTTACGTCTCGAAAACTAACTGTAAGGAAAGAAATCTTTGAATAGAACACGTGGATTACTATGGAGCGTACCCTTGCTGCATGGACGAATTGGTTGTGAAAGTCAAATTACCAAAGGACATCTTTCTTTCATCAAAATGTTTAAAAATTGAAAATTTGCCTACATAATTTAACTACTTTTTTTTAAAGCAATGAAAAAGATCAGAAATGCTCATCTCAAAGCGACCAGGCTGCACTAAAAAGCAGCAATTTTATGAAAGAGGAGTTATTTGTCCTCCACTGACCTTAAAAATCATTTAAAAATTGTGAGCAGCCTAGATTTTGTCTACCTTTTGATTAACCCTTTAGACCCTTTCATTTGAAGAGTTATGTGTTTATTAAAAACCATTGACAACATCCGAAATGCTAATTTCAAAGCCACCAAACCTTAGGTAAGAAAAAAGTGTTGCTTTTAAAAAGTCTGACTTTTTTGTCCCTCACTTCCTCTGAAGTGTATTATTTGTGTTGTGCTTTTTATACAAATCTAATTTTTTTGTTTAACCATTAAAGATGATCAAGTCATATAACTGCAAAAAAAGCGCCAAGTAATTAATATTTTCATGTTGTAGGTCCTGAATGAAGGTCGAATTTTTCATCTGAGATGTAGCTCATCTGCACCTGCAGTTAATGGCAATACTATAACGCTTTTTTAGCACTCAGTTGTGTGGTGATCCTTTTTTTGCTATCAGCTTTAAAATTAAACATAATTCATTTAAACTCAAAAAACCCATGAAGACTTTCTGCCAGTTCAGTTTCCTTCCTGGCTTTTAACCAGTTGTTAACTGATATCGTTTTTTCATTGGCTGATATCAGTATCATTAAAAAAAGTGGTAAAAATGAAGCTTTTATGTTGTTGTTTTCTTACATTTAGTGAAATACAACAGTTGTATAACAATAACCCATTATTTAATGCACAGGAGAACGTAAGATATGCACAGGGTCGCATATAGATACAACACATACAGAGAAATATTGACCTATCAGTCGAGTGTTATGTTCTTCTGAATCCTTTTCCCCTGAATCTCAGCAAATTATTTTACCAATTACTACTTCATTTTCTTTTTTATCTAACTGCTGGTGCTGGTATACATGTGTGGTTCGTCATCCTGCAGCTGAATTGAAGCTTATAGTAATGAAGTCCAATGCGTGACCTTGTTAACTGAAGACTGTAAGTCTCACTCTTAGTTAGAAGTTGTTGTAAACAGCTGAAAGTCCCCAGTTCATGGAGAAGCTCATTTAATGGGGAGCTATTTAATGAACACAGTTTGTCAGTTATCAAGGTTTCACCAACATCTGACCTGGAACACTAAAGTAACACACAATAAAAATATACTGTATGTGTGGAATATATGTGGTGGTCTGTTCTGTGCACAATCTTACAATCTGTGATGAAAATGTCTTCAAATGAGAAACAGTATCAAACTTTAATCTTTCAAAAGTCTTTTAAAAAAGGGGAAAAAAATCAAAGTTTATGAAACATTTTTGCTCATTGAAATATCAGATATAAAAAATTTAATGTTCCATGAAGGTATTTCATCTCTGAAGTCATGAAAAGAGAAAAGTCTTCTCAGATGTAATTGTAGGATTCGCTCATCCTTCTTTTGATTTACCTCCACCAATTAGCTAAGGATCAATAGAGAACTGGATCGTTTGGTGATTTTCTCCTCTTGGGATTCATAGATTCTTCCTGGTAGTGATCCTATATGCACTCCTCCTCTGTGTTGTTACCCAGAATCCTCCAGTGTGGACAAGCATCAGGAGATTTTACCGGATTGACTTGTTTGGTATCTTAAACGGTGGTGTTTAGGAAGCCTGAGGGAGTTTGGATGAGGATGATTTGTTGGTTTTACGCGAAGGAGGGAGTTGAATTTTCAGATTAAAGTGTAGGATTTCCCAACAGGTTTGATAATGTTTCTTTCGACGGAGTAATTATGCAAATTATCCCGCTTGTTAAGTCAGATTGTCTTCACTCAGATGTCTTTTAATTTCATTGCATTTATCCAGTTGGTTTTCTGTGAAGCTAAAATTGTTTCTTAAAGGCCTCATGGAGACATTAGTGACAATTGTGGTGAACACATCAGTAAATAACTTTACCAGTATTAGCATTTTCTTCTGTCTCTCTTTTCACTGGACTTGAAAAATGACCCAAAACGACTCTGCTTCCTATCATATCCAGAGCAAACTGCACATGGAGGGTTTTCGCAGTCTCAGAGAGGGCGAGGCCGTCGAGTTTACCTTCAAGAAATCATCCAAAGGGCTCGAATCTGTGCGGGTCACTGGGCCGAAAGGAGCTCCATGTCTGGGCAGCGAAAGACGACCGAAAAGTGGCCAGAAACGACGCTCCAAAAGTGACAGGTGAGTCCTGCCTGAAGAAAACCCACTTTATATTAGATGTACAACAAATGAGGAGGATGATAATAAGTTCTTGCAGGCTGTTTATCTCATATAGTCACTGTGACCTGGCATTAACTTTTACTGACTCTGGGCCATCAGTCCATGGGTGATCTTGAACCCTGCTGAATGCATCTGGGTCAGATTTTTTGCAAGAAGTTAAAAAAACATTTATTTATCAGGTTTTGCAAAGTTTTGTGGTTGTTATGCCATGGTCTATACTTTTATGTAGCTTCAAATCAATACATTACCTCATCACTCTGCATCCTGTCTTGTAATAGAAAGAGCGGTATCAAAAAGAGGATCTGTATTCCAACCATAAAAAAAGTTTAAAATAATTTAATAAGAGCCCCACCAGACCTCCAGAAGAGCACCAGACTTCTTACAGAGCCTTTAAGTTCCTATCTGGGAGAATAATTGCGTCTATTTTTACTGTAGGAGTCATTACATGCAGGAAATCCTTCTTCATCAACAACTTTTCTGTCACACTTGTTTGCATCATCAAGTTTATTTCACATCTGAAAAACTCCAAATTCAAACTGTCACAACTTGCTTTTATATCGTCATGCCAAGTCAGTTCAGCTAAATCCCTTTTTGCCAGCTGACAAGTCCTTACTCAAGCAACAAGCTCAACAAATAGAGAGGAAATCTGTATTATTTGCCTTTTTCAGGCTCAGAGAGGGAAAAATGTGTGATGTAGGTAGATGTAATTCTCAAAATACTTAATACAACATTTCAGCTTTTCAGGCGTTCCAGTTTGTTTGCTTTCTTTGTTTCATACAGACTCTGTGTGCATGTATATACTGTTTCCCACTAAAGTAAGGTCGACATCTGGACCCACTATGCCAACCTTAAAGGTGGGGTAGGCAGGATCTGAGGAAGTGCCAGTTTTTGGGAGGAATCTTGTATGTAAACACTACCCCTGCCAACCAGTTTTCCCCTCAGCTCCTCCTCTTCCCTCCGTCTCTGCTCCAGCAAGCCCCGCCCACAAACGGACGCCCCTGCTCACTCGTACTGTTCCAATTAAATTCAGATATAATACAGATAAATACTTTAGATGATTACAAATGGAGCCCAGTCAATGTGAAAGTAAACAGCATTGGTGCTACTGTAGACGCCAACAGACTACCAGCAAACACAATGTTTACAGGACTTCTATAACCACGATAAAGTGACATACTTCAGGACCCGAGCTAAACATTTTAGTGGCGCTACAACACGCAGCAGGTCCCATTTGACAAGAAACACTTCTGTTACAGACACTTGGCTTACTTTGTTAAAGCGGTTTACCTGTCCAGCAGAAAGGTTACAGGGTCTGTAATATCCCAAAGCGTCCCCCATTATTGTTGACCCGTCTTTTTAGCTCTTGTCCGGGTGGTCTACCTCCTTTTTAAGCGGCCGTTATTCCGCCAGAGTCTTCGGTATTTACTTCGTTTTCTCGCTTGAGTTGGCAGTCGTGGCCAAAGGAGGATTCAGACAATTTTCTGTACTTTCTGGTTGGTTTCTACTGTCTGATATTGTAGCACGCTAACTTTGTTTGAGCTCGTGAACGACTTGGGGGAGCAGCATCTGCCTCACAACCAATCAAGTTGGGGAAGGCTGGGAATGGTTTTGTTTACAGTCAGAAAGAAGGGGCCGCTCAAAAAACTTAAAATGTTGACTACACAGACAGAACAGAAGACAGCGATATCGTTATATTACCAAGTGTCATCAATGACTTATAGTTATTGACTGATATTAAAAGCTTTTTTTGTAAATACACCACAAAAAAAAAAAGCTTCTTTAACGGATTCCTGCCTACCCCACCTTTAAGTCCCTCAGACCAACATGGCATCCATTTTTCCATCAGTGTAGTTTCATCCTTCATTGGCAATAATTTACAGACTTGCTCTTTACTGGTTAAATACCCGGTTAGTTCCCTCAAGTAAAGTTGTTCTCTGTTTAGTAAATCTAAACAGTAGATCTGATACCTGCTACCAGAGCAAGTTTTATTTGTAGATTTTAAACCACTGAGACCTGACCAGCTCATTAATGTGAAGGGTTTTATGAAGTTCCTTAGTCATCGTGCACAGTGGTAAAAGTAATCCAGAAACTTGTCCTTGTCCCAGAGTTCCTGCTAAATGTTTGATTGCACTCGCTATTCCTGAAACTTAAACGCAGCATTCTGAGGAGAGAAGGATTCCACTCATTTAATTGATAACAGATGTAGGTGCCCATGAGGGGTGAAAGGTCAGCATTGCCATAGCAACGATGGGATGTGGTGTGCAAATGAGGCAGAAGAAAGGATAGGAGGAGGGGCAGTGAAGGAGCCAGGGTCAGGGGTCAGAGGTCAGAGTGGTATTGAAACAAAGGAGCTCCCTCTGTCCACGCTGATCAATACTCGGACCTGATGGGGGGCAGGGAGGGAGGAAGAGGTAGAGGAAGGGAGAAAGAGGTGGTTTGGTGTGAGGTGGTCAAGAGCATCAAGATATACAAGATATTTCAAAATATACATTATATTTTCTTAAACCTTCAACTGTCCCGTCAAAAGACACAAATAAACACCTACATGTATATTTTATGTGTGAAAACACCTGATAAGATTTCATCTCTGTGCCACAGAAGCATGTGAATGTTCCACTCTGTTCCTCTCAGTGTATGTTCATCACACAGAGGAGTTTATGACATCCTTAAAGCATAGACCTGCTGCCCCAGATTACTCACAGGAGTAGTCTTTTCACAAATAGCTGATTCTTTTTTAGGGCATTTAAAGAGAGATTCTACTTTTTTTTAACCTGAGCTGTGTTTTTACACATTTTGGTGAGTTAATGATGAGTATCATTCAGAGTACATTAATGTCTCTGTTGACATCACCTTTAAGATGGGCAGCATGCTTCGCACAAAGTGTCATTGCCTTTTTTATGCCTAGTGCCAAAAAGTAATATTTAGCCCAAGAAGAGGTGCATTGCTGTAGATGTTGAAAGTGTCAGAGGCTTTAACCAACAAAAAAACAGGTCGTAAGTCTAAAGTCATGCTTGCAATACTTCCCTGATATCCAGAGGGCGCATAAATGAGATAACAAAATAAACAGCAGTGACCCCCACTGTTTATAAAATACCTCACTGATCACATTTCCCCCTGATATTCATGAAAACTTAATAGTATCCATTACATGCAGTACGAACTACAGCCATGTGATCCAGCTGTGAAGAGAAGTAAATAACAGCTTATCTTACTATAATTTCTATTATCTAAGAGCATGGGACGTTAGTCATCGTAAGGTCCTGTCTGATACTGTCAGTCTGTCCTGATTTTTGAGTAATAAACAAAGTTAATGCTGCTGCGCCTTGTGCATATTTAGATGTACTCGTCTGTTAATTTGGAAAACGCCTGGTTGTTTCTGCTGTTCAGAGGAACTGTTTCAGTGGATTTAACATCAATCCTTGTCTTGATACATGTTTCAATGGACTCAGCAGAAACAGTGTTTTGCTGTTTCTTAACAGGCAAAGTAATGCAACCAAGTGCCCCATAATAGCTCTCCTTTAGACACTACAGTATCACAAAGATGCAAAGCTTGGACAAGCCAGATTTATTACAGGCACTTGTGAAACACGCTTCTTCTCTTTTCCTTGTTTAACAGTCTATAAGTATCCTATTAAAGACATTTTAAACACCAAGTTATACAAATGACAAATACTTTTCACTCTGCCTTAACAAAATTCAGCATAAATCTGTGTGTACTTTATGGTTTATTGTGCCTCTCAGTTACTATTATCATGTTAAAGCGTTTACAGTTGTGGTCCAGAGGCAGAGTGATGCCATCTACCTATGCAATTTCAAATATTTTAACATTTAAACATCAAACCAGACAAATGTAAGAAAGCTAAGTCTTCGTTCCGCATGTCCTCTGCGTGCTTGAAGACTTTTGACAAAAAATCTCATCCTGCTGACTTGTGACTCTTAAATGTGTCATTTATTGTGTATATTTCACACGGAAATGGAATAAACAGAGCTGTTTCCACAGCTGCATTCAGAGTATCAACTTTTAAACTGATAAATGATATCTGTTTTGACTGAATGTTGGTATGTTGAATGTTGAATAAACTAACTTTATGATAAATATTTTAAGTAGCTGTTTTGTTGAGACTCTTCATATTCCGTTGAGACCCTTTGGTTAGTTCACTGGTGTATTTGTTTTTGTGTTACAGAGTATTAAAATGCAGTCTCTTACATAATTTAAAAGCAGTGTTACCTTTATTGCTGCTCTCTGTACTCTATTTACTTTATTTACTTGTTTTCTAGCAGATAGAGAGTAAAGGGGAAAACCCGAGGGCCTGTGGAAGAGCAGATTGTGTGTGTGTGTGTGTGTGTGTGTGTGTGTGTGTGTGTGTGTGTGTGTGTGTGTGTGTGTGTGTGTATACACAAAATCAATGGTTTTTAACTGCCTGTTTAAGTGGCCAGTGTCTCTTTGTGTCACACTGCACCCACTGACCTTATTTATCCTGACTTAATGAATTCACCAACAGGATTTCACTTAGCTGCTGATCATTAGCTTTCTTAGCGTAGATTTATAGATGAATCCACATCTGACTCACACATCAACAAATAAAAGCTGTTCTTTTCTTCAATGACGGCAGCTTATTGAGCCATTACCTTTTGCCGTTATATAATCATTTCTTTTTAACAGACTTTGTAACATTGCCATAGGAGAAGTTTTACACATGTGCATTTGCACTCTGGAAGTTCCAAGTTTCCATATCACACTTATTTATCTGAATATTTGCACACAGTCGTAATGTTACATTCAGCTTTTAAGCCAATAGACAGAAAAAAACATTCTCCTCTATGTTAAAGTTACTCATCTTCAAACCCAATGACTCTTCAAAGCTGCCATCATCCACCTATCGTGATTATATTAACAACAAAAAGACTTTCAGCTTTTAGTTTTCCAGATCAATGTCAATTTGGATAAATCCTTGAACAGCTGCTCAGCACTGGGACTAAAGATCAGGGGGCTGCACGGTGACAGGTTTGTTAAAAGATGAAACAGGAAAGCTGGGATGTGCTTCCCTCTAGTGGTAGAATTTAAGCATGACATATGACATGATACAAATGGTATTTTACTCAGGTTTTAGTTAAACTAATTTGAACAGCAGCTTCTTTGAAAGAGCAACCATTTAGATAATACAATAAAACAGTATTAAAGGATTAATTCACTGTTTATTTATGTGATAATTACAATCACTCCTTGTAGTTGTCATTTGTGTTTACAACAATTATCTCAATTTTTTACTTACAGTTTAATTATTACACTTTTTGAAGTAACCTTTTTATAATCCTGTGCCGATCATTTTGTTTCGTCTATCACTGACAGAAAAAAAAACATGCCCATGTGGGTTTGATGACGAACATAAAGGTGATTTAAATTTATTTGTAAGATTTGCTTTTTGAGAGACATAAAGTCAGAAACAGGTTGTGAGTGTTACTTTTTTTTACCCCCCAGTTTTGTTGTCATGAAACAACCTTTGCAGAAAACGTCTGAGACTAGCTGTTAGGGTCTTCTTAGCTCCTCATACAGCCCTGATAGCATGTTCATCATGTTTTGAAAGAGTCATATGCAAATGTATGAGGATATACTCCTCCTGTATACTCCTTCAGAAACTTTTTCACCTTCTCATCCGACCTTTACCCGTACTCAACAAGACAAAATGGCCATCTTCAGTTACCTTTCTGTCGAACTTCTTGTCATCAGTCTAATATCACTTTTAGAGGACCGAAACTATGGAATAATCTGGATGCATCTCTAAAATCAATATTATCCTTCAAATCCTTGAAAATATCATTGAAATCTCATCTAACCATGTCTTAAATACATCATTATTTGTTATGATTGTGTTTCTTTCCTTTTTATTTATAATTATATTGTCTCTATCTGAGGTTGATGATTAGTCTATGTTTTATTTATGACAATTTGTATATGTTTTGACCTTTCCCTACTCATTGTATATTTATAACCTGTTTATGTCCTAGTTACTTTGTTGTTCGCACCCTATGCCTTCACTGCCCTGACTGAGGTGGAAAAAATAAATAGAAATAGAGGAAAGTTTTCTATTCAAAAATAGACATTTGATGGATGTGTTTGAGGATAATTAAACTCAGAGAAATGCGGGTAAAACAAGGTTCAAGCATTGATTCGAGCCTTCGATCAATGGGTTTGATTATTTCATTACATTTTGATTGCTTAAGTAACCAAAAAGAAACTGTTTTAGTTCTTTGACATTCATTTTCTCTTTTCTCTTTATTCTAGATGCTACAACTGTGGAGAGCCCGGTCATCACGCCAAAGAGTGTCAGCTGCCTCCTCAGCCCAAAAAGTGCCATTGCTGTCAGAGTATTTCCCACATGGTGGCCAACTGTCCGGTCAAAGCACAGCAGCAGCAGCAGCAGCAGCTGCATTTGTCTCTAAGCGCTCAGGGAACATCTTCCTCTCAGGAGGAGAAGGAAGGGGAGCAAAGTCAGCCTCCCCCTCCCTGAAAACTAAGAGTGAGAGAAAGTGCGAGGTTTTTCACTGGAACACTGCCCACAAAAAGAGCTACCTCAGGTTTTATTTATTGAGCCACAAAATGGAAGACATCACTGTGATACTTTTGTGATATGTACTGATCTCTATATCAGAAGCTTTTATCTCTCTTTGTTGTTTTTCTGTCTTGAATAAGTGTCCTCGCTCGGAAAAGAAACAATCAGATTTACTGAATATCCAGCCAATACGTAGCCGCAGGTATAAAGTCCTACTTGGGACTGGTTTGACTGGTTTTGTGCCTCTGTAAACATTTGACAAAATCCATATAACGTCATTATTAAGACAATTAATGCTGTACTTTGAACGAGTCATTTTACAACATGAGATATTCGCCAAAATATCACCACTTTTACTGACAAAGAAAGTGGTCCTAAGTGATAAAACAAAGCATCGTTTCATTCTATATCACCAGAGTTGAAATATAAAATAAACAATCCAACATTTGAATGTAAGAAAAAAGAGCATATCCTGAGTATCTCCCTTTACTGGGAACACTTCTCGGGTTCATGTAGTTAAAAACGTAGTAACAAGATAAGTGCCATAACTTTCACTTTTCAGGTTGATAAAAGCTGCTTTTGAAAGCCACATAACACTGAAAACAAGAATATTTTCATACATGGAAACCACATGAACAGGACTTCTTTCCATTAGCGGTGAAGTCAATGTCTTAATAACCAAGTTGCCATGTCACTGTTTAAATTTATATGCAAGACCAGTATTGATTGTATTGGCAGACTTTGTCTGCAAAACAGTATAAATCCAAAGGAAGTGTTTTCACATATCAGGGATGTTTTCACGTAAACAATATTCACTCAGTTATTGTAAACTGAAGGTGAAGCTGAAGTCAGGGGCTGGCTGTATATAGATAATATCTTTTTATATGAACTATTTATTCAGAGTTGTTCTCCCTGAAGGACAGACTGAACTTTTGACAGCTTGAACAATTTTCTTTTGATCCTGTGCTGTGTTTCTGAAATATCTTGATATCATTTGAATACCCAGGTACCGATAAATTTGCTGAATTTTCACTGAAATGACAAGTACAAAGTCTCTTGGTGTTTTGTGCGAGTTAAATTAGTTTCCTAGTAACCTCAGCTTGTGTAGAGTTGACGTAGAGATTACATTTTGAACTCAGGGAGAACTTTTGACTTAGTGTCTTTTAGGATGTGGATAGATCTGTCACTCATTTTTGCTTTGGAGATTTCTGAAGAACCAGGGAGTTGACTGCTGAATGAGCCGCACACTACCTTTTGTCATTTTCTACAACAACAGATCAATGAGTACTATGGCAACTTTTTGCATTGTGCGTCCTTGAACGTGATGACTGTAATATTTCTTAATAGTGTTCATACTGTATCTGACCTGTTTATGTAGAAGTCAGACAGACTGCTACACTTAGTCCCACTTCAGAGGTAGCATACTTAAAAGGACCTCGCCTTTGTAGCTTGTCCAGATCACTCAGGACAAACTTGAATGATATGGTCTGGTTCAGGGAGGATTCCACATTTTGTTACCAGCTACGCTCTCTTGTAACAAACACCACAAAGTTCCACCTCTGTCACCTTGAAACAGTTAAATATCTGGATAATTAGCAACACATCAAGCATCACATAACTTCAGCATCTCTGTAACGATTAGTTAGATTGTCAAGACATTTCTATTAATGGCATCTGATTGTGTTGGGACTAAATGTTGACATTTAACTGTGTGTAATGTGTCTGCTTCAAAGTCCAAAGTCTTATTTCATGCGGCATGCAAAGCATCATGGGCTGCGCTTGGCCAGAAATGATGCATCATTTGCAGCCGGAGAGAAGTCGATAGCCTTTGTTGGCCACATTTAGGGACAGCCTTGGGACATGCCACTGTGGCACACTCAGTCTACAAATGAGTCTCTCCAAGGATGCTGCCTCTGAATCGGGACATAATTAATGTGATCTTTGATATTGAATTCCGACATGTGAGGGCAGACATTTTCAGTACCTAACATGAAACTACACCTGTCATGGAAAACTGAATGTTTTCTGTGAGCAGAGCTATCTGAAAAGATTTCATGTTGCTTTCATGTTGCCTGAAAATGTTTTCTGTTTGCTCATTCATAACATCTGAATGCTTGACTATATTTAGCGTGCTAACAAGGCTAAAGGACTGTTGAGCTTTCATGCCTTGGGGTACAATATGAGGAAAACTCTTTGCTTACAATTCAACATTCAGTACACAAAAGGTTTTTGGGAAGCAAGTCAGGTACCTGAAATCTTTCAAAAGGCTGAAATTGCTGTATCATAGAAGCTCACTAGTTAATGAGAAAATTGATCCCCATTTAAATCCAGGTATGTTAGTCTGACAATGAGAAGTTTGATTTAGTGCGATTCAGTTGGACTAATGTGTTCCCATTTTTTTTAAATTCTAGTTTCAGTGGGACTGCGGCAAATACCTACATTTTTTTAATTAGATGTAAACATTCTGACTTTCTCCCTGTTTAACCTGGCCAGGTTAAACACTGACCCTGCGCTCACCATCTAAAGCAAAACCTCTGAGATTTTAGCTCAGTGGTTAAAAATGGGGAAAAAAACTGCAAACCAATGTTTCAATGAACACTGCAGAAATTTAAAAATACCATTTTGCGGAAAACCTGCAATCTGTTTCCTTCCTGATGAAATACTAGCAATTGAGGATGTCAGAATTTCAATACCTTTCAGTTTAATGTGCTTCAAAATTACATAACCCGTATCAAATATTTGACTGTATTAAAAAATTACTAAAGCATATGGAAAAGAAATCTACCTACAGCTGCTGGATGTAAGAGAGAGAGTACAGTAGAGGTCGAGTTACATAGAAATCAAGTAAATAGAGGAAACACCACAAATGAAAACAAACGGTGAAGCACAAAAAGTACATTTTATAAAGGATCTATCCATCGTCAGTCTCTGTTCACTTTTTTTGGACCTGCACTCTTTGCAGTGGAATAAGAAGCAAATGATTTATAATTGCGGGCGCTCAGGAATAAACTTTTATGACTGTTGTGTCAAAACAGGTATCAGTTTTGTTTGATTTTCACTGGTTTTGTACTGAAGCTTAAATTTCTGGTGTAGTGACAACCATATAAGACGACTTAATCAGTAGATTTTTTTAAGTTTTCGGAAGATGTAGGTGTATGATGTTTCCAATTTTAGATAATTATATTGACGAATTTATGATTTTCTTCTTTTTTTCTGGTTGTAGGAATAAATCAGGTAAAATGTCAGAATTCACTAAATACATACACCCACAACCGCTGTTCAAAAAAGACACAGAAGGTACTGACTGACATACACAAGGCTTTGGCTGTTGTTATGAATTCACTACGATGCTGTTTTTACTGTACATATCCAGTGTGTTTTTCTACGTGTGTTTATAGTTGGATGTTCATGATGTGTCTGCATGATAGTATTGGAATAATAGATTAGCTGTTTTGTGTTCAAGGTGACTGGAGCCTGAGCCGAAGGATTGCACAGCCCTTAAGGATGATCAAAAGCACAGGCATTGATCATCATTAACGATCATTACACCTCCATTATGTGCTTGAGTTCACCATTATGCTCACCATGCTACAGTACAATGGGGTCTAATTAACCATGTATAATACTTTAATTCAGTCCGGTCCTAGTAGGTTGTGTCTCTTGTAGTTTTTATTTCTTTTTTTCGTATGACAGAGACAGAACCACATTTTGCCAAAAAATCTATACAAGGCTACCTCAGGTGTGATTTTGGACAGCTTAGAAATAGCATGTCCAAAAATGTTTTGATTATTTATTGTAAATGTTCTTTATTAAGTTATTCATTCAAGTATTTATGATATATTTTGACGTGTTTATTTAATGTGACTTGTGCTACCTCAAGAATGTATTCTGCTATTATTCTGGCACATTGGAGAGATCCTGTACTTAGACCAAAGAGATGCTTTTTGAGAAAGTCTTGACTTTGCTTTGAAGAGCTAGAGAGACACATAGAAACTGATTGTTACATGAATAAGATGTTCACTCACATTCTCCAAACTAACTTCATATCTTTACTCTGGTCAACTTCACTATAAAAGTGAGTATGACAAATATTCACAAAGACAAAAATGTTTACTCATCATTCAGGGTTGTGCTCGACAAATTCGACCTTTTTTAAAATCAGTGATCCAAAGAGATGATTTGTGCTGCTGTATGATTGGAAATAAAAGCTCTAACATTGAAAAAGTTTGTGTTTCATAGACCTTTTTTTGTATTTAAGCTGTAAGGGGATGACTGTCAAAGATATTTCAATGCTATATGTGTTTTGTCCCATCCATATGCATATACAGAATGACCTTTCCATTCAACAGAGCTGTCAATCATGATGTCATCTCTTCTCTTTCTAAAATGAAATAAGTACTTAAAAATGACCCTCTCAGAGAAATGAGTGCTTGAACATTGAGCAGCATGATAAAAAATAACTTTACCAACAGAAATCATGTCTGAGACAAAGTTATCTGATGTGTATTTTGGTTTTATAGTGTGCCCCATGTTTCATCTGTACAAGGCTGGTTTTATGATCTTTACTGCAGCCAGTCAGCAGTCTTTTGGCTTCACAGCCAGTGAGCACTAAGGCATCTACATCAATATAGTCTACAGTAAGAACAATATTAAGAGATTAATAGATTGTAGATTTTGATTATTAGGGTTCCCTGCTCACCCTCTATCAGTGAAATGCGGGGTGACTCAGCTCAAGGAAGAACATTTATGATCATTTCCTCACGCAAATGCAATTAGACTGAGACGCTAAGGCAGAGGAAATACCACGTCTGCAGTGCAAAATTTTTAATATGGTGACTATTACTTCAAAGAAATGATAAAGTAATGATCATAAATGATCTTCCTTGAGCTGCGTCAGCCCGCAGCAGTCTGTAATGGACTGGCCTGAGGTTTCGCTACAAACAAGCGGCTGCTGGAAGAGAGTGGGTGAGTTGTGTTTAGTCTCTTTTCTTAAGAAATTAGGCAAAGTTGAAAAGATGTTTGATGGCTAGTGCTTTGACTAGGATCCTATTTGTACTGTTAACGCTGTTCTGAGCATTATTTGTGGCTATAGAGTGGTGTTTTGGTTGAGGTTTGTTTATAGCTCCTCAGACCACTGTGTATTGCTATCCTGTGGTATTTACTAAAGTTGGTATAACTTGAGAAGTAAGAGGTCGGCATCGTTTATCATTCGAGGATGTGTCTCACTTGGTGTTACGGTGTGTTTGACCCTAAATTAATTTTACGCCGGAATATCCCTTTAATTTATGACAGATATTTTGCATTGTGGAAATCATTTTATGCTACTGCTGATATGTGCCATATTATGACTTAAATAGCCCAAATGAACATATCCTATCCTACTTGCAACCATAATCCTCTCTTGTGTGTTGTACTGTATTGTAGAGTAACAATTCAAGTTGCTCATTTCCTCCGAATGGGTTTGTGAAACATAGTTTTGGTGTTTGTCACTTTTTACCGTCAGATAATTTCCCTTTCTGCTCATGAGTGGGTCTGTTTCCCACGGGGATTAATAAAGTTTCCCTTGTGTATACTGTAACTCAAATGTTAACGGGACTTTACTTTGAAAACCGAAGCAGGAAGTCGCCTCATCGTGGCCACCTCTGCGCTGCACTGCACAGCAGCTGCACGCGCTCACGTCGTCCAGTGTTTGACAAAACCTCGTCGGTCTGACTGCGCGAGCTGAACGTGTGCGGCGGTAATGGCTGCCAGGGAGAGTGAGGAAGACAACAAATGAAGCTCTGAGACACGATTTCTAAGGTGAGTGTGAAATCATGACAACCCACGGCGGAACGTTTTCAGCCTTTTGGACATGTACACAGCTGTCTCGTCTGCTGAGGCTACTTATCTACTTGTCTCGCAGGTGTGTGTGTGTATGTGTGTGAGCTGTAGGGAATGTGGCTATTTGTATGTCACACACACACACATAGAGAGAGAGAGACACACACGCACACACGGGACAATAAACTGTCAATACTCTGCTCTTAACATGCACACCTCCTGCATGCCCCCCGGTGTAAGCCCAGTATAAGAAGAGTGGACATGTGTAAGGGTTGAATTATGTAAGATAGACGCAGACAGACATGCCGAGTGTGCTGTGGAGAGCTGGACTCTTTGTTAGCTGCTGTTAACGTGATTAGCAATCGCGAGCTAACCACAGGCCACAGAGCTGTTGGCCTGTTAGCCAATCAGGCGAGCGGATGTCTAATTAGCCTGTTAGCACGCTGGCTGGCAGTCATCCTGCCTCTCTGCCTTTTGTTTTAAACCAATTTAATGCTCGTTTAGAAAGAGTTACATAATACCGGGCTAATTATAAAAAGATGGGAGGATGGTAGAAATTTATTTACAATTGCTCATATCCTGGAGGAGGATTATGAACACTTAGAACCATTCTTGTTTTTGCTCTTATGGAGAGATCAAAACATGCTGTTACAGGAGACCAAAATATCGACTTTGGTACAACAGTAAGGGGGAAAAAAAGCAGCCAAAGTCACAGAACACATGAACATCTGACATATTGATAATGGTAATAGTAAGAAATAAGATTTATTAATCCACGAAGAGAAATTGAATTGTCTGTCGTCTCATTTGTCATGTCAATCTAAAAGTCATTGACTATTTACTGAAGAGTTGTAAAGTCTGATGGCTGTTGGTTTAAAAGATCTTCTGGATCTTTCTGTCCTGCAGTGAAGAGACAGGAGCCGTCCATCACCGTTGGCCCTTTGGTCCATTAAGGTGTTGTGAAGTGGGTGATCCATGTTCTTGAGAATAGTCTCCACCTGCCTCTGTGTAGATCTCTCAAAACAAAAAGAATTTTGCATAAATAATATTCAGACTAATCGCAAAATATTCCCACTTAGACATATTTTTTTTTTAGTTTTAAAAATATGTTCATATTTTTTAAAGTAAACTAAAGACCTACCGTTAGTCTTTTAATCTTTTAATCTACATGATGTGATTTTACGCTATTTTCGTCGTAGAGCAGGGATGGGCAATTAATTTTTACCATATTTTTCGTACTATAAGGCGCACTTAATTTAATTTTAATTTAATTTTTCGTCTTTGTTTTAACTTTCATCAGTGCTAAGTAACTTTAGCTCGTAAGCTAACCTGTTCAGATACAACATACCATATGTATTTTCACTGTCTCAAACTCAGTCGCGTTGCTGTCACAGCACCATTAGGTCTCAGTTGTTACCTTATGTTTATGGATTATAGTTTAATGTGCTTATCTGGTACTGGCCCCGACTCAGTACATGCTGTCATGACAGACAGTCATCTCAACACAAGTGTCTAATCAGAACTGAAAAACAGTCAGTCTGCTGTTGTGTCAGTCTTCTCGCTTCCACCCGGGACGCGTCTTTTTCCCCTTGGAAAGTCGCAAAATCGCATTGCGCTTGATGTGTATAGTCAGGCACATCAAAATTAGCCTCTGAACATTTCCTAATTTTACGTCGTATATTTGTGTCGTAAGGCGTCTACGAATATTTTGCCGATGTTTAAACTTGTCTCTGTTCACGAATGCAGATCTAGGATGTACGCACCTGCATCCAAACAGAAATAAAACAATGGCTAGGTTTTCAAAATAAAAGAAACACACTTGTATAGCATGTTGATGATTTGATTGACGGACCTCACGAAGGGCCGATGTGGTACTTAGGCTGTAAAATGCCCAGGTCTGTCCTAGAGTAACTATCTTGTGTTTTACTACCTCTTTTTGAATGTACTTTCTTTTATTGTTGGATTTTAAGACTGTTTTATTTAATGAACTCTTAACGCTTTATCACCTTCATTATATTTTATCACGGTTTTATCATTTTAGTCCAAGATCCAGTGTTTCCTCATCTTTTTTAAACTCAAGTCATCCGTGGCAAGTTGAAGAGTCCTCACCATGTCTTTTGAGTGTGCATCTGTGTGTGTGAGCGTGTGAGTGCTGTATGTGGTGAATGAGGGTTGAAAGAGTGGGTAGTGTTCGGTATTTGTATTTTTATTAGTTGACTTCATAGTTTTTTTTTAATATTCTCCACGAATGGACAGAACTTTAAGCTACATTCCATGCATGAAAAGTGCTTTAAAAATCAAGTTTGATTGATTGATATAGTTTTAAGTATGGAGTTGGTCGTGTTTTTCTTCTGATTTCTTTATTATTTGCGTTGTTTGGTACATTTCTGTCAGTCATTGTGTAGAGCTGTGGGGTTTATTATCAGCACACCCGTAGGTCAGGTCTTATTCAGTAGAAAATGCCCAGGTGACACCCCTGTTTCTCTTCTCTGCTGTCTGTTCGTGACAGCTGCTACGTCTTCAGGAAGCACCAAAAGGACTGAATAGTTACCAACTTGTGTGTGTGTGTGTGTGTGTGTGTGAGGGCTGCAAGTGGTGTTGTGGCTGCAAGAGAGCTGCAGGTGTGACAGAGGCAGAGCATACAGTGTGAAGTGTGAAGCACGACTGAAGTTAAATCAATGTCAGCACCTACCTGTCCTGCACAGAGGTATGTGACTGCAAACTTTGCTTCTCTCCTTTGGGCATTTTGTGTTTATTGACAATACAGCTGAAGAGAGACAGGAAATTGAGAGAGAAACTAGTAGGGGATGCTGACCACCAAATGGTTGTGTGCAGTAGTTTGGTTTAATTTTGCTTTGAGGTGTCTAGTTTGTTGAAAAGCTGCCATCTTGATTGTTTACGCTTGAGCAGTGCCCCTCCGTTGTAATCTTAAATAAAGGATTGTGATTGGTTTAATCTACCTGACGCAAAGGCATTTTTGAATACTCCATGCATAGACATAGTCATGCATCAGGAAGAAGATGATTATTTACACTTAGGGTGGGAATCGTAGGGTCAGCCATGATAGAGCTATGAGACTTGCACAACAGTTTTTTAATTTAATATATCTAATTAAGTAAGGCATGCAAAATGCGCCTTAAAGATGAGTATAAGTTTAATGTCTGTATCAGCATCACGAGGGAGCACTGTGTTGTGTTTTTTACGTTTCATGACCTTCTCAGTCTTGGTTGTTACCGTCCCTGCCCAAATTTGATTGGTTTAAGAAAACGTACACTATGTTCCAACATTTGTCGTACTTATCAGTTTACATTTTACACAATGTCCCTGCCTATTTTGAAATAGGATTTTAACACTATTTAAAGAGCATTGTTTTCTAACTAAAGTAATTAATGGTACTCAGATCTGGTCGTTCTCAGACTTGATTTCTTTCACACTTTTTTTCCCAAACTACTTGCGCGTCTTAATCTGATTAATCAACTGTGAGAAAATCATCGGCCTGATTATGAAACATGAAGTTGCTGCAGCCCCAGAGCTGTTTCTGGTCTGGCAGGTAAATCAAGATTATGTAAGTAATCATAATAAGGATATGAGAGACTGATCCAACCATTGGCCTCTTTTGGGGAGGTTGTGCCTGTCATACACTTCTCATTTTCTTAATGGTCGTGTTAATTTCTGGAAAATGTCACATGTTCCTGTGACATCTGCATGTGCAGCGATCATAAACACCCCGACTAGGTAACAAAATAACCCTGTAACAGATACTAGTTTGTGAGCTCGGTGTCAAATAAGCAGGGTGGTCATTTTTGAGCCTCTAAAGAGGTTCATTAGTGGTCACTGGAAACTTCTTGTACTGTGAAGAGTTGATTATAATGGGAGAAAAAGAAGTGATGCTGCCATGTTTTTTTTTTTTTTTAAACGTTCCTCTGAACCTCAAAACAAAAACAATTTCAGAGCTACGTTATCACGCACACTCATGTCTCAGTGGAAGACGGCAGTTTGGTTTAGTTACACCCATCTGAAAAGTTGAGGAGATTATCCGAGTCTATTGTGAATTTTGAAAACAATCCAGGGGAATTTTCAGAGTGCTTGTGTTTTTCAGACAAAAGTAATTCATTTTGTGGTTAGGCAAATATGTCACTACATAGGCAGTTAAGGGGAAATGATGTTGGCTTTCAAGAATAATTTCCAGTGAGGACTCCAGTTAAGGAAAAAAATTAGATGTTTTTTTTGAGAGGAAAGGGAAAAATTTGTGCGGCTACATTTTTGTAGGTTGGCGAATCAGACGAATCTGTCAACAGTTCAGACTAAAATAGTTGCATCTGTTGTGATCATAGTGAAACTAAAACTTGAGGTCATTAAGGATAAAACTGTGTCAGCCCCTGTCAGTCATTTGTTTCAGGTTAGTGAATTAATGTGCATTTAGCAGAGAGCATACACCGTGATATGTATTCTAGTCAGTAAGCCTTGATAGCTTGCACACTATGCAAATCTGTTAGCTGCGTAACGTGCAGTGCGTGAGTCCACAGATGAGTCCAAAGTGTTACTCAGTGTATCGTTTGCTGCCAGCCTAGCCTGAACCTTTTGACAACCAATCATACACTAGATGGGGTGTTGCTCAGGTAACCAGGAAATTTCTCTTTTCTCTTATTTCTCTTATACTTTTATTCGTCTTTAATGTTTTTATATCGTTTCATTCAGAGCATTTCATTGTATTGTTGACCTTGTTTAACATACACATGACGAATCAACAAATCTTGAAATCTTGAAACTAGATGCTTGTTAGATGATCATCACCGGGACAGAGAGTCCCATTTTTTGCAACAGTCCTTTGTGCATCAACATTGAAATACCAAAACTCAATTTAGCATCATTTGAGATTATTCTCAGCAATGCTGGTTGTAGTTTATGTATTTTTAAATAGAAATAATCGATAATTGATGTATTTCGTGGCTGTTTGATGGTTGTTTGCCTCATCACTTTTCTTCTAAAAAGGAAAAATGTGTCATAACTCCACCTCAGCTGTTGGTTAACTTGTCCTACTTTTGTAATACTTAGCTCCAGTCTCTTTAACCGTCATCATCCTGCAGCTATACCTGTGAGTGACATCTGATCATAGCATAATAGCTGGTTACAATTAGATAAAATAACCTTGACTTATTTCATAACAATAAGAATGAGCATTTGTTAAACAGTTAAACGCTTGGCTTTAAGGGATTTTCTTTTCTGGTCTGGGTGTCACCGCTGCTCTCACACCCTGCAGCAGGTGAAGTATTTAAAAAAAACAAAAAACATTAGGCGATTATTAGACCAAACATTTAAGAATATTCCTATTTGAACATATTCAGGAAAGACTGTATTTCTAGACCTCTGACTTAATCTGATATGTTGTCAAATAATTGGTAATATTGTAGTATTTGTGTTTTTTACCAAAAAGCACTCTGTTTTCTGACACATAAACAATCAGCCGGTCGGCCATGTTGGCTATACCGGTAAATCTGACGTCGCAACAACACGAAATCTGATTGGTCAGAGGTGGACACACGCAATATGCAAAACTTTAGAAAATTCGACTGTGATGCAAAAAAATAAATGCTGCAATATCGCAGGACGGGAAAGTGTCGCTGATGTGAACACTTGTATTGACAGGATATGGGTTTGAAAAAAAATATTGACGTCTTAAAAAAAAAACACTCCCAGTGTGAAAGGACCTTAAGTCAATACTTGGTGTTTGATTGGTCCACCTCTGTTAGTGTTTATTACGTCAGCTCCCAGATTGACGTCACAGCCATTATTAAAAGGTATGTTCACACCTTGGCATCAGCAGGTTTCAGAAGCACATCTGAGGTGTCATATAAATTTAATGAGAAGCTAGTGATCCCTGTGCTGTAGAAAGAGAAAAAAAACTGTTTTGTAATAAAATAAAAAAAACACGAGACTAATATTTGCTCTGAGTTGTGAGTTGTAGGAGAAGAATTTAATGAGAAGTAAAATTTGAACAACTGGCTAAGCTTATAGAGAAGGCTTACATATACCATCCCCCTGTGTGAAGCATGGGGGTGGGGTGATTTCAGGCCCTGGTGCACAGGGGCACCAAGTTATTGCTCAAAGGAGGAGAATGAAACGGTCATCAAGTTCAATTATCCGTACAACACAGCAGAGGAGGAATGCCCATTCACATCCCCGAGCTTAGATGACTGAGTAGAAATGGTCAAATCTGCTCAGTTTATGAAAGTAGTATTAGGTAACAACAGTGAAAACACCCTAGCTCCCGTAATGTAAATAGTACAGCTGTTCATTAGCATTTCAGGTAACTGATTTTAAATACAATGCAAGTCAGAGATGAGTGAAACTATCCTGGAGTGGTGCGACTAAATCCCTGAGTTCAAACCAGAAGTTATTGAGTTTTAAAGGACAGGGTCAAAGTTTTAAAGTCAGTCCAGTATTGAGTTGCTCAGTTTTATTTGTACAGTTTAAGTTACAATTATTCCCTTTGAATGTTCTTGACAGGACTGATGGTTGTAAGTGAAGAACTTTTTGTTTCTGTTTGGATGAAGTGAAAGTAAAGTCTTGGCTTTCTGGTCTTTTGTTACCGCAGATAAAGATGTTTGTATTAGTCACTCCAAGTTCAGTTCTTAGTTCACTTCACTTCAGTTGAGTGTTTCTACTGTGTCCCTGCCTGATGGAGGTTTTTAAGACCTGGCTTTTGTTTGAAATTTGACTCCATTGCTCTTTTTTTCACAGTGAGGACTAGGATGGTAAGCAGCCAGCCGAAGTACGAACTGATCCAGGAGGTGGGGCGCGGCAGTTACGGTGTGGTTTATGAGGCAGTAGTGAAACGCACAGGGGCCCGGGTGGCGGTGAAGAAGATCCGCTGCCACTCTCCGGAGAATGTGGAGCTGGCCCTGAGGGAGTTCTGGGCCCTCAGCAGCATCCAGAGCCAGCACCCGAACGTCATCCACCTGGAGGAGTGTATCCTGCAGCGGGACCAGCTGGCCCAGAGGATGAACCATGGGTCCAGCTCTCCGCTCTACCTGGAGGTGAGAAAAGAGAGATCACGAAACAGGGTGTGGGACTGTATGTTGTGGTTTAACAGGAATCCTGCTCCGAATGTGTGTTCATATTAAACAATAAAGGTGGTAAACACAGGATGTAAAATGCTGCTGTCATGAGGCGGGATAAGTACTCTTTAAATATTTGTAATTTGTTTGCTCACGTTGAATAATAAGTCGATGTCAACCTGTAGGAAAGACAAGCTCCGCTAACATTAGCCACACTTAGCGAGCTGATTTTACATTGCCGACCTGCTGACTGATTCTATGTTGAATGTTACATTAAGTGTGCTCAATTTTGACTTCTTATTGGTCAGTATTTAAATTTCAAATAAAACAACATAAATATGAATCACTTTAAGAACTTGTTAAACTACGACAGCAGCTGTGAACCAAAACTATAAATGCAGACAAAAGACGTAGATGTGCTCCAGCTGGGAAACAACAGAAGGTGATTCATATCGGGCAACTTTGATTTAAAATATCAGTTATAGATTTTTTTTTTGTCTTTTATCTCAGACATGTTTTCATTTCACATACCTTGACATGTTTCGGCAGAAACTTTCGCCTTCCTCAGAAGTTTAATTTGGTGGTAGGTGTGACGCGTCATATCAGCTGGTTTTACAGACCCAAACGTAACACCAGCTACTCCGTAACAACAGCTGATATGAGGCGTCACACTTACCACCAAGTTAGACTTCTGAGGAAGGCGAAAGTTTCTGCCGAAACATGTCAAGGTATGTGAAAAGACATGAAAAGACAATACATGTCTGAGATAAAGGAAAAAAGAAAAACAATTCTAAGTAACTGAAGACATAATGAACATCATTCAACTAATAAAATATCAATATTTTGGAACCCAGGAAGAGTAGCTGATTGCTATGGCTTCAGCTAATGGGTATCCTTAATAAACAAATAAATAAACAAATATCCGCTCAAAATCAAAGTAATGCAGCTGTGAAGTAGATGTGACGGTGTGAGATTCACAATCTTGACGTGTAGCTGTAAGAACGAAACCTACATGAAGATAACTTTGTTATCTTAAGTTGTTATGAAACTGGATTACAACATCTTCTGACCTGGATCATTCCTCCTCTACCACAGAGATGAGTTGGTGGTCCAAACTGATGAATCCACTTTTTCTGTCATCTTCTTGGTCTTCTTCGCTCTATACTTCCTTCTCAAGCCCAGAGTCCATTTCTTGTGGTGCTTTGATGAACTCGTCATATTAGTCATATCATTAGTCATATCATATTAATTTTCCAGATGCCGTATTTAATCGGTTTGGAATAGATGCTGGAATTGCACATGCAGGTGGATTTTAGACTGTTTTCACTTTAGTGTTACCTTTCAGCCACTGGGTTGCAGAGGCTGATGTAACAGACTATCCTGTGTTTGTGCTTTTGTCTTTAACTGTTTCTCTCTGCAGAGTTTGTAGGCTGTGTTGTTGTTGTCGTCCTGCGGGTTGTACACATGTATATTCCTGCAGTTAAGTTTGCGCTGTTGTTGTTGTTTCACTCTGATGTCCCGTTTATTGTTGAGTCCAGGTAGGTGGACCCATAACGCCCGATGGTACTCATTAACTCTCTGTTTTGCACTTTGCACAAATTGTGCTTAGTGACTGCTGACATTAACGATCCAATGAGACAGTCGGCTCATATTGCCAAAAACTGATCAGAGCCGGGATCGGCGCTCTCTGGTCCGATGGTTGTGATTGGATGATGGAGATTTCCAGCCAAATATTTCTGCCTAAAGTCACAGAGCTGGTGGCAGATGTGAAAGGACAGAGACAACACCCAGGGAGGAAATCCTGCTCGACTTCTAATGAGTCTCAAGTACTTATTTGTTGGCAACATGCTGCTTGTCTAATAAAAGACACAATCTGTGCTAAGAATTTGAAGTCAGTGTCATCCTTTGCTGTGTTGGATGCAAAGAGGAATGTGTATTGTTCTCATTTGCGTCTCATTTGTCAATGTAGACCTTTGAGGCTAAATTTGATTGAGTAGTCAGCAGCATACTTGTTTATGTACAGTCAAATGTTTCAGGGTTACAGTAATGGAGGAGCAGAATATCAGCACAAATATTAGCACTCAGAACAACAAATACGCAGCTGAAGCCTCATTTATCTTTGGCTCTCTGCTGTTCAGCACTAGCAGAGGAGCTGGATATTTCTGGCTGGATCTATGTCCTCACAGTTGCATGAACGTGTTGTCAGGTTGAGGTAGGGGGCCTCTCCTCCACTCCCCTCCCCAGTCAACCTGTCTGCAGCCTGTCATGTCGCAGTACCTCCCCGCTGTCTGACGGCAGGCACACAGGCGCTCTGCCGGTGCCTGATTATAGTCTCTCAGCAGCACGCTGGGCTATTGTCACACCGCTCATTCAGTTTTCTGCAGCGCTAGCGTTGGACACTTTCCCAGAATCCTTTTTATTCCGGCGCTTTTTTTATTGCGCTGTAATGTTCCAGTACGTGCTTTCAGAAGAACGCATGATAATGGGACGGAATTATCTGACCGCACCAACTGTGGGATAATTTGCATCCATTCTTTTTGGGCAGTGGATTCTTTGGCTGCCGGCATGTCAAACAGTTTGCAGGCATTTGTTTACAGCAGGGCTTCCACTGGGATTTGCCTACAAAACATACTCAGAGCACACGTGTTGCCCGTAGAGGAGTTTACACCAGTAGCTTCCACACAGGGTTTAACCTGCCTCAAAGGATATATAATGTCAGGTCAAACATTGAAACTGCTCTTAGTGGTTTCATATGAGCCAGCCCATCAAAATACAACAGTGTTAATACTTCTGCTTTGTCGACAAATGCAGCTAATGTAGAAATGTGAAAACAGGGTTCTCACCAGGTACAGGGAGGAAGAAAAGCTTTAACCATCAGGTGTTTTCATGAATGATTTATGTACTTATTTACTCTATTTATGTTCTATTTTTTGTTAATATCATGTAAATTTGTTGGAGACTAACTGTTTATTGAGAAGCGGAGAATGGGAAGGTTTAAAAACAGCATAATTTCATCCTACTCCTTTTTGGTCATGTTGGGTTCACATTATTATTAGTAGTAGTATTTTTTGTTTTTATTTTTTATTTTGTATTGTTTCATTTGTATTTTTAATTTTTGTTTATTTTTATTTGTATTTTTTTGCTTTGATTATTGTTATTGTTGTTTTGAATTTTCTAATTGTTTTTGTTTGTTTGTTTTCAGTTTACTTTCTTGTGTTGCAGACACATGTTCAAAAAAAAAAAATCATAAATAAAAAAATGGAACATCTAAATGTCGTCTAGAGGCCGACTCCAAAACTCCATGTATCTCCATTTGAGCCATAATGTGCGTTTTTAAAGCACAGTCAAACATTTCAAAAGTTTTTGGTCTGTGGACTTTTTTTTTTATCTGTGACAGCTCGGGGGCAAACTTGATTATAACTGATAACATCTGATGATAGGGCTGGGCGATAAAACAAAAATTTACTGATACTGAAATTTACACTTTATTCTAGGGATGGGCGATAAACCGAAAATTGACCTATACCAAAATCTACAATAATAACAGACGTCATTTTGCCCATGTCAATGTATTCGGTGTCAAAAAACAAATAAAAGTTGGTTTTGGATGTGTGGAGGTAGGCTATGGTGTCATGTCCCTTCAAGACTCTGTCCTAAGTCAGACACGTGACTCCACCCCATCCAGTCCATAACAAAGAGGGAAAGACAGGTGAGGAGATGGAGGAGGGTTCAAAAGTTGTGGCAGCTGAAGTAGACAAAGTTAATGTGGGAGAGTGTGAGCAGTTTGTGGAGTAGATATCGTCCATTTATCGTTATCAAGGTGAACTGCTCAATACATCATGATATTGATTTGAGGCTGTATCTCCCAGCCCTATCTGTATATATCAAGGTAAAGAAGTCACGCAAAAGCAGGCTGAACTGACTGACAGGTGGGCATTGAGGTCTTTGCACATCGACTCTCAAACTGCCAGCTGCTGATCAGCATCAACTCCTTTGGGAAGTTGGTGGTCTTCTTTTTTTAGATGTTTTTCCAGCATCAAATTGGACGACTGACATCTTTAAATCAACCTGGAGGCTTTCAGGATGATTCTGCAGCAGCAGTATCAAAAAGTTGAACAGTCTTTGTTATTGTGTGTTTTCTCAGGAGTGGATGGACCTAGTGTTTGTTACTTTTTCTATTTTATATTATTTATATGCCCTAGAGCCAGTGTACAAGGTTTTTGTACGTGCATAGTGTTTGTTTTTCTTTTTATCATATTACAGATCTGGAGAGCACATCCAAAAAATCCTGTATTGAGAGTTCACAAAGACCTTCAGTCGATGTTTTTGATAGCAGACTATCAGACTGGTCCCTTACATCTGCCTTCATCACAGTTGCTCTTTAATCTGCATGTATCTTAGCCTATCGAAGTCTGACAACAGGTTCATGCAACTTCAAAAACATGCAGCTCCTCTGCTTATGCGCAGCAGCAGTACACACACACAAACAAAGATAAATCAGGTTCTAGAGTAGTGATAGTTTTCAACACGATATTAAAAAACACACAAACAAGGTGCGTAATAATTTCGAAATACTGAAGTTTTTTTTTTCTTAACTATCAGGGTTTAAATTACTCTTAAGCCTTGAGCAGTATGAAATTTTCTTGAGAATATTGGTCTTTTTATCCCCAACGTTGTTCTTTAATAACCTGTTGCTTTTCTGTATTTTCTACCAAACACAGTCGATCAAATTCTCAAGATACAGCCGAGATTAATCTTAATTTAACATGAGATGGATGAACCTTGCAGGTTTGCGGTCTGCTGTCAAAAAGAGAGATTAAATGAACTCTCTTCCCACAGCAGATATTAAAGATGAGAGGCCTCTCACTCTGCTCTGATTTAAAAAATGGCCCACAGAGGAAGACAGGAGACGACATGTTATGAATACAAAGCTGAAGCAACCTTGCTTGTTAAGTTATGAGTGACATTTTCTTCTCCTTCCACTGCAGAGTTTTTTTTTCACCCTCCATATGAAGATATATAACAACTAGACCAGGCCTGAGATTGAATTATCTCCCTGATGAGGTTTAAGCTGATACTTTTTCTCACTTTATTTCTCATTAATACAGACGTCGCTCAGCTTGTTCAGTGACTTCCTTTTAAGCTGTGGAAATGATCTTCCTCTGTGCTAAAGGGAATCGTTTAGCTTTTGCTTTTGCTTGTCAAACTTGTGGATAAAGCTGAGTTATACTTGAAGCCTGATAACTCCCTCTTCAGAGGGCGCTGGACAGGACTGCAGGACACTTCTTTTGGAGGAGCTGACAGAGAGGCCATCATGCTTTTTATTAGGGCTGGGCGATATGGCTTCAAATCAATGTCACAATATATTGAGCAGTTCACCTCGATAACGATAAATGGACGATAACTACTCCACAAGCTGCTCACCCCCTCCCACATTAACTTCGTCTACTTCAGCCGCTACAACTTTTGAACCGTCCTCCATCTTTTCCCTCTTTATTATGGACTGGATGGGGTGGAATCACATCTCTGACATAGGACCATAGCCTACCTACACACATCCAAAACCAACTTTTATTTATTTATTTTTTTGACACCAAATATATTGAACTGGGCAAAATGACGTTGGTTGTTATTATTGTAAATTTTGGTATCAGTAAATTTTTGGTTTATCGCCCAGCCCTATAATAAGGTGTACCTTTCCTATGAAATTATTATGTGGGACTAGAATCCTACATAAAAAATCATTTTTATTTGGAGAATACATCATATATCCTTCTGTTATGTGAAAATCACTATGTTGTTACCAAATATTCCGTATGTGTGCCACAGAAAACTTACAGATTACCGGCATTATCCATAATTTCGAGTAGTTTGTCCATAGTCCCCTTCTCTGCCACCATCACCACCAATCTTGTGTCGCACCAATATGGGCAAAATGACATCGGTTATTGTCGTAAATTTCGGCATCTGTACATTTTCGGTTTATCGCCCAGCTCTACTCTCTGTACCAGCGCAACATTCGACAGAGAAGTTCAGAGCTACTGAATCTAAAAAAAAAAAAGATAATATCTGCAAATTTAAATCAGTACACAGCATTTCAAACACACAGACAATACCAGCCTGTTCATGGGTACATCTCAGCTTGTGCAGCCAGCAAACACGAATGATTATCATGTTAACTTCCTTTTTTTTGTCTCTTGTATTTCTACCTCAGCTCGTAGAGACGTCCCTGAAGGGTGAGATCACATTCGACCCCTGCTGTGCCTACTACCTTTGGTTCGTCACTGACTTCTGTGATGGAGGCGACATGAACGCCTACCTGCTGTCCAGAAAGCCCAGCCGAAAGACCAACACCAGCTTCATGCTGCAGCTGGGCAGCGCCCTGGCTTTCCTGCACCGTAACCAGATCATACACCGAGACCTCAAACCTGACAACATCCTCATCTCCCAGGCCTGCACTCCAACTGGCTCCTGTGAACCCACCCTTAAAGTGGCCGACTTTGGCCTGAGTAAAGTGTGCTCCACCTCCGGGCTCAACCCCGAGGAGCCTGCGAGTGTCAATAAGTGTTTCCTGTCCACGGCCTGTGGAACAGACTTCTACATGGCCCCGGAGGTCTGGGAGGGACACTACACGGCCAAGGCGGATATCTTCGCGCTCGGGGTGATTATTTGGGCCATGGTGGAGCGCATCACCTTCGTCGACGTGGAGACTCAGAAGGAGCTGCTGGGGAGCTACGTTCAACAGGGCACAGAGATTGTACCCTTAGGGGAGGCCCTGTTAGAGAACCCAAAGATGGAGCTGCTGATCCCCGCCAGGAAAAAGAGCATGAACAGCCACATGAAGCAGCTGATCAGGGAGATGCTGTCAGCCAACCCTCAGGAGCGGCCTGACGCCTTCGAACTGGAGCTCAGACTGGTCCGCATCGCCTGCAGAGAGCTGGACTGGGACACGTGATGAATAAACATACGGCGCCACAGACTGAGCCGATCAAGCACATGTACACATCTCATCACACTGTTAAAACCTAGAGGGTCACATAACGGGGGACTGTGGTTTTTTTAAACTAGGGAACAATAATTAGAGTAGTCATTGTTTGTATTAGTCTTAAAGGGGAATTCTGTTTTTTTAAAGAAGGGTTTCAATGACTTAGAGGTGCACAGAGTTTGGGAATTACTCCATTAGATCGCTGCAGGTGACAGCTGTGAAACCGGCTGTAATAGCAGCAGTTTCACAACTTATACTTGGGGGCCAATCTGACAGGCTCAGATTGTTTTTCCAAGTGTCTGGAAACAGAAAAAAAGGATCGCTGTAGGAAGACTCTTACGTGTGTGGGAGAGGAGGGAGATGATCAAAAAGATGCAAGCTCTCGCACACTGTCTGTCTCGAGAGAATGTATATTTATTGGGGATGTTTTGGTCCGAGACTTAAATCACTCAAACAAAGAGTATGCTGTTCTGTTTTTATTTGTATGCCTGATGACTGTCTCGGACCAAAACGCTGCGATTAAATGTCAATTTCAGACGGTTTGCAGGAGTTTGCGCAGTTAAACGCTGACTCTGGGAGGTCAGATTTGTCTGTTCCTCACTATGATGCAGTGTCCGGGATAAAGCGACAGATATCTAGGATCGAGGTCTGCCAGATTTGGTTGTAATTGTGCTTAAAAAGTGTAGTTTGACCTCAGCATGAGACCCTTTCAAAGACAGCTCTCTACAGAGGTGCTGTTCTTTGTTGAAGAGATCGATCTTAAGGCTGTCTGGTTTCAAAAAGAGGCATCTCTTCAGCAAGCGCACCCCCTGTGGATGCGCTCTTACAGGGGCGCATTTGCCCTGAATATCGCAGCTGTCTGTGAAGGATGTAAACGTCCAAACTCTTTGCACCTGTAAGTCTCCGGATCTCTAAGTATGTAGAAATAGAGGGCCCAGGTGTAAGAACACCAGAATTCCCCTTGAATCTTCATCCACCGTTTCAAGCACATTCAGTCCTCTACAAGCTGTGTCTGTATACTGAAGGGGAGAGGTGTGACACTCAACGCTGCTGCTGCTCCCAAACTGCAGCTTAGTCTCAGGCTAATCACATCACAGCTTCCACTTCCTCCTTTTAACAGAATCACTCGTGCGTGGTGAAACGGCAAAATGACCCCCAAAAGTCCTGGATTCAATTAGAAGGGAAAGTCAAACAGTTTGTCTACAAATACCACTGTGGACTTGGTGCTAATTGTCGTAACTAAATGCAATATGAGACATTATCCTGTGATCATTACAGCAGATTTTTATCCAAAGGGCCCATATTGGAACACAATCACCTCCAAAGCGTGGAATGTTTTGAAGCTTTTTGTGGCTTTGACACAACCTGGCTTACAGACGTGACTCTGGTACATGACCACCAGCACTGATTTGATACTGTTTTAATTTCCCAAAACGCTCAGGTAGTGCGAACACACAGCATGACAGGTATTTGTAGACAAACTCCACACTTATGTAGGTCAGTTTTGCTCGGAATCTCCAAACTTTGGTGCTTGACGATAACATTGTGTACTTTTCTGAAAAGCTGCTTCGTTGGTTGTTTGGGCGGGGACGTTTTTATCAGTCGGTGTCCTCCCAGTGTGCGCTTGTGGTTAAGGTTTCCTCACGTCTGCTCTTTGAAATGTCAAGATAGTTGATCGGTCTCTGACACGCCTACAACCAGCATACCAGAATGTGTAACAACGAGGCAGGTCACCTGAACTCAAAGAGCTTTGGAGGTGTGATTTCATTCACAGAGCACTTCACTTTTACTTTGAAAGGTTTTGAGGATAATTCTGGGTTATTGTCTTGAAACGTCAGTCTTAATCAATCACATTGCACTCAAAAAAAGAGGAGAAAAATACGCTGTTTGAAAACTCTTAATATGCTGCATATGCAAAGTAGATTTACCACATAATGTGTGGTATTTTTCAAATGTTAGACTCAAGGAAAGTGAAAAAGTCAACAAATAATTCAGCGATAAAACCAAAGTTTGAATATTTTTGAAATGTTAGTTGAAACCCTCAAACATGCATGATATTTTTCAGTACAAATCTTAATTCAAACAAGCAATATGCATGTTAAAAGTGTGGATTAAGTATTTCTAAAATAACTATAAGTTACAGGATAAAATAATGTCTCCTTAAATCCAAGCGTTCCCTTAAAAGGATGTTGCTAATGGTTAATGTTTGCATCTGGTCATGTTACTTTGAAAAGTGAGGATTTCATTTGTGTGGTTTTAAGTTGTATACTGTAAGGACTTGATTTTGAAGGGACCTCCAGAAGACAGTTTTAAACTATTTAATCGTGTTGAAAAAGGAATATTAGTACTCTTATTTTGAACGACAGAGGGTGCTGTCTGCTTTGAGTTTTGCAGTCATAATCATCCGAAACAAAGATTTTGCAGTGTGAGGATGGAGTGCAAGTGTTGATGCTAAAAGCTGTTTTTTTTTCTCCTTCTCAAGTAGGAAAACCGTCACTACCAGTATCTTCACAGAAGAAGATAGAGAGAGGGAGCCATGATACCAGAACTATAAACATTGATAGGAGTAAAAATCTTTTGATAACGTTTTCAATTCCTTCGGAGCAAATTTTAACTCCAGGAAAACCCACCGTTTGATTTCTATAATTAATTAATTATGAAGAAATAATCATTCAATAATGAGCTGTCTTTTCATAATTTTTAGTATGCTATGAAGTGTAAAAACTATATATTTTCAAATCATTTTAAAGCAAAGAGTCTTGAAAGCATCAGAGTATACAAATTTGGGCACCTTAATAGAGAGGTAGACACATGGCCAACACACTGAACATTGTGTCATCATCTGTCTGTAGTTTTCCTTCAGTTCTGTCACTTCAGCTTTAGCAGAATTACATTTGGTTCCCTTTCAAAATAAAAGCATTTCAGTTGATTAAAACTGAAATTAGATAAAAGACATTAAAAACACAAAAGAAAAGCATCACAGATATAAGGTTAGTGAGCCAACCCTCTCTATCACTTGAACTTAACTGGGTTACTTATAGGCAGGAAAGCTATTGAATAAACTGTACTGTAAACAGTGTTTGAATATAAGATTAGTTTAGTCAATAGCTGATGCACGTAAGTACAGACAACAAACTTTACCATCATCTACGGTTTTAACTTCAAACATGTTCAATTAATCCAAATTAAGAGCCTTTTTACGACCAGTCTCATTGTGTTTCTCACCCTGTTGGACATGATTATGGCATTAAGATGTCACCAAAACTCTGCAGGAATTTTTGAGTGCAATGTTTTAATGGAAGTAAATCCTAAATTACAGGAGAAAAGCACGTGTGTGAATTCCCACATGAAAGCAGTGTGTGTCAATGGCTAATTGACAGAGAAATCCAACGTATTGACAAAGCTAATTGAAAAGTATTCAGATTTCATCCAGTGGTTTAAAATAAATGAGAAGTTAATTATTTTCATGTTTAAATATAAAATATTCAAATTGAAATAAACCAAAATTATCCTTGAACCAGAAAATCCCCAAACCCAAAACACAACAAAGCAGTTTGGTCGACATTTAGGAGACGTGAAGTGACTCCTCCACAAATATCAAACACATCTGTTTATAACAAACCCCAGATTCAGTTATATGAAGGCTGAGCTGTGACTTGAATATTCATATTTAAGTCCACTTAGAAAAAAAAAAGAGAGGATGACAGAATGAAAGGAGGCGGAAGGATTCAGTGAAACTCCCTGAAAAGCACTTTTTATTTCCTTGTTTTTATTTATTCCTGATAACTACCTGCTGCGTCGTATCGAGCTGCTCTGCGAGGCTGGATTCAGTGTGATAACTGCGCCGGTATTTGTTTACCAATGGGAACACAATGTCAGCCAACAGTCTACTTATGCATGCAGTGCCTCTCACCTTCAGGGAAGAAGCGAGAGAAGACACCAGCACACGACACAATCCTCCATGAGCCAGAGGATCTCTGCTTTCCTTTTTTTTTCTGTTTTGAAACATAATGCTGTTGTGTTGAACTTGATCTCCTCTCACTGTGTCACTGCTGCTCGTTTCCTTTGGCTCTGGATCTTACAGTAATCCCTTTCTTCATGCCTCCGACAGGCTAATTCTAAGCCTATTAAGTTGTTGCAGCACTTGGCGGAGGATCATGTGTTAGGGGACCCTTTTGCCTTTCAGGTCATACATTCATAATTTGCGCAGTTATACAGAAACCTATAAAACCAAACAATCCTGCCTTCAAACTGTGGCGAAGAGTAAATCTACTCCTGAATTGTTGCTTCTTTCTCTCTGCTAGATGGCCTTTAATTCCCACCTTTTTAGTGGATTAATAACCCGTCATGATGCGATTGAGATCTGCCTTATTTTTAAAATTCCCTGCGTCCTTTTTGACACTAGAGTTGCCTGGGTGAAATTGCACCCAAACGTTGAATTGGCCTGAAGTTGTGCTTGAGATGCACCGCCTCTTTTAGGTATAATTATCAGTACCTTAAATCAGTGTTAAATGGAAAAAAAAGGCCTGCTTGTGCTGCAGGACACTTATGCTGCTTTGGACAATGTTGCTCTGCTTCAAGAATGTGGTATTTGTAGTTTACGAGCATCAAAGTTTGGACTCAAAGTAGGTCACCCGTATACTAAGAGCTCCAATGATAGGTAAGAGTCATTTCCGGCCAGATTTCTTCCTCGAACTCTCATAAGAAAGAAACGAGAGCGCAGGGGAGGAAGGTACATGGCTTCCTGTGAGTCTTGAGGTGTTTGCCAAACAAATGCTAGGTGTGGGGTTCGACAGAGATTTCACCCTTTGATTTGTTGTAATAAATTCCTTTGCACATGTGTAAATACTGTACAGGATTAGCGTGACGAACAAGGTTGATATACATTCGATTGGATGTGCTCTGTTTTTAAGAGCCTGACTTATTTGACATGTAAATTGCTGTGATGGATTCAGTTTTTTTCTTCTAAATCAGCTCTGGTTTACTTTGGAAAAGATGTGATATAATTAAAGGTCAATACTGTTGGTGTGCTAGTGATACTTGTACGTTTTCATTGGCCTATTGTTTGTGGTTTTGTGTAAAGAAAAGCTGGTCGACGATGTGAGTCATCTTCAGTGGTCTTTTCTGTCTACTGGGTACTGGGATGTTTGGGAACGGAGAAGTATTTGGGACTTTGGGACGTCGTTCAAACCTTAACAATCCACTAGCCCTGATCCAGGACCACCATGTAATGGACGCCCAATATTTCCAAGAACTTTCTAATTGGTCAGGGGGAAAAAATGTTAAACTGTAGCTAGGCAAATACAGCAATGTCAGATGTAATCTAATTACTAGTATCCCTACATATAAGGTGATTTTAGTGTGTTTTTAAGTGGAGTCATGGCAGTCTATCATAGGACTAGCCCAGACTCCATAGTTTAAGGCCGCTTTTAGACGGAAACGGTTTAGTTTAGACGGCAACTGCGTTTTCAGGAGATGAAAACGTAACAAAGTGAAAACCCCCTCCAGAGTGGAAATGTAAACGCTCTGCTTAGTCCCGCTTTCGTCAAAAAGTACAAAAGCGCTGAAAACAGTCAAACCTGTGACGTCCTGGCTCACGTCGGCTCACGCTGCGTGCTTCTAGGAAGCAGAACGGAAGTTGTTCTACGTATGCGTTGTCGGTCTATATGGGAGCGCGGTCACACAGACACGCGCCACCTAGTGACCTGGCATGCACATTACAGCGTTTTCAACCACATAAAAACGGAAAACGTAACGGCACTTTTCTGTTTTCTTTGGAGACCGTTTCCGTCTAAAAGTGGCCTAAAATACTTGCAGCACTGTCTGCAGATAATGTAGCAGAACAGATGCTAGAGTGCACTTAACTGTCTAAAACCAATATTACTGTAAAATATTCATTAATCAGGTTATATTTTATGGTTTTTAAAAAGCCCCCGTATCAGTGTGGCTCTGATATGCAGCGCTAATATGCTGGATAAACTCACTAGATGAAGAAAATATACGACTAGTGGCAAAAGATACTAATCCAAGAGTGTGATCCGTTTTCTCCTGGTCCTGGATCGGGGCTGTTTCCCATAAAAGTTGTCTTCTGTCAGACAAAAACATGATTCATGTCAAATGAAAGATCCAAACTCAGAGCTTCTGCTTTCACTCTTTTGTATGAACAATTTTTGGGCTTGTCAGTGTAAAATATTTTGAAGAGATTAAACTGAAGTTTATCAAAAGTGGGGTGAACACCTGTCAATCACTGTTGAACTGATGCATTTTTAAATAAAAGGAAATGAAACTGAAGGTTTTTTTTGATGCCTTTACTTTCCCTGACTCGCTCCTCCTGCGTGTCCACTGCAGCTCAGGTGATTACTGTAATTGAATACACCTGCAGACTGACAGCTACACCTGATCGCTTTACTCTCACAGGGCTTCCAGTTTGATTGTTGTTTATCTTCTGGCTTCTTGTGCTCTCTGAAGTGAAGTTTTTGACCTAACTTTGAATCCGCGCATGCAATGGTTACATTTGCAGATACTCTGTCATGTGGAACCAAGGTAAGTTCACAAATTTCCCAATCAGTCTGTGAAAAAAGGACTTTGAACGGCGTCTCTGCTGTCTTGATGAGGTTTGTATTGTGCTTTCACAGCATGCAGTCAGTCTCCTGCTGCGAAACGCAGCCACAAAGGAGTGATATCAAAGGTGTGTCTATTTCCTGTCGATACCTGAAACAATTGTAAGGATCTGAAGGAAATGTTGTCCTGTAGTCTTGAATGAATTCCTTCACCCTGATCTCTCCACAGAGCGCATGTCTTCAGATTTTACCGTGCACTGTGTCTCAGCTGCTGTCTGCTTCTCCAGTCAGCAAAGATTCTTTTGCGTTCTGCGACCTGGGACTCAACCAGGTAAGAGCTGGAACACAAAGAGCCTATTTCAGGATGCAAAGAAGACAAGTCTACACAATCCAATCACTCAATTTCTACACAAATCTGTTAATTGTGCAGGGTTCAAACGGATGCTCGTTTACCAACAGCTGTCAATGAGATTAACTCTACAATGAAACTTGGCTTATTTGGAGAGAGTCTAATGTAGGGGTGTCCTGATACAACTTTTTTTTTACCTCTGATACGATGCCAATATTGTAGCCTGCAATATTGGTGATACCAATATTGATCTGATATTAGCACAAACTTGTGCATGACAAGTTTTGTATTTAACTGTAACGTCTTTTCCGACCTAAACAAAAAATACCACCACACGGCTGACATCACCCCTACTCCCTGCTACTTTGTTAGTACTTTAGTACACACTGTTGTTGTAATCACGTGGGCTCTGCATGCTGGATCTGGGCACTGCTAGATAAGGGTGCTGGAGCACAGTCTGGAATGAACTTCTTGTACCAGAATGCTGATTTTAGATATGATCTAATATCAATATGGGATCAGGACATCCCTAGTCCAATCCAAACACTGTCAATGTAAATATATGCTCTACTAAGAAATTGATTGCCCTTTGCAGTCAGAAAGCCTATTTGTGTTTAGTCAGGTCTGTGAGCTTCGAAATGGACAAAAATACAACCATTCAAACCCCGACGCTTTTCAGTATCGACACTTTTCTAAATCAGAGGATACCAGTGGATCACATACAGTCTGCAGCACTCGGCAACAAGAGTTTATTACCTCACTAAACCCAGATATTAGAGCAATTTTCTGCAATCTTTACAAATTTAGAAAACCTATCAAGTAAGACAAAAGTGCATCTTCACTGTCATTTAACCAATTGTACATTCAGCATGTATCTTATGAAAATACTCTTCGCTAGTTGCTGAAGGACAGAGCAACAAAAACTACAGCCAGAGCTGTACCAGTCAGAAAAAGTACAGTGTTTTTACTTCAAATTTCCAAACTGTCTTGCAACAATAATATAAAATTCACAGTATAACAGTGACTCGTACAGCATTGACCTAATTATGGGATCTGTGCTGCAGGTTTCAATTATAGGACGTATACGCTCACTGGCATTCAAAACTCCATCAGAAAATCTGGCACTTTATTTACAGCCAAGTTTAGAAGGAGGAAGATATACGCTCACTAAAGTGGCCAAATTCAACAGCTTAATTCCTTATGAGGATAAATACCGATGCTGTTTCTTGCTGCAGGTGTCTGTGGTGGGCATTATCAGAAGACATGCTCCCTTTAAGAGCAACATCCAGTACTCTGTGGATGACATGACAGGTCCACCTCTTAATGTGAAGCAGTGGATCAACTCTGAGGAAAGTAGCATCCACGGGGTCTTCTCAGACCTACCGTGAGAAATCAGATGAGCACTTACAAGAAAAACTGTTTTTTAAATTTAATTAAAGGGTTCAAACTGTGTTTCCCATAGTGTGGTGCTCCAATGTCTCCTGGGACGTATGTGAAGGTGATTGGAAATCTGCGCAATTCCAGAGTAAGTGATAAAACAAGGGTTCAGAAATGATAAGATTAACCTGGGTGGAAAACAAATATTTACAAGCTAGTGTTGTGAATTGAACCTTTAAGTGTACTCATGCTTTTTACGTGTTGTTAAATTAGGGTCAAAGGACGTTGTTGGTGATGAATATCCGCAGTATCGAGGACCTTAATGAGATCACATCCCACATGCTGGAGGTTGTACAAGCCCATATGCATATTTTTGGAAAGGTACAGGAGCACATACAAAGTTTTGATAATAGGCTTTTGACAAACTTTAGTTTTTCAGGGTAAACTGCAAAGTTTTAACAAACTTAAATTTTGGAGTTTAACAGAGCTTGAATTATAAGATTGAAACTAAAACTAGATTATTTTCCTGATTGCATAAAAGTGGAGAAATTGCTTTCAGATTCTCCACAAAACTTTTTTTAATGATTTGTTTTCTGTGTGTTTATTTTCCTCCAGGCTTACGATGTGAATATGAACATCACTGCAGCCGGTCCGTCTACAAAAGTCCCTGGAAACAGTAGCATTGGTGAATATCCTGAAGACATCTTCCCAAATGATGTTACTGAAGTTCAGGATAAGGTGGGTGGGTTTCACTGTTCAGATTAACCAATTTACAGACCTGGTTTACAGTGCGAGTGACTTGCAGTGGTATTTAGTGTTTTAAAATTCTTCAGGAATAACCCTTTGAATGTGTAGTTTAAGGACACAAAAGTTTAGTCCAACATCTGAATACTGAAAATATGAGCAGGTATATATCACCAAAGTGGAACCCCTGAATAGTGCAAATCATGTCAGGACATCAGTGAGTAACTAAATGATTCAGAATACCTGCTCAACATATTTACACTTACTGGATATTTTCCATATGCACCCCTGCATATTTTTTTTTACATGCGGCAGGTGTCGTGTAAGAAAAGAGAACCATAAATACTGTATTTCATAGGAAAAAAACATTTAAAAACTTTACGTAATGAAAGTGAGAGAAAACTACGTTGTGTTTTCAGCCTAACAACTTTTTTACTGAGCTGCAGGGCTGTATAGTAATTTCTCGACTGCTTTCAAAGGTGTACAGTGTCATCAGGAAGTTTTCAGTCCAGCACGAAGGCATCGGTTTGAATGACCTGAAGGGACAGCTGGAATACATCAGTATGAGGGACATCAGGTACCTCTGGACTTTATACTACTTCATACCATTATCCTACTACTTTTATTCATCATGCAAGCGATATATGATAATATTTTTACATTGGTTTAACGGTGATTGGCCCCTGACTTACTGCAGCATATGCTTCATCTCTTTATTTCCCTTTTTTGTGCAACAGAAGATCTTTGGCGTTCCTGTTCGATAGAGGTCATATCTTCTCTACCATTGATGAGCATCATTTCAAGTCCACAGAGTATTAGTGATAAAGGCATCACCATCCAGGATTCAAACTAATCAGAGAGTACTCATATTGTAAGGGTGACTTGTGTTAATCGTTTCATGTCACTTTAATTTCCTTGATTGTCTTCCAATGACTTAATGAATCCGGAGGCCTCTCTGCCTCTCTCTGTCTTGTATCATTTGTTGCCTGTTAAGAACCGGTGCATCTTTGTATAAGTCAGGCTTATTTGTGTTTTTTTTTTTTTAATGTTTTGGTTTAATCTTATTTTTTCAGAATTAGTGGGTACCCAGAAAAATCCCATTTCTGTGTAAAAAGAAAGTTTAAAATGTGTTTTGTGTTTTTTATGTTGAAGACATGTTGAGTACAAACTAAAGCAGCATAACACCCATACCTGTCACAATCTTTGTTTTGGAGCTAGCACACATTTTTGGTTCATCTTTATCACAATGCTCTCTGCTTTTGAACTGAACTACTGGCGTAAGGTGTTTTGTGTCTCCATAACAACCACTTTATGCAGTTTTGTGCTATAGACTGCAGCCCAAATAGAGCGTGAGTAAAAGGGACAAATATAAGGTGCAATGCTGTAACCAATCACAGTGAGAGAGAGAAAAAAAAGGGAAAAAAATTACTGCAAAAAAAAAAAAAAGTTAACAAAAATAAAACTTACTGCAATATAAATAATAAATAAATAAATGAATAAAATGAATAAATTATTGTTAAGGTCCTTACACACCAGGAGCGTTTTTTTGTGTGATTATTTCGGACGTCAATGTTTTTTCTCGAACCTGTATCCTGTCAATACAGTCTGCTGTTGTGTCAGTCTTCTCGCTTCCACCCGGGATGCGTCTTTTTTTTCTCCGAAAAGTTGCAAGATCTCGTTGTGCTTGATGTGTATAGTCTGGCGCATCAAAATTTTCCTCCGTATATTTCGTAATTTCGCATTGTATATTTGCGTCGATCCCGGTGTGTAAGGACCTTTAATCTCAAGTTTTTTTTATATGTATAGTATTTAACTGGATAATCTGTATTAAATGGGAGATTATGTGAAACAGAACCTTGACATGGTGAGACAAGACGCTGAAATGAAGAAAACAATATTCAGATTTGATGTTTTTTGCTTTACAAACAGAACTTCCTTTGCACCTTTTAACCTCAAAACCCCCAACAGGTTCTGTTACATTTCACTGTGATGTTCAGGTTATCTAAACTGGTTCACATTCTTGAGGAGAAACCCCAGGTCCAAGACGGCGCCACACCAGGGGACCTGAATGCAGGGCTGAATAAAAAGATGAGAGGCCTGCTGGGAATCTCTGAAGAGGAGATGGAGATAGATGTGAGCAGATTCAATCTTCGTTTGCTGCCGTTGGCTCCCAGCAGGGTGTCAAAATAGTCTGGATTCAAAAGGGAATCCTTTTTTTTCTGAAACTCCAGGCACATTTGCTAAAGAAAAAAAAAACTGTATTACTTGTAATTGACAGAGCTAGGATTGACAGCTGTTGAGGGTTTAATAATTTAAAACTCGAGCCGGTTTTCATTTTAGACAAAAGAACATGGCAACAGAAAGTAAAACATGATTTCCAACAGCAGAGTAACACTTTTCTTTTTAGACAAATTATAAAATATTTTCAGGACAACTAAATTTAATCTTCTTACCAAATTTATTCAACAGGTATAATCTTGTCTTTTGGCTGGTGGTGCAGTGTTAGCTTTTATCTCTATCTGTAGTCTATTTAGTGAACATTCACTTTATTCTATTTCTGCTTAAGAGGATTTCTGCACTTTGATTGAAAACCCACAGAAAAAAAGACACCACTGATGTAGTATATTTATTCAAATTTAACAATCTTTTATCCTTATAACCTCTGACAACTCTTTGAAAGGAAAAAGAAAGGCCTTGGCCCCATCACAAGACATGCAAATCTTTTTGGGGGCCCTCTCCCACAAGACACAATAACCATCCATAGATGTGACCCCACTCGGCAGAGGCCCCCATGCTGCCCCTGCATGAGGGCCTCTCAATGAACCGTGCAATAAGAAATGGAGCAAAGAGGCCTGCGCTGGGAGAGAGCCCACATATTTGCTCGTATTCAGGAGGAGGCCATGAGCCTCAGCTCGGCTTGGTGACATCTTGTCATCATCTTACTATCATGTTTAGTCAATAGTAGGTAATTCAGATGCGATGCCTCTTATGCCGCCTCATGATTTTAGGGTACGAGTTACAAGTTCAACCTATTGGTGCAGATAACCAGATGTACTTTAGACTGATAACACTCATCTTCACCTTAATTGTGTAACTCTTGGACACTTTTAGTGTATCTTAGTATGAGTGACAGCTTAAAAAACTCCCTCTTAGCCTTCCTCCTATGTTAGCTTTTACTACGCACCCACCATGTTAAGGGTCGGTTTTGACCCACGTCTTAAATCAGCTGTAAATTACACTAAAAACAATTCTGTATCATCCAGTTTGGTTCTCATCTTTAGGTTACCTTGTTAGGCTTTATTATCCATGAAAATATTAGTTATATTAGTTTTTTTAGTGGGCCTCTAGGCCTTTTTTTTTTATCAGTATACCCCTCACAGAGACATCTATACTGAATAGATCTCACATGTCTGGACATGTCTGACATTGTTTTTTGTGCAGGGAAAAATGTGGCAAAATGACAATTTCCTAAATCTCACATGATTGAATGAGGATCTGACTGTCAGTGTGGTGCCCGACAGTGCACTTATGATTTCTGTTTTTGCTCTGATTACTAGATATTCATTAAACCAGGTCAACAGCGATCCTAACACGACAAGTGCCATAATTTTAATAAGACATTTTATAATTCAGTCAATTTAATTTTTTATTTTTATTTAGTTGAAATAGAGGTTCCTGACAAAGTCAAAAAAGCTAATTTAAGTGGTTCTTCTAAGCATTTAAAATAAAAAACGGGTCAGCGCAGACACTAACACAAGAGGAGGGTTCATCTCATACTGGCATCTGTGAAAACCCATTATTGCGATAATATTCAGCCTCTGCATTAAACCCTTACTTTCAAGTGGCAAATAGATAGAACAGCAACAGGTTTCAGTAACAGCTTAGACTGAATCCAGTCTTAGTTTAAAAGAGATGTAGAGTGACATGGCCAGCACAAACAGCTAAGCAGTTGCTGTTATTGTCCTGAAAACATAAAAACTTCCCACTGTTTTCTGATGCTGTCATCTTTGGGAGGAGAAAATAGCTTTGACTTTCCTTCACAACTCTATAAAGAGCATTTTTCAGAGACAGTGCAGTCTGGCGGATAAAGATTTTGGACTTTACTAGCAAGGTAAAATCTGAAAGAGCCTCTGGGTGGACATGTCTTTCACTGTTGTCCCGATAGGATGGCGGAGCCTTAAGCCAGGTTTAGGCCAAAGCATAACACTTGCTCTGTACTCTCTGTCTTTTATATTTCCCTGACCACCTTTTTGGATGAATTCTTCTTTGTGTGAAATATATTTGGTCAGCAGCTGATTTCTTCATAAAAATAGGAAGAAAATGTCACCAGCCAGGAGAGGCGCGGTAGAAATACCTGTAATAGACTTTGACAAGGCTGTGAACTGTGGGTGAGGATTGGCTTCAAAGGAGCTCAATAAAGAAACGGGTATCTGTGACAGTAAAATCAATGTTATTTTTTCCTCTATTGCTATTTTTACACCTGAATGTGGCTCCTCGAAGAAAGCGCCACTGTCACACTTTAATGAAACTCTTGAGTGAGAGGGCTTTAATTGATTTGACTGTTATTAGAATCCATCAGTGCTTGATATTTGTATAATAAACTATAATCCATACCTCTCACTTGGCTGTGTGTGAAATGATGTGGAGGAGGATTAGCAGGTCCCTGGAGAAATCTCCCACTGAGCTTACTTTACTTTCATGTATTCACTTTTGTCTGCATGCTGATAATGGTCCCATCTAGTGCAAGGAAAAAAAAACCCTTGAGAGTGCTAATTAAGTGATTTTTTTTATAGCAAACTGATTTTGATAGCATGTCTCCAGCGCACGCTAAATGTGTCATTTCCTGCCCATGTTGATGAAAATGTTCTTTGAAGATTTTGAGCACCTATCTGTTCTCTCTTTTTGAATCCTGTCCTGATGGCTGACAGCCTCTGCTTTTCAAACGCCTCATCTTTCCTCCAACTCAGTGTGTTTTCTTTTTAATGCTTCATATTCCTGCATAACTGCTGCACCATGCTCTCTTTACAGACATTAATAATTGTTCCCCGTTCATAATGAAGTATCCCTGTCCCTGACAATATGCTGCCTGCTGCTGAACAAGGCTCCTGACACCCTTCAGCGACAAAGCATGCGAGCTTAAAATTATGTTGTTTTTCCACCAGAGGGCAACATGTGTACTGTAATCCACTTACAGCCCCGCTGTCTCCTTCTCTACTCTCTGAACTAGATGTAAATCACATTCTTTTTCACAGCAGCTCCAAATGCCTTTGGTAGTCTCTTATAGACTCAGACCAGGTCCAGGAGAAGAGAGTGCATTAGTCCAGTCAGTTTTAGCAGCTCTGCACTGAGTCCTTGCTACAATTGCAGTCTATTTAAAAGCCACTAGAAACCACTCGACGGTGATAAACCTATGGGATTTATGGTTTTATGAGCACAATAGTAAACATTAAAAAGTATAAGAAGTGTGTTAGCTTTGTGGAAGTTTCTCTGATTAATTCATACATGAGGTTGTCAGACTTGGTTGTAGAAATAATCACAAGACAAGATACTCGGCAGATGATCTGAACATGATCTGTGATGCTTTTGTAGTCATATGAATTTGTATGGAGGGCAAAAGCAGCTGTTTTTGGAGAGGTGTCCTAATGTTGATTTAATTAATCCACGTTTATATGGTTTCCTTGATAAGACACTTCCTCTTGTTTCAAATATGTCTTTATTGCTCATCCAAATCTGAAAAGGTTATAAGTTGCACTAAACCCTTCATTAGGTTGGGATCGAGCTACATCACACCTCCAATGTTTGCCATTTGACTTCAAGTACACTGTGATCATTTGCAGCTGGTTTACTGCATTTGCTCATAATATCACAGTAAATTGAAAATGATGACTCCAACTTTAGTTATTTGAGCTCCAATACCAATTACTGAGCTGATCAGTGTCTCTATTTCAAATATGTAGATAAAGAGTTTGTTTTGTCTCTCAATTTTTGATGTAATCTCAGCTCCTACAGTCACACGCCAAAGTGTCCAAACTGTACAAACCAAGCTAACCCCTCATACCAATGTAATACAAGAAACAAATGATCAATCCTATCCCTATTTATTTTATGTTATTGGTATCATTAAGCGTGCCTTTGACCAAATTGATGCCTCCTCAAACCCCATAATATTTTCTACATAAAAAAAGATTTCGAAATGCATTTTATTGTGAAGCAAACTGTCTTGAACAAAGATGTAATTATCAATTCGAAGCTCCTTATTTTGAGTTGATATGAAAACCACTATTGACAAGAAGTGTCACTTTGCTCTTGGCTGATTTTGTCCTGAACATGTGGAGAATTTTTTTTTTACCAAAATTAGTAAGTAAATAAGTAAAAAAGCTAGTCAGTAAGTAAATAAATACCTTGTCTTGCTCTCTTTTAACAGTTGATGCATCACTTATTGACAATCTTTGCAGCACAAAATGTTCCAACAAAGAGCAATCAATTAGTTCATCTACCCTTTGTTATAATTTCAGGCATTAAAAACAACAATATCAGTCTTTATCCTAATAGTCCTATTTACTTTTATGGCTCTCAAGGAGGCATTGCTATTTATTTCAATGTGATTCATAATTAGTTAAACGCTCCCCACATGAACTTTACGATTGTGAAGCATTAAAGGAATAAAATAGTTTTTGTTTAATCAGTCCCTCCATGAAAAAACAGCTTTGCATTTGTAAAACAAAAAAACAAAAAAAAAACTTTTGTGCACAGCAAATTTTGATGCCAAACATCAGTTATTTTAACAAGTGAACAATAACTTACAATAAAAAAACACTTAAATAGGTTTGAACGTGAAAATATTTGATTTTCTTTTATGCATTTAAGTAGCAAACGAAAAAAAAAACGTGTTGTTTGAGACATTGTAAAATTGAAGCAAAAATGTGTGTGGTTGACATTTTAAATATTTCAATATGTGTGTTATTATATTTAGAGTTAAAAAGAAAGACAAGGTTCATTTGTGAGAAAACTACTTAAAGCAAAAAGAACCTGTTTGGCCGAAGATAACAATATAATATGTATTTAACATATACAATTAAATGCATGTCGTAGAGTAAATTAAACTACTCTAATTGTGTTTTTGTAAATTTTAATTGTATTTGAATCCTTTGTTTCACTCTCTTTTGATTTCTTTTATGTTTTGTGTGCGTCCTTTATAGTTTTACATTTTTTCACTTTACAATCTTTTGCATTCTACTCTCTGAGTTTGATGGCTCTTTATCCTTTTATTGTCCCTCCTGTCTGTTTTCTTGTGGGTTGTTGTTAGACTGTGAAGTACTTCAAGCTACATCTCTAGTTTAGAGATGCAGCACAAATACAATTCTCATTATTAATATTCTTATTCCAAATTGTCTCTGGCATTCTTACCTAAAATGTGAGTCGAATGCATACTAAAGCTTTGGTTCATTTCAGATTTGTCTTGTATATGTGGCATACTGTGCGGTGATAACTGCCTGTCTCCTCTCTAAAATCTGTGATGTGTTCTCTGAAAGCATAAAATAAAATATAAGAGTACACTGTGTCTGTGCATGAAGCATACATTGCATTTTTTCCACCTTTAGGGGTCTCTAAAGCACTGTGCAGGGCCTGCTGTTGAGCTGGTACAGATAAATGGCACCTCGTTAATCAAATCTGCATGAGTGCGCTCAGGTTGCCATGGCAATAATTATCAGAGCTGCCTAATTAACTTTCTCAATTGCTTAATGATATACGACCCTCTGAACTCCCTCATTTTTTTCTCTCTAATCCAAGTTGTTGTGTTTTTATTCCTCCGTTTTCACTCCCCAGTGTTAACCCGTGACCGCCAAGATAATAGAAATTACAGAGAAATTAAATTCAGCACCACATCATTTCCTTTCAGCCTGTTCCTGAGCTCAAACTTCACATGCAGCACAGCC